ATTTGGAACCATCTGGTACGCCTTTGCGTACTAGGCATACCGGGTGCTATGCCCATGATCATTACAACTTCAAAGGTTGCCTTTATTATTTACAGATCAAATTTATTTTATGTCAAATTGGTTTTCAGGCCTGTGCCCCTTAGAATCCAAAGTAATTGTATGATCTTTTAATAAGACACATGTTATAAAGGACTACTCTAAATTGGTAGCTTAATCTAATGCAAATTGAAGAGGTTGCAACTGTCTTGTTGCCTTTCAGGTTCATGCTCTTTGAAATTCAAGATACCTTTCCTAAAGCAAGAAACTTACACATTCTAATGAATGGTCTAATGGAGGTTGGAGTTTCTGCTTTTCTAGTTTGAATTATTAACTTAATCATATTAAAAGGTTGACTTAACCATATTTCTTAATGACATAAGGAAAGGAAACAGACTGACTTCTTAATCCTTGTTCTAAGTTAAACAAAGTAAGAAATGATAAATATTAAGGATGGGATACGTCAAAAATGCAGATTCGGTTGGGTGTTGTATACATTGCACTTAACAAGTATGAATAATCATGATTTTACAAGGATAAAACCAAATCTCTCAGCAGACTAAGAGAACATGTGTGACTCTTGAAAAAAAAAATTTTGACTCAAGCATGTTAACTATTTTAGGCATTTTAGGAAAACAACTGTGTCCTTTTTATCAGAAAGAATCCCAAATGAGTGCTTTGAGAGAGGCAGGAGGGTTTTGAGTAAAGGGACCATTTGAAATAGCAATCTTACTAAAACATTGTTGTAATACTACTTGTATAGTTTTGGTAATCATAATAGGGGGTTTAAGCTTGCATATAAAATCGAAACACCAACCTATACATATGACCAATCACCCATATAAATGCATCACTTAAATATTTTTCGTTCACATTTAGGTTGTGAAAAATATTGCGAGCTTAAACTCCCTATTGTCTTCTATAATATCATAAATATGAAGATTGAAAATAATTGTACATGTATGAAATAATAACCGACCAATATATAAATGAATAGATAAAATAATATGAATTGATGATTTTTTATGAAAAAGTACCAAGCTAGATCAGTTTGATACCAAAGTAAGCTCAGATCTGAGCTCTAATGCAAAGATTAATTTCGAAGTAATTTACCTCTGTTATAAATGTATTCCTGGAATACCTCAACCCTGAATCTCTTATGATAGCCTACCAGCATCTTGTGCTGCATTGAATTGAAAAATCAAGTATGAAATAAACTGCACGTCCCTATAATGCATACATGAGTATCTGTATTTGTACAATATCCTTGATTTAACAAAATAAGAAGAAACTGTATGCTTATCTTTGGAAAACCTATTGTTCTTCTGTAAACAAACTTTTTAGTAGAATATACTCAGCACCCGTTCATGAGTTAAAGGAACTAGAAGGAATGGAAATGAGTTGAAAGTATTTCAATGAGAGTTAACTTTAAAGTATAGGTAGATTTTACAGTGATTTACCATTGATTTACCTGTGTGATAAAGATGCTACCCGGATTCCCATAAGGAAAGAGAACATAATAACTAGGTATGGAAATGAATTATTAATCATACAGTCTTTGATCTTCATTGTCATGTTATTGCTATCAGCCAAAAGTTCATGTAGGGCTACAGGGAATTCATCTATTCATTTGTTCATCTGTCCATCTGTCCATCAGTCAGTTTGTGTCACTTGTGTGTCCTGGTGATAGCTCAAATACTGATTGTCGGATTAGTTCATGTTCAACAATTTGCTCTATATTTGTACTGTATACAATTATTGACCTCTCCAGAGGTTTACTGTCAAAATTATATCCCGAGACTGTAAACCGAGACCGTAGGTCGAGGTTTACAGTCGAGGGATATAATTTTGACAGTAAACCGAATGGAGAGGTCTATAATTGTTTTGTTAGTCCGAAGAATATCTTAGATTTTTCTGACCCTTGAAGTTGACTTGAAGTTGGATCCAGACCCTCGAGACGTTCATGCCACGGCAGTAAGTTCACTCAATGGAGTCAAATTACTCTCCTGGGCGAAGTCCACTAAAAGCTTTGTACAAAGTTTTAGATTTTTCTTCGTATTTTGACTGTCTTTACTCTCTAAGAGACTAATAATATCCTCATCTTCAACATTTTTGAAACGGCTAGTGCTAGCGGCGGCCATTTTATCGTCTGATAATGACGTCATTTTAGTGGAATGCTGGGAATATTATTCACCGGCAATGCATTGCGCGGTGTACAGTTAAAATTATTCACCGCTCGTTGACCAATCAAAATCGAGTATTTCAACTGAGGTACTAACAATATAATTTATTTGCACCTTTCATGGAAGACAGTAACATTACATACAGTAAGATATACATTATTGATATGAGTGGTTCTTGCCAAAAGAAGATACCACTACTGCTTCTTATTCCATCATTAAATGTTTAAAAAGTTATTTGAAAGAATTTCTGCTGTTTGGTGGGATTAGCTACTCTGTGGAGTTGCTGTTAACTCATTAATCACTGGAGACTAATAATCCTCGGGATCCTGGTTTTGTCTTGCTAATTAAAACCTGTATCATAATAAGAAATAAGATACTTATTTACAAGTGCTACTGTGCTATATATATATATGGTAGCTGTTCATGTTAATTTTAAGGTAGTGCAATTCTGAGGGGCTGTACAATTATCTTCTTCTAAATGATTATATTTTCACCTTCTTTGAATCTATCTGTATTTCATCATAAATGTTAGGATTGCCAGGATAAAGTTAGAAATAACTGAGAAAATTACTGCCAATCCTATACATGACTCCATCTCACAAGATTGTCAGTCATTTGCGGTCATTGTCACCAGGGAAAGACCTCTGTCCTGATTTAATCAATACTATTTTTTAGGGTTTATTCTTGTAAACAACAAGTTTGATACAAACAAATGTCTGTGAAGAATCAATAGTAATTTCAACATTTGATTGATTGGTCAACCAATATTGACTCTATGTCCAGAATTGTCGATGTTATGGTGACTTGTTAATCCAATCAATTAATTCAAGTGTTTTCTTATTCAGTTTGCCATTGTACTAACAGTTTCCAATATTGAAATGTATTTCTGGTGTTGAATTGCTATAGGCTATTTCTATTATATGACTAGCAATGCAACAATTTGAAATCTGCTTTTTTAATTCCCTTGATCCACTTGATATTTGTTTTAGTATATGAAATCAATATTAGAGGTGTATGAACAAACAAGATGAGAAATAATCCATGAAATTATGGTCATTTCAAACATTTAGTTTATAATTTACATTTAAATGAAGATTGTGATGTGATACATGTAAGATGGGTAGGGATAGGAGGGATACGGATGGGCTAAGAACTGAGGCTTGATATTACATGTAGTTAAACTACAGTATATTTGAAATCCTCAATGTAATTACATGTAGTTTAATCAATAAATAATCAACAAAAAACAAAACTCTATCCAGCCAGCAGTATCCTCCTTATTTAAATTTAATGACACATTGGTTAATTTCTTCATTAAAAAACTTTTACTAAATGTCACTTTGATAAGTAGAGATGGCATATAGTATTCACTTTCATTGAAAGGTCATAGTGATCATAATTGTCTTTTTTGTCTTTTGGTTGTCAGCTGGCATGTATTATTGATTTTATAGTAGCCGGATAGAATTGTTCAAGGGTCACTTTTTCTTTAATAACTTAGTAAATTTTCATTGTTATCAAAATCTGATTACATATTTGAAAACTAGAGTAAGATTTGACATATACCAAGAATATTTAAAGAACATCTCTTAATTTATTGATATTATAGGCGTTCATAGTATGAGTGACGCAAATACATAATTCACCATTTTGTCTCAACCTCAAGAATGCATGTACAAGAGACATTAATATTCAAAAAGGCTATTCCCAAGTTTTATCACGTGAATATTTTTTTTTATAAAAATTGACGCCATATGAGTATATTCAAATGCCAACATCTTTGTGTCTCATTGATTGATTGCTCCTAAACTTGCATTGTTAGGAAAATGAATATACTGTACAAGAGTTGTTCATACCAAAGGGCAAAAACAATACTGTATAAGTGGTAATTTTGCCTAATCTTTTATTTTGCCTATTTCCTAATTTTTGCCAGGTTCGGAAAATTAAATGTCGGAAATATTGTCTTTATAATGTTATCCAATGGGAGGTTTCTTGTCATTAGGAAAATTAAAAATAGGAAAATGATGAAATTTGACCATTCGGAAAATTAACCGCTCGGATTAAATACCACTTATACAGTATATGATCTTCTCAGTTTCATAATTGTTCTACAATATCCACCCACATTCATTTTGTTCCCACGATTCATATAATACAAAAACATTGCCAATTGTTCTCTGATCATTCTCATTTATGTCTTCTGGTCATCAATAAATCAGAGATGTATATCAACTATCAACGTGGGTGAACTAAGAGTCGGTCTAAGTTGCAGTTTTCATGTCACCACCATAAGTGAGATAATTGTTATAGTCTCCAACTTTTTTGTCGATTGTGTTTGGTGGTTGGCATTTGGAGTCTGGTGTTCGGAGTTCATCATCTGTAACAAATGGCAGGTGGTGAATTTTTGCATGTTTATGCCTTGTTTGTCATTTGAGTTGCACCTAATAAGGTCAGAGTCAAAGATGAGTAGGAAGATCAAGAATTAAGGTCATAGATAAGAGTAAGGGTCAAGACAAAAGCTGAGTGGGAGGGTCAAGGTTATAGTAGAACATATTCATAGTTTTCTGATCTTCTGATAACTTGACCCAAAAAGGTCTAAAAAGGCAAAATTCAAAATTTTTTCTGGGCCCACAAAAGGGGGGGGGGGGCATGCTCCCCCCACTGGATCCGCTAGTGTATCAAATTTATGATGAAATAACAGTAGATCAAATCAAGTCTTGATGCACAAAACAAACAAACAAGCATTCAATACATTTCAATCGTAAAATATTTGTATGTTTGCAGGAAACTGGTCAACATGGAACTGAGTACCCTCCCTCGTAATGCATTCAATGGAATCATGAATCTTCAAATACTGTAAGTATTATTACCACATATCATAAAAAGATGGCGATGTGATTGGGTTGCTCAAAGTATCTTCTGGAATAGGCATGTCACTACACCAATTTCCAATGATTCCCTACAGCATTTATGTTCTGTGATGCTTTGTAAGATTCTACTACATGTATATTCAAATTAATTGTTAAAATAAAATAAATTATTGACTGGCTCTGATTTTGCAGAATTTTCTTTTCATGTATTTTGATTATATTTTTGAAATTATTGTTTTATGTCAACATCGCATATTGTTATAGTCTCTAACTTTTGAGCAAGAACAAAACATGATGTCATATTTTGGAAGTTTGTTTTTGCTCGTTTGGTTTCACTTGCTTTTCTCAATCTACATGTACTTCAATTCAACTTTAGTTACATGTACATGGTGGAGAAATATTACTTTTCTAGATACTTTAAACATATTTAATATAACTAGACTTGGGAAATTGAACGAAGTTCAATTTCAGACTCCAGATCCAGACTTTTTTAAGCCCAGTCATCTAAAATAAGCCGAGTCATCCAGAATAAGCTGAGTCATCCAGAATAAGATGGATGGATAAAACAGGAAGGTAGGATAGGATAGAATGGGAAGGAACGATAGGATAGAATAAGAAAGAAGGATGGGGTAGAACAGAATAGGAAGAAAGGATATGATAGGAGAGGATAGGAAGGAAAGGATACGAAGGAAAGATAGGATAGGATAGGATAGGATCAGATAGGAAGGATGGATGAATTTTTCAATATTTTCTTCTCTACTCTTGACTTTCTATCAGGATACCATCAGATCAATTTTCCGAAATTTCGAAACGCCATAACTTCCGAACCGGAAGTCGGATCTAAATTTGATTTAAAGATTCGGATTCCTGACAAAATTCTACCCCTAATTCATAACTCATACATTAAATTTGGCAAATTTTTATTTTGACCTACTTTTTGGACACGCCATAACTTCAGAACCGGAAGTCGGATCGAAATTTGATTTGCAGATTCGGATTTTAAATTTGGAGAACTTTTTATTTTGACCTACTTTTCGGACACCATATCTCAAAAGTGGGTCAAAATACTTTCTGACGGCAAAAGGCTAACGCTATTAGCACACTCTTGGCTACATGTATACACAATTTCGAAGAATATAATTAAAGTGTAGTGTCAGAATCGCAAAAATAAGAAAAAACTTTGAATTTGACCTAGATTTTGACCTAGGCATTTTGGTGTCCAAATTTTAAGGCTAGATGGCTTTTGAGGTCCCATTCTTTTAAAAGCTTTCATTATATTTAGCTGAACTTAGTCTATATTTCGTATTTTTCACTTCAAAAAAATCTTTTTTCCCATTGACTTAACATGGGCTCAAAATTTAGCGATTTTTGAGTTTTCAAAACGCCATAACTTCAGAACCGGAAGTCTGATCTAAATTTCGTTTTCAGATTCGGAATCCTGAGAAAATTTCCTATAAGACTAATATCCTGGACATTCGATTCGGAGAACTTTTTTTTGGACCTCGTTTTCGGACACTGATATCTCGAAATCGGTTTGAGATATCAAAAAACTAAATCGACCCTAGATTTCCTACTTTTTTATAAGGAACACAATGAAAAAAACCCGGATCGAAAATATTGAAGGACAACCGAGAAAATCGAAAAAAGTGACAAAGTACTGGATTTGACCTAGTTCTTGACCTTTGACCTAGATAAAAATTTGACCCAATTTCCCACCAACTAGATACTGAACCTAAATGAACTGTATAATGGTCTTTACTAGATTACTTACAGTTACTGAAAAAACTCTTAAAGAATAATAAGAAGAAGAATAATAAGAATACTGGCAAAAACAATAGACTCCAGATTGACATCTGGAGTCTAATAAATAGTGGCAAACTTTAGAGAAATTAGTAAAACAAATTAACTAGTTTTGTTATCATTTGGGATATTGTTCGGTATTTAAGGGGAATTTTATTTAAAATGACCTCAAAACCGTTTGTTCAATTTTTCTCCTTCCCTTTCATCGTGTTAAAGAGGGTTTACAGGGGTTTGATACATGTAATACCTGTTTGCGGCTCTCCTTTTTTTGCGATTTTTTCACAGAATTGATTTAGTTGTTGTGAATGGTGTTTGGTGACATTTTGCATGTTAATGCCTTGTTGTATCTTTGTCATAGGATTAAAGTTAGGTCTAGAATTCATTTTAATGTATAAAAACCATTTTTAATTCTAAAGTAGGGTGTGACTTTATAATATAAGTTTCATGAAATTTCAGACGCCTTGATGGCAATCATTTCAAATATATCCCAGCGGAAGCATTTAATGGTCTCGACTCGCTGAGGACACTACGTCTAGATGGCAACAAGTTCACAGAAGTGCCCTCTGGTGCCCTAAATAAACTACATAACTTGGAGGGTCTGTAAGTTACTTATTATTTAGAAAATAAAGTTTATGCTCAGTTTTGGTGAGCAAATAGTATGCTTAAATGCGTGTTTTTGGTAGAGATCATGCATGTAATCTTCATGAACAAATAAACCTCAATACATTATATGCAGAAAAATAGGTTATTCATTCATCATGCCATGGTGTTCAGATTCATGAATTCTAGGATAATACTTTTGCTTAAAGATTGCACTACAATTACAGTTCCTCATGATAAAATGTTGGTTATTTAACTTGACATTGAATTTCAATTTTCAGGAAATTAGGATCCAACTTTATTAGCAGTATACCAGAGGGCACTTTCAAGAATCTAAAGAGGCTGGAAATCTTGTAAGTAACTATTTCAGTGTAACAAAGCAACTATGGCAGTCCCAGCATTCATCATTTAAATATTTCTTTGCCTTGGTGAATTCTTGGAGCCATTGTTACTTTTGTGATTCATGTAACTTTAAAGTAGTCTCGTGCATATTTTAACCATGGGCTATTGGAAAGCAGTGAATTGTTTTGAATTGGAATGATATTGAAAAAGAAGTCCATATTTTTAGAACATCAATTTCAAAAAGGACATTACTTAATTTGTGTATTTTTCATGTAAATTACACTTTCTTGATGATTTTGTTCTAAAGGGACCTTAACAAGAATAGGATTAAGGGGAAAATATCAAAGAAAACTCTAGCTGGAGTAAAAACTTGCATAGGGTTAAAGGAATTGTAAGTCAGGTGGTGCCCCTCCCTATTTTTCAGTTGAGTTTACCAATTTTCCACCTTTGCCCATTCTTCCATTCCTTCCAATTTTTTAGAATATTGAAAATTGAGGACCATGTCTTCAAAAAACCTATTTCTCCAAAATGAGGCATATTCCTGAAACTAACACTCAAATGATACTCTGTTGAATTATATGTACATAAATAGAAGACCTTTTTTGCATGAGGCAGCAAGTTACATGTATCATCATCACATGTGGTTTAATTAACTAAGTCTTAACAGTCATCTCTGAAAGAAACATAAAATTGAATCGAAAATTGAAAATCAACATATCAAGTGTATTTGATAAAATGAGTAAACCAAGAACACCTGAGTCAAGTCAGAATACTTCGGCAAGGGTCAGGATACTTGGGCAAGGGCGTTACAATACCCGGGAATTTATCGGTTCGTGCAGTACTTGTTTGTGATAGCGCCCTCTGTAGGTCACTGTGCTGATAGCCTACAGTAATACGGGGTAGGATATCGGGAATTCGGTCAGTTTCCATCCGTCGATTACGCTATGAATTGAAGCAAGTGTGACCACTTTATCCACTTAAACAATTTGATAATTGATTAAATCTTTAAACAAAATCGATAAACACGTTATACACTTCCTATCTCCTTAGAAATAAGCATGTATTTATGGATTGTGTTTTCGAGCAAGGCTCGACCCAGACCAATAGGGAAATCCTTATGCTAATTAGTATGACGTCATATTTTCCTGGGGAATCCTAGATTTCAAAGCCTCAGCCTGTTATTGTGTCAAATGTAAATGCTCTTTTGCAGACAGAAAATTGACAGATTAGCTTTTAACTTTCAGCTTTGATGTTTAAATATTCTGTATTTCTACCGGACTTCTTGCTGAATATCATATAATGTTATAACTTGATTTGGACCATTGCCTGATTGATCATTCTGAAATTTTGATTGTGATTCATGATTGATTGGCAAGAAAAATAATCCCTATTGTTTTCCAGCGAAGTCAAAATGTTACAACATGAGTTATAATGTCGAGTTTGCATCATGTTAAATTTTGCTAGTGATTAGAAGTCCATGCACAAGCATACACATAAGAGACAAACACACCCAGGCTCCAGGCCGTGTATGGAAATATAAAACTATTCAAGGCACAAACTGGTATTTAATAGACCGATATGTAGCGTCTGCCATGTATTGAAGGTAAACCAATCTGCATTATTAATGTTACTTCTATCAATACATGGATTGTGCAATGGAAAAGCAATGGCACAATCAAAAATGTGCATATCAATCGTGAATATCTCTCGGTTCAAAGCTTATTTCCAACAGAATCGTGTCAAAATACGTGTCTGAGTAACAGTTATACATTATAAGATCGCAAACTCTTACCAATTATCAGCCGAATGGCTCATTTTCAACGAAATGTCCTTAAGACAACAGCCCTGGGTCGCGCCTGAGACCAAAAACTATTTCAAATAGCCCTCCCCTAAATATATTGGATAATCACATTTATGTGTGCGCGCGCAGCTCATCCACTGAACGAAACGCCACTTCCCGCTGAAATCACCGGGTATTGATCTTTCCCTTGACTTGGGTAGCCAAGAACACTTGGAGCTTTACAGCTGTATGTATTAATTTCAGACTGGCTGATCAGATTACATGCAAGAAATCAAATTGATTGAATGATATATCACATATCTATACATGTATATGCAATTAATCATCTGGCATTATAATCAGTTGTAATTGAAAACTACATCATGCTATTGTAGAGATATCATCATAGGCAGCACAATGTGACTGCACAGTGTACATCTATTTCAGTAAATATTAAATGTCCAATTTAAACTTATCATTTCATGGTTGGTATATCCTTGTGTTTATTAATCTATTTTAACTTGATACTGTGTGTTACAATTAACTAAATATAATTCAGAAAAATAATCCTTTAAGCATGATTTGTCATATGAACCATGACATCTTGTTTCTTCTCAGCCATGAGGTGTTTAGATTTGGTGATTCAAGAGCCCAGGTGTGAGGTATTTTGAGATTGTTACCCCAGCTTATATTTTATTAAACTAAAGTTCATGAAACTTGTGGATGTTATATTTTCTGTGGCTTAATGTCTAATTCCAGTGATGATAGAATACAATGCATGTAATGGAATATATAACATTAAGGGGAATAATTACATGATAACCATCGGTACATACACGTAGTGACAGTTGAAACTCATCCCATCAGTAAATATTTTGTAATATCAGAATGTTTCGTAATATCAGAATGTTTTGTAATATCAGAATCAGAATGTTTTGTAATATCAGAATATTTCAAAATATCAGAATGTATTATAATATCAGAGCATGCTCTAATGCAGTGTTCGCGCTAGCCATTTAAATTTCTGAATCCCAGGGACACATCACATTTGAAAAATGTGAGTCCCGTCTAATTTTTTTTGCGTCCCTCATATTTTGTTATTAAAGTGAAAGTGAAGTGGGCGATAATAGAGTGCTTACGCTAAAATGGGATAAAGTGACATATATTGTAATTCTATGCATTTTCCCGATAAATATCTATCATTTGGTCCTTTTCACACAATTCTTTACTAATGTTATACCAAAATTCTCCGAAATGAATGAAAGAAATACTCAAATTAAGAGTTGTTTTCACATTTTACCAACCACCGATCTTCAAGGTCGTGTCAAGGTCGTGAACTTTTTGTTTCTTTTTATAACATTTCTCCTTACTCTGACGACTTTTGGATGAAAAAACGTTGATCTATTATTAAATAATTATATTGATGTATAACATTAGATCGGTATCTAACAGTTCCTCAGTTCCTAGTGGAAGTAAGCTTAACTAAGATTATCGTGAAAAACAAGTCTCAATTCTCAATTTTAAAACTAATGTTTGCGTACAACAGATTATCCAGCTTCGGTATACTCCGGAATGACTCGGAGGGCACCATAGCCAATCAAATGCTGTGTTTCAGACTAGAAACCCCGCGAATATACTGAGACACTCCGGTAGCCAATCAGATTTGCCGACATAAACATTATTGAGATCAAGTAAGTAGACTAGACGATTTGAAAAGTTACCTGATGGTGGTGTAGAATCTTTGCGTCCCAGGGACGTAAGTTATTTCTGATTTTCCCGTCCGACCTCTTGAAATTTCCGTAAAAACGAGAAAAAACGGCGTCAACGCGAACACTGCTAATGAAATATAATTATGATGCGTATCAGAATGAAATGATACATACAGTATCACATATGGTTACACTATTCCATAACACTGTATTCTGTATAGTCTTTGTTGCCTTTGTACAGATGTACAGTGATTATAAATAATCATCCTTTTCGATATTAGGCTTTGCTTCTATTGGAAAAAATTGAAATACCCTTGGGGTAAGGATGATAAATGTCCCCACATTCAGTACAAAGACTGAGTGTCCACTTTTTCAGAAGAACAAAGTGGATATGAATATATATATGCTAAATATTACTTGAATTCTATTTTTTCTTTAGGTTACTTGAAGAGAATGATATTTCATCCATAGATGACGACGCTTTTCAAGGTCTTTATGCTGTAGAAATCTTGTAAGTAATTGCCTAACCTAAGACCATCATTTACAACACTATAATTTGAGTATGACTGATCACTTTGCAGTTTGATATCCAACCAGTCAGGAAACACCACTGGACTTTGCAGTTTGATATTGAACCAATCAGAGAACACCACTGAACTTTGCAGTTGGACATTGAACCAATCAGAGAACACCACTGAACTTTGCAGTTTGACATTGAACCAATCAGAGAACACCACTGAACTTTGCAATTTGATATTGAACCAATCAGAGAACACCATTGAACTTTGCAGTTTGATACTTAACCAATCAGTTGAACTTTGCAGTTTGATATTGAACCAATCAGAGAACACCATTGAACTTTGCAGTTTGATATTGAACCAATCAGAGAACACCATTGAACTTTGCAGTTTGATATTGAACCAATCAGAGAAGACCATTGAACTTTGCAGTTTGATATTGAACCAATCAGAGAACACCATTGAACTTTGCAGTGTGATATTGATCCAATCAGAGAACACCACTAAACTTTGAAGTTTGATATTGTACCAATCAGAAAGCAACACTGAACTTTGTTCACACAGTTATAGTGAATGATCTTAATTTCTTTACAAACAACATTTTAAATGAGAAGTTCTATTGTCCCTGCTTATTATTCCTAACCAGTTAGACTGGTTGATTATGTGCATTATACTGGGAACCAGCTTTTATATCCCCACCAAGCAGTAGTGAAATTATGTTATAGCCAGCATATACTGTTTTGTGACCAGCAAGGTAATTGGGGACAGTGTCTGTAACAATTATTACACTTCTGTAACCTTTTGGACCTTTTGAAATCTTTGGTCATTTTTGGCCTTTTAATAATATTTTATGTACTAGTTAGGGTATTTATGAATAAATACTCCATTTCTTTTTTGATTATATATCTAGTTATCAGGCTGAAGCTCAGTAACCAATAAACTAATTTATAAAAGATTATTTATTCGTTATTCTGTATTTTAGGGAGATCAATGCAAACAAGTTGAAGCATCTTCCTGTTGCTCTGAGGGATCTGCCTGCACTGGTTGATTTGTAAGTATATCCAATCTGGCCATGATCTGTCACATCATTTAATCTCTCCATTCTTTTAGACAGTCATAAAATTCTGTTGCACCCACCTGTCTCACTTTTCAGACACAATCTTGCTACTATTACAGTAAAAATGTTTAACAGATGGTTATACAGAACCATGAAACAAAATATGGATTATTTTTGTTGAAACTGTATGCATAATAACTATGTAACAAGTCAAAATATTATGATTTGAACACTTCTTTTGTTCATGAAAATCAAGCAAGGGTTGATATAACACTGATTAGTTGCTATGGTTACAGGAGTCTGGCTGACAACAGGATTCACAGCCTCCCTCAATATGGTTTCCTTGGCAACCAGAACTTGGAGAAACTCCTTCTCAAGGGGAATCCAATTGACTCTGTAGATTCAAAGGCCTTCACACGACTTCCTCACTTAGATACACTGTAAGCATTTAGGCTTAAGTTAATCATAGCCCTGTCTCAAGTCTCTAGCCCCTGTTATTAGGGAGGTTAAGTTACTTGTTTTTAAAGCAGATATGAAATGGTATTGTTGACCTAAAGGAATCAATAGAATGTTTTGATAAATGTATTTGGACATGTTTTCTCATCAGTATTGTGAAAATTATTTCACTCTAACGATCGTTATAGCTGCTTAATAAGCAATATTCGAATAGGTTGTGACGTTATTGGCCCCATCGTGATCTCTCACTGGTCCCCACGTGGCCCGTTTTGGTCCATTAAATCATTACGTCATAATGCCAAGATGTTTTGTTATTTGTTTGCACAACAATCATATGGTTGCCGTGATTACCAAGGAACCAATAAACCAAAACTATATGTTATGTATGACGTTACTAATCACGTGGGGACCAATCTGATTGATCAGTTAATTTTATTATGTTATTTATGACCATAACAGTTATCTAACATTTCTTTTATAATGGCTATAGCAAGAATTCTACGTTGGGCTTACAATGAAGAAAACTGCATTTTTGTAGCTGCAAATTGAGAAAACATATTTCAGTTGTCCTTTAAGAGAACCTGTACGCGAGCATGTAATATTTTGACCCCTGGGGATTACTGCCCCACTCTCAATTCACTTTTTCAGGGATTTAAGTACAATTATTTTCTATATACCTTTATACTCAATCTGTCAAGTACAGGTCTTTTCATAATGACCATCCCCCATCCACAGCCAATCCTAGATCTCATGGCCCCATAATCTACCATAATAAAGCTTATTCAATTCTTCACTTATGTGCAAATATTAGCATGACTGGTCATTGGGAACATAATTTGTAAACGTATGTTTGATAATCACTATACCCTAAATTTGCAATGATTTGTGGCAATATATTCCCTAGTGGATTTAAAGAGAGGAGCATATTGCTATATAATCCATCGAATTATCTAGAGCTCTCTGGGTATTTTTTGAAATATTTGATACTTTTGTCTTTCAAATATCATTGAGACATATCCTCAGCATTCATCAAATGTTATAAGTTGTACATTACTATCGATAATAGTGTATTAAAGCATGGTTATCTAAGCTCTTTGAAGGGCACATGGCTAATTTCTCAGATTCTATGCTAAAGTTAAATGGGTACCTTCTTTAGAGACATGTAGGAAGTTGTAAAAACTGTTAAATTTATTCAAAGTTGTTTTAATAAGTCTAGTATTGAAGAAGCTTTCATATGATATATAACATATGATTGGAATGGAATGGTTGATGGGGGACAGTCATTATGAAACACCCTGTAGACACTATAAATGGGAGAACTAATCCACAGAGGTCCATAATTCAACATGTTCAAGTATGAGTTTTATAAAATGTGAATCCAACCTCCCTATTATTATCTATTGCCCTGCTTGAGTATGTTAAGGGGGGGGGGGGCTGGGCATGATGCAGGATTACAGTAGTATACAGTAAAACCTGCCAACAGGGAATGCTCTTGGGACTGGAAGAAAGTTTCCTTGTCCAGAGGTTTTCCCTATAGAGAGGGGCCACACTTTCCACAAACTTGCCGAATAAGCATATTTGTATACATATGGGCATTGATTGATTGTACCAATGTTGACTCCATACTTAGTTGCTAGACCTTTTTATGACATCTTGGAAGATGTATGAAGGTCTCCCACCCCCTCTATTTGCATTCTCCGTTGATTTTAGCTGCTGCTGCTGGTATCTGATGATGTCTAGTTGATGTAATTATTGATAGATTTGGCTCAACATGACACATGTACTTATCTGTTATCTCCAAAAAAACAATTGTGTCAGTCCCTAGATTATCAACTGATTTGATGTAATTAGGTTTGTTGAAAGGAAGAATTAGTGTCATGATAATAAGTAACAAATAGATAAGTATTAGTTTTAAAATATATCAGGTTAATTAACAGTGGGTGGGATACTACATCCTGTAAACAATTGGCTTATCTTAATCTCAATCATATTAATCCAAGCTTTTTAGAATCGGATATTGGCTTAAGACTTTCACACCTCTGAAAAAAATGGAATATACAGTGTCACTAATATTCCATATTCCTTGTTCACAGGTGAATTTTTATAATTTGCCCCAAAATAGTGTTCCTTGTTCCCTGTTCACAGGTTTTCCCTACAGAGAGGGTCCGTTAACATGTAAGTCAATGGAAAATTATTCGGTTCTTTTGAAAAGCATTCCTTGTCCATAGGTTTTCCCTACAGAGAGGTATTCCATCGGACAGGTTTTACTGTAGTTTGAAGAGTAATGCATTTTCATCTCTGTCACTCACTTTTTTGGCCCACCCTGTATATTACAATATGTCTCAGATAGACATGTGTATATAATTTCATTTCTGTTACAGCGTCCTATCTGATGTAAAAGATCAAACACAATTTCCAGATTTCAATGGTACAACGTCACTTACAACTCTTAAAATGGACAGGGGGAATATTGAGCGGATACCTGAGGACCTATGCACCAAGATACCGGCAATCAAATCACTGTAAGTTATCATTATCATTATTGTCATCAATGCAGTGATCTCTTCACCCTTTAAGCAAATCAATTTGCACCTTGATACTTGAAAATGAGAAAAATCATCAAAATTTGGTAACTTTGTTGAGAATTGTTATGTCACCACCAAAATGTGGTGACATATTGTTGTGGTCTCCATTTTATGTGACGGCAGTTGACGATCGGCAGGTGGAGGTTGGTGATCGGCGTCTGTAACAAATTCTTACAACTTCCAATAACTAAACAAATACTGTTTAGACTGACTTCAATTTTTTTCAAAATCATATTCAAGTTTTCTGAAGTTTAAATCTGACTTTTGATTTAAGATTTGACCTTCAATGACCTTCATAACGTCAAAAAGATCTTTTTTCAACTTGCTTCAAATTGACAAATTTTTTTCAAAATCATTGCAGGTTCTCAAAAGTTCAAATCTGACTATCGTAGATTTGAGATTTGACCTTCAATGATCTTCTCAAGGTCAAAAAAGAATTGACCTTCAATGATCCCTTCGAGGTAAAAAAAGAACATTTTTCAACTTGCTTCAAATTGACCAATTTTTGGGTCAAAATCATCTACAAGTTCTCAGAATGTCAAATCTGACTTTAGATTTAAGATTTAACCTTCAATAACCTTCTAAAGGTAGAAAGGTTAAAAAGGTCTTTTCTCAACTTGCTTCAAATCATCCAATTTCTTTTTCAAAATCATCTACAAGTCCCAGGCAAATTACTTGCTTCAATTCAGGAATGCTTCTTGTATGACTAATATGTCAGGTCATGACATTTAAAGAGTTAATAAAAGATTTATATATATTAGAGAGATTTCGCACCTAGTGAAAGTACAACTTATAACGTATACTTATACTTATAGGTAAACGTACAAGGTGTTTCATAATGTGGGCTTTTCGTCAGGAAAGATCTTCTCGTACTGTAATAAATACAGGTCAAAGGGATGCCATTTGTACTTTCTTGAATTGTAGCATGTTTAGTTGATCCAAATGTGTTTGTCAAGAATAAAATAGGCTCATATTATTATTTATATATAGTACATATGTTATAGACCCAACTCTTCTCAAATTGACTTTTTGGAGATGCTCATATGTTGAGCTACTGAATGGTTCGTTTCCAGGAATTGCTAGAACCTACTTGTTTGATTGGTGTTTCAAATTGATGGTTAAAGTATTTGATTGGATACTGTTCCCACTCAGCCAATTTATTTCAAAAAACGCTTGCGGTCAATTGTTCCACACACATGTAGGCAAATCTTTATACGGAGATCCAACTGTATCCGTTATCATCTACGTAAATATATCGTTTTGTAAGTTCGGTGAACTTATACTGATCATGAAAACATTGAAATAATCAACTTGTTTATGTAATGACTCACTTTAAAGAATCATGACTCACTTTAAAGGATCGTGTTTATAATACACTACAACTACAAGGACCCGGAAGCAAGCATTTAATTATAATGTGCATAATCTACACGTGCAAATGACCGTGCATTCACAGTCTCTAGTTGATGGAGCTTTTCTATAACGGGAATAGTTATGCTCCATTTAAAATTGATTTTAGTAAATATAATAGTTCGACATGACCCTTTAAACTATACGTATACGTGTAAGTTGTACTTTCACTTATGTGCGAAATCTCTCTATTATTAAAGTCTAAACTTGTTTTGTTTTCAGGTGTGCCGAATAATTGTACATAATTCATATGAAATTAAACCCTTGAAATCATGCATTTCAGAGATTTACACAGCAATAGAATCCGTATCATTCCAGAGCTGAGCAAGTGTAAGCAGCTCTACATTCTGTAAGTTGTATATGAGAAAAAACTTATTTATTATAGTATAGTAATTATGTGATATAGGATGTTATAATGAAATAAATTTTGTTCAATTATTTTTACATTTGAAATCACTTAAATATGTATAATTTTTAATATAGACATGTACCTTAATAGAAATGATTTTATTTATGTTTGATTTCAGATATATTTTTACTTATGTCATACGTGAATTTAATAAATTCTATGTGATAATTTTCATTGAGAACAAAATAATTAGCAAGCAGTAAAATTGATTCTTAACATGCTATAAATATACAAAAAGTGAACTGCATAGCAACAAATCAAAAACATCTTAAAAACAAAAGTAACCAAACCAAGTAACCTTTCTCTTGTCCCTCTCCAAATTTCAACCAGAAAAATCCTGAACTGCCTTTGGAAATATTTAGATAAACTTACCTCAGAAATCAAAATTGTAATTTCAAAATCAAAATTGACATTTTTACAATCCTAATTTTGAACAAAAAACTCATGGTAGCATGTGTTCGATTTATCAAAGTAATTATCAAATTTATGTTGTTGTTTTTTTCTCAGTAACTTGGGCAACAACCTCATTGAATCTCTGGAAGGTAGCCTGTTCAAAGGGCTCCACAAGTTACAAGATCTAACCATTAGTAAAAATCACATCCAGATGCTTCCTAATGATGCTTTCCTTGGGGACCTCACCAGCTTGGAGTACATGTATGTATTCTTAAAATTCTAGAATTAGTAGATTTATAGATTGATCTCACACTGATTTGAGTGCCATGATGGACATTTGATTTCAAATGAAACATGTGATGTTTTAATGCTTGTCAATACTAAACAGTGACTTCAGAGAAAATGACCTTACATGTATATAGAAAGTTGTCCTTCTGACAAGATCTGGTTGACTTGGTGAGTTCAAAGATTTCTCTTTAACTGAAAGAATCTAGTTGAAGCTAAGTCCAACGCAATAGAAGGGTAAACAAACAGAAGGAGTGAATTATATGGTAAATACGTAATTCTGTTAACTAAATCATTGTTTCAGAGACCTGGAGGATAATGAGATCTCCCACATAGAACAAGAGGCCTTTGCACCACTTGGCAAACTTGAGACCCTGTAAGTTCAATGGAATTTTCCAGATGTCAAGGGAATTTTCCATTTAATGTTTAAATTGTGAAAGGAATTTTCCATACTTACACTGATGATGTCATCAGTTGATTTTCATTGGCTTTTTTTGTGAAATTTTTGATATATTCAGGAGATCATTCAATACTCTCTGTAGAATCTTCGGTCCTTTTAATTGAGTCTCCCTTTGAACTATTCTATGATATTATTCATGTCTTATTGCCCAAACGTGTCAGAATACCATATCCATGATATACCTCCCAGTTAAGTAGATACTGTATTACTTTTAGAATTCATGATATGAACAGAAAATTTTTGATTTTGAATATTATATTAATTCTTTTAGTTTAGTTTTAAATTGTTTAAGAATAACAATTTTACATTTTAGGAACTTGGCTGACAATAAATTTGATATACTCCCCACAAAAGGGCTTGAAGGAATCAAAATTCTGAAAACATTTGGCACAAACACTTTACTGGATTTTCCCAGTTCTGATCATTTCCCTGTAGCTGAAAATCTATGGCTGTCGTATGTCTACCACTGTTGCGACTACATAAACCAAAATGAGGTAAAGACTGGTATTTTTAGGACAAACATTTATTTTATAAAAATGTTATTTACATGTATATTAATTCGGGGGAAAACGGCAATGATCATCCTAAAAAGCTTAGGAGTCGTTTTAAAGATTTGCAGTAACTTTTACGTACATGTAACCCATAACTGTTAAGACCAACCAACAGCCCTTCGAAATGCACATTTTAAGTTGATGCCTTTTACCACTACATTGTAAATTCAAGCAGTTACATGAGAGGGGGTCTAAGCACAAATACTGCTTTATTTTCCAGGAGGACAAGGCATCCCCACAGCTATCTGAGATTACAACGTGGTTACCTGCCTCAAACTGGAGCCATTTTCCCATCATTCATGGTGAGTTCATGCCTCATGACTTCTCTTGTCATATCTTTTTCTCTACATTTCTTCCTAAACCCAGTTCAGCAAGTAAGGATTGTCTGACAAGCTGACCCCTCAAAAAGGTTCTTATATTAAAGGGAGAATCAGATCTAACGAGCAGCCTAACAAACAATTGTTTCAATTTTAGAATATTTCTGGCTTTTGTCTTATGTCATTGCTTTTCATGTCTATTTTCTAAAAATCTCAAAAATGCATACTTTATATCAGGAAAACTAAAGATTTTTACAATAATGTATTATTTTCTATAAGAATTGTTACCATTCTTATTATTTGGGAGAATTTAAACATTTTTCACCCATTTTTGCACTTGCACCTTGAATCCATTATAACTTCACCAATTTATAGCATATCATGAATCTTTTTGGGAGATATTGTATTTGAGATTGCAAGGAATAGATTGGTAGGTCAATTGCAATTTTGTCACCCCAATAGATCTGATTCTGCCTTTAACACTAAAGGATTGGTATCGATATGGAGAATTGAATTCAACAATGTTTTTCTCTTAAACCAATCATTGAAAACATTCTGTAAAAAACACAGTATTTTATGTAATGTTGACTGATTGACAACAATTTAATGTGAAAATTATTTAGAAATATTTTATATAACTGTTTTTGTTAAAATTTTTTGTTTTTCAAATTATATTGTTACCACTCAAAAGATGACCATTTAAGACTGGTTTAAGAGAAACGTGTTTTCAAAAAGTTCTCCATATCGATACCACTCCTTTGACAATCTATGTTTTTGTCATTGTAAATCTCTCAAAGATACATACAACCCCATCACAGTCAACAAATAATGTAACTGTTGCCCCAAAAGGTCACACATCAAATTAATGTGATTTTGAGGCTGAAAAACATACTATCCTATAGAGGGCATGTAATGTCATGTTAACTTTGTAAAATATTCATGCTGCACAATAAAGGGCAAGAGAGATGACATGTCATGTTAATGTTATACATACTACACTATAGAGGGTGTGGTAACTTTGAACATGTTAATGTATAGAGGCCATGTAAGGTCATATTAACTTTGCAAATAATCCCCTAAAGAGGGAGTTATTCTTGTTTGAAAAATAACATGTGACTCAATTGAGGAATGCAGAAAATTTCCCAACATGCACCCTGGCCTTAATGTTTTAATACACAGCCACTACTTGTATTTGTATTTTGAAATGATTAATTTTAATGAATAAAACTGAATAAATAAATAGAAGTTACCTTGGGAGGGGTTGTATATTCACTGGTCAGTATCAAGCAAAGGTAATGGCCGTCACCTTCACATCAAAGATGGTGGAAGGGAATTGTAGATTTCGATATTATTAGTTTTCATTGAATTAAACTACTTTATAGTTGACATAATGCTTTGATATTTGAACTTAGTCCGTGATCGTGGCGAGCAAAAAATATTTTTCAAAAATTTATTTTGAATTTTACAAAAATTCATGCAACTTCCTTCAAAATTGAGCTAGAAATTTCAAATAAAAGCATTTTTATGTTTAATGGTTATTCGCACCCAATGGGCATTCACACCCATCGCACCCCACCCCCTGGCTATGCCCATGATAACTGTACATCATGTGCTTTTTATACCTAATGTCATAGATAAGAGATCCTGTTATAATTTCTAATATTCCTTGTTACTTTATCCTTGCCTATATTCACAAATATATATATACAGCATCCAGTCTTTGAATTTGAGTTAATTAAATACCTGCTGTTCTTAGCTATGATCTTAAAAGGAAACATACAGAATGCCTGAGGAATGGACTCAGTCAGTTTCAATCAAATATTATTCTTCATACTGCATGTACTTATTGACAGAATTGCAATACATTTTGTTGTCTTATTGCGAAGCATCCCTAGCTTACGCCATGATAACTTCAAGTAAGAATGGAGAGACATACGATTTACAGTATAGAGAATGAGTCGATGGGGAAACTGACAATAATTGATTCAGAATAAATTTTTACAAATTGCTGAGCAAGAGCATGGATTTAATAACATTGGTATGGATATCTGAGAGTATTGTAACTATATGGGTGTCCTCTATGTCTGTGACAATAGCAACAGGTGAGCATGGAGATCAACAGGGGGTGGTTCACCCTCTAGAGTTAAGGAATATAGAAATTAAAACTTCAATGCCAGGTACCTGTGCAAAGTATTAGATTTGTAACAAGTTATTAACATTTACATGTAAAAATTGTCATGAAGTTTGATTGTTAGAGTTTTTTGTGTGCTGCACTTGTACTATTCAGATTATACTTCCAATATAATATACTGTACATGCACTTGTATTAAGATCACATTGCCTAATATAATTCATATACTGCACTTGTGTTTTAGATCACATTTTCAATGTAATTGATATATATATATATGGTTACAGTATATACAGCAGTTCAATTTTCATATTACCCTTATGTTTGTCATTGTACATTATTATATCATCGCTAGAAATTCTGTGATTTGATTGGCTGATTCAGTACCAATTGATCAAAAATACCATAGTTTATTATTTCCCTGTAGTGATAATCAGTTTGTGATTGGTCAGTCATGTACCATGTTACTAAAAATACCACAAGGTATTCCATCCATGTATAAGTCATCAATATGAAACGTGTATTTTTTTAAAAATAAACACAGGTATTCAACGAATGTGACGTCACATGTATAGGCTATTGAAAACATGCGGCATTATTTATCGAATTTTCAATTTTTGAGACACTATATAGTTAATAATGAAAATTGTTCAACTGTAATATGTATTTCTTCTTTTCTACTCAGATTTTGATATACACGTAAATGAGTGAAATAATAAAACAAATATTGAATAATGTTGAGTGTAATACCTGTATATATTTCTGGGGGATGTCTTGGGGCTGCGGGCAATACATACTGCTGCAAAATCATTGAAAGATGAACAGGTATTGCCCTCCATAGAATGAAATATTTGCTTATATGATATGTAGATATTTTTAGATCACATTGCCTAATGTAATGATTTCTATGACAATGTTTCAGATAATACATCCGTATATAACAGCTCCCTATATGATTATGATAAATTCTTGGACGAAGTCATGGAAACATTTGGGACACAAGAGGATTACCCAGCATACCCTGATGATATGCCAGAGGATGCAAGACTCTTCTTTGATAATTTGAAACCCCAAAATAACACTCATGATATTGGCAATCATAAACCTCAGATCAAATGTTTTCCACATCCAAGTAAGTGAAGTTTTATGAAACTACTACTGGGGCCCCATGATATTAGGATTTGCCATTTCAAATTGAGAATTTAATCTATGATTTGTATACATATACTAACCTAATATTTATATGTTTTGATTTTACCATGTGGAATTTAAACAAATCCTATTTTCTAACAAAACTACAATGAGGTATGTCTCACTACTGGGTGAACAGATCAGTCATTTGTTCTATATTTATAATTTGTATTTTGTGCCTCAAACAAAACACAATATGTACATTTACGTGTAGCTCTGCCATATTTCAGATTCTACAATATTATTATAGACATTTTTGCATCATCAAAATTAGGAGACTATGTAAATTGGACACATGTACATTTTTACAACCACCCATCATGCCTCTGGACATGCTTTTATTGCTTAGAATATGCGGGAAAATATGCATGTTTGACTGTCATTCTCCAGTCTAAGGCCTTTTGAGTGGAAGGTTTATAAAAATACACCTACAGACTGTTGTTACTGTAAATTCAGGGCGCACTAAAAAGTCTTCTTATTTTGGAATAACTTATTTAATATTGGTGGAACTACACAAGCTGCACTGTCACATGATATATTATATTATTTTACATTCAACTTTGATTCCAGCTCCATTCGAACCATGTAATGATCTGATGGGATCATGGGCTCTGCGATGTGGTGTCTGGATAGTTTTTTTCCTCGCACTCATTGGCAATGCCACAGTTCTTTTTGTCCTTACAACAGCCAGAACAAAGCTTGATGTTCCACGATTCCTCATCTGCAATCTGGCCTGTGCTGATTTCTTCATGGGGATCTACCTTGGATTTCTGGCAATCGTCGATGCCTCAACATTAGGTAATAAGATAATTGAATATTTCAAATACAAAACAGGTGACATCTTAGTTCAGCATCTTTTCTCAAATATTTGAATGAAATGGTTTCTTGCATGCAACACACTTAAACCACACTTAGCAACACAATAGAATGAACTGTGTTTTATTTTTAAGAATACCTAGCTGTAACAAAGAGGAGTGCATTATTGGACCTCTTGGAGTTTGGTAGCTGGTGTTCGGTGTCTGTAACAAATGGTAGGTTGTTACATTTTGCATCTTAATGCCTTATCTTCTCATGTCTTCTCATTCAACTGTTCAATGTACTTGTAGGGGAGTTCAAGAAGCATGGCACTCGCTGGCAGAACAGTCCTGGTTGTATCGTCGCTGGATTTCTAGGAGTCTTATCCAGCGAACTCTCTGTCTTCACTCTGGCCGTTATCACATTGGAGCGATTCTATGCCATCACACACGCCATGCATCTTAACAAACGTCTCTCGTTGAGACATGCTGGTAAGTTCTAATTCAATATATGTCTCCCATTAACATCTTAACAAACGTTTCTCTTTGAGACTTGCTGGTAAGTTCTATTTCAATGTATGTCTCCCATTAACATCTCAAACACCCAGAGTGACAAGGAAACTAGTCATAGAATCAAAATGGCTCCAGCTTTGACAATATTTATCTTATTATACACAAGTTAGGTTCAAAATGTGTGCATTTACCAAGATGCTAGTAGTTTCCAGTTTCAGCACCAGGCTACTAATTCGGGACAAATAACATGGCAGATAAAGGAAAAAGTTCTTCAAAACTTCATTAATTATTATTAGATTTATTGGATCAATTTTACAATTTTTTAAAGTTGATAAACAAACTTTAAAATCACATTACTAGATATAGTTTTATTTGTAGATTTCACTTGATACCACTTTGATTAAATTTTGAATATTTAATGAAGAAAATCAAGATGATTGCTACTTGCCCCTGGTATATTGGTCTAATTTTGCTACATTAACTGAACATCAAATAATCATATTGTATATTTATTTAGTGAAATGGCATAACTTTCACATCCTTGGCCCGAGAGTAATTCATTGCATTACATTACATGAGCTGCTATAAGAGCAGGGAAGAACCGATCTTGAAGGGTAACTTTCAAAAATCAGATGCAATCTATGAGGTTTAAATCATTAATGACTTAACTATAGAATCCCTAAGGAGTCTACCTGAATATGTCTACCAATCTAGGAACCACTGTAGACATTAATAACAGGAGTTTGATTACTTCTTATTTGTCACATGTTTCAACATGTTTCCTCCCACTGAGTATGGGAGCAAATAATCAACCAGGCACAAATTAAATAATATCAACAGTATGTACAGCTTGTTAATGAAATATTTGCAAAAAGTATGTCTTAGGACATGAGAAAAATAGCAATTCTAGATTCACTAGAAGTCCCTCAATCAATCAAAATATAAAAACGTGTTAATGTTGACAGACATCCTGGAACAAGATTTGTGGGTGTTTACAAAATCAGTATCTTTAATCTGAAATAATTCAGCTCTATATATAGCAGTGCACATTTATTTTTACTTCTACTTCCTGTTGAGATTCTATTTGTATAGTAAATCATTTACTATTAATATTTCTTGCGGGGTTGTGAGGGTACAACGTTATAATGAAATAAGTTGAATTAGTAAAGCTGTTAGTGTCAGAGATGTGATCCCCATTTTCTATTTATTAATTTATATTCATCATTTAATAAAAAATAATTTAATAAAAATAATGATGATATAATGATTTGCTCTTATAATGATAGAATATTTTACCACATGCACATTGATTGGTGATTTGTTATCCCACCGAACAAAGTTCGAGGGGGATATAGGAAAGCCGTCCGTCTGTCCATCTGTCTGTGTGTCCGGGCAATAACTCAAATACGAGTTGACATATTTGATTCAAATATTTTATATGCTGACACCTAAGGACAAAGGATTTCCAAGATGGCTGCTAAAGGATGTGTCTGGGTATATGCCCTTTTGGTCCCTCAGTCAAATGTTTGTGAAATATGGTTTTTATTACTGTCCTAGTTATATTTGATAAGTATATTTACTTTTTCATGAGTTTTGATGCATAATTAGCCCCCTGCTGAGAGTCAGAATAAGTAGCCTAACAAACAAAAAATAGTCATTATCATAGAAAAAAAACACCAATGGCAACATGTATGACATACAAAGAAGAAATAACTTAAGACCCATGAAGAATTAAAAAGAAAATCATATTTTTGAATTATATTTAAGAATTAAAATTTTTTTTCAAATTTTTGAATTTCCCGCCAGTTTAATTTGAAGGGGGAAAAACAAGATGGCTGCCATTTGACGTAAGAAATATCAGAAAAAAAGTTGCTTCACTTTTAGTTTTCACAATGAGCACAGTTTTCCGGTTTGGGTTTTTTGACTAAATCTGACTCTTCACCACCAGGGTCATGTATAGGGATTATAAAATTGAAACCAAAATGTTGTGCTCAGCATGAATTTGACTGAAATATGTGTAACTTCACCAACACAATTGAAGTCTCAAAACTGGATGCTCAGTAACTTTGAGTGACTATAATCCCTTGATTACCCAGATAAACACAAATTCACTTATCCAGAAATACCATTCAATGTCTATACAAAGAAAATAAGCAATGTTTTGGAGGATATGTTTCAAACTTTTTGAATAAATAATTCATTTAATATTTGCCATTGATTTTTTTTCAATTCTGACAAAGTGATATGCACTGTCTTTGATGCCAATATTCTTCATCAATTGTGATACAAATTGATATTTAAGTAATCTCAGAAGAAGGATAAGATATTGAAGTTTAATAATATGTGTGATTGAGTTGGTTTTTCAGACATTACAATTTTCAATATTTTCTAAGTCGATACCCAGACTCATTCCCAGACTCATCCTTTCAAAATGGCGGCCATTTTTTGTAAAAAAATGTAATCTATGATAACACAAATACCAGTGAATGGATTTGGTTCAGATTTTATATGATGATGCCTAGGGACACAGTAGCTCTGTTGGAGAAAGAATTTTCATGCTGATATGCTCTGTTCAAGAGAAACTTCAAGATGGCCACTGAGTATCAAAATATGTTTTGTTCGGTGGGATTTGCTACTCCGTGGAGTTGCTTTTTTTCTAGTATTAATTTAGAATATACAGATCCATGACAATTTTCTCATTTCTGATGAAGTAAATATCAAATACCAGGGTCAAAAATGGATCTTTAGTGTTATATTGTTAGGCTTAATCTTATGGCTAATGAATTGTTTATGTATTTTCAGCATATGTTATGACTTGTGGGTGGGGCTTTGCACTTCTCCTGGCCAGCATGCCCATATTTGGAGTGAGTGACTACAAGAGGTTTGCAGTCTGTCTGCCCTTTGATGTTGACGATCCTATTAGTAAAGGTAATGAAACATACATACAGGCGTTAAATATACACTGTAACAAGAAGTGATGTCATCGTTTAATGAAGCATATTACTGTACCTCAGCAGTATACTGTAGTATTACATGTAAATGTATGAAAATATATAATGTAATATCGTATCAGGGGGTAAGCCAGCAATTGTCAAGGGGTAGGGGTGCAAATTTTGGGGTTTGCATCAATGCATGCTTTTTATTTTTATCCCAACGAACGAAGTTCGGTAGGGATATAGTGAAACCCTCCGTCCGTCCGTCAGTCTGTCAGTCAGTCTGTCCGTCAGTCTGTCCGTCCGTCCGTCCAGAAGATAACTCAAATATTAGTTGACGGATTTTCTTCATATTTGATGGAAAGATGTATATTGATGAATAGTTTTACGAAAAAAAAAATTTTTCAAGATGGCCGCTGCTTTAAAAATGACGGGACTTTTTCGCAAAAATCATAAATTTTTCATTCTAAACCAAAGTAATTAATATTATTGTTTGAAATTTTGGTAGTATATTCGCAACATCTATCTATTTCACATATATTCCCTGTTTTTCATCCTGACCCCCAGGGGCCATGAAAGGGGGGTCAGGAAAACAGAAATTTTCGCTTATTTTTAGATCTTTCTGACGTATAGCTTTATTATACTCAAATGAAAGGCAATTAAGAGTAGATTGCAAATATTGTATCTTTTTTTCTGATTCGAGCCTCGTAAAATTCAATATGGCCGTCTTATGTACGATTTCTCAATAAGTTTTCGATCCCTTCAAAGTATGGCTATATAATACTCAAATTGAAGGAATTTTGGAGTAGATCACAATTACTGTATTATTTTTCAGATTTGTACCTCAGAAAATTCAAAATGGATTTTTTCAAGATGGTCGCTGCTTTAAAAATGACGGGACTTTTTTCGCAAAAATCATAAATTTTTCATTCTAAACCAAAGTAATTAATATTATTGTTTGAAATTTTAGTAGTATATTCGCAACATCTAAATTTTCGCTAATTTTTAGATCTTTCTGAAGTATAGCTTTATTATACTCAAATGAAAGGCAATTAAGAGTAGATTTGCAAATATTGTATCTTTTTTCTGATTCGAGCCTCGTAAAATTCAAAATGGCCGTCTAATGTACGATTTCGCAATACTTTTTCAATCCCTTCAAAGTATGGCTATATAATACTCAAATTGAAGGAATTTGGAGTAGATCACAATTATGGTATTATTTTTCAGATTTGTTCCTGAGAAAATTCAAAATGGCTGCTTTGCAGGAATTTGCAATTCTAAAATCTAAATTTTTCAATTTTAACCAAAGTAATGAGTATAATTGATTGGAATTCGGTAATTGATATTTTGTTTGTTGGGATTTGCTACTCCGCGGAGTTGCCGTTATCTAGTTATTCTTTTTTTTGTGGGGATGGGGGATCACACCCATTGCACCCCCTGGCTATGCCCATGGGTAAAAATAACAAAATGATATAATATCCAATAGTTTATAATTTCAGAATGAGATATTTCAATTAAATTTCAGCATATTATGTTTCGCTTAAATGTTTTAGAACTATTTTTCTTCAAGTGCAAATTATTAAGCCAAGAATACACATTTCTATAATTTTGGAATCTTATTTCTGTTTTCTAATTTCAGGTTATGTGGGCTTCATCCTGGTATTTAACAGTCTTGCATTCTTTACAATTGTCATGTGCTATGCCAAGATGTACTACGCCATCAGAGGAAGCCAGGCTTGGAACAGCAACGACTCTCGCATTGCTAAACGAATGGCACTGCTGGTCTTCACAGACTTTGGTTGCTGGGCTCCAATTGCCTTGTTTTCATTTACTGCCGCCTTCGATAGATATCTTATTACATTAGAGGACGCAAAGTTTCTAACTATATTTGTGTTGCCTTTAAACAGTTGTGTAAATCCGTTCTTATATGCTATATGCACAAAACAATTTAAGAAAGATTGTGTAGTTTTTTGCAAAAGACTCGAGGAGACATCTATCTCTCGTGGAATTTCACGACTGACAAATAGACATAATATGTCAATGAGTGTTGGATCATCGCGGAGATTATCAGCATTAAATAGCTTTTTTGCTAGCATGGATAAACGAGACAGTCGGAGTTGGAGTGGTGGACAATGCAATGTAAATGATCGTCATAATAATGGCCGAGGGTCAGGCGGATCCCGGGGTTCGCGTGGATCCCTAGTTTTACAAAATATCAACAATCTTCAAAGAGAGGCTGATATGGAAAATGAGGCTCAACATGTGCAGCCATCAACTCCACTCTGTGCGCAGGGGCCTATAGTTGCCAATGGAAACGCACCGCCTAGCAAACAAACTGTCCTTTCCGATGATTTTGTCCAGCCAGTGTTCTGTCTCGGTGAAACAAGAACACCAGTCCCAGATAAAAAGGGGCTTTCTCCAGACAATCTAGCTCTCTCAGAGCGCAGACCTAGTTCATTTGATAAGTTTCTCAACCCCCAGCAATTGCTGCTTTCCATTCTAAAGCGCAAGAAGGAGAAAGAACGAGAGGTGTCTGAGGCATGTAAGGAAGACTCAGTCTGGGTGCCTCGAGAGGACACTCAGGAAAGTGTGGGTATGTTCCCCCTGATGCCGCTGGGGGAGAGCCCAGGAGGAGCACGTCGCTCATGCTCCCCTAAGAGTCCAAGCTGGACACGAAGACTCAAGAATGCCACATCACCAAAACTCTCAACTCGCTCATCATGCTTGAAGGCTAGCAGCTCAGACTATGAACTCATGCTAAATCCTGCTGAAAATACTCAATGCTCATATCAGAAAATGGAAAATATTCTTGCAGACAATCCTTCTGGAGGAGTTACAGACAATGACCATAATTCAGACTATATGAATTATAATGGAGAACATGCTGTATGTAGGAACAGATCTGGCAGACACAACAAATATATGAATGAACCTAGAAAGTGTGCTGAATATATGAACACACCAGGTATTCATGATAACTGTATGAACACTTGTGAACCTCACAAGGTCGAGTTGGACACTGCTAAACTACCATCATGTAGGAAAGCAGATTGCGTTAACTATGGCAGTTATGATGCATCGAATATGAAACATACCGGTTGCTACGGAAACTATGAGAATCTCGGGGAACAAATTCAAAGCAAATCAATAGAGTGTGTGCATCATTGTAAAAAAGATTGTGATAACACAATGTGTTCTAAGAAGTCTGATAGTGGGGATAGTGGGGTAGGGCATCTGAGTCAGAGAAACAGCGATGATAACTGTAGTGAGGAACATGATGTTATGAACAACTATATTGCACAGGGTATCTCAGCAATTCAGGAAAATGAACTTCTAGATGATGAAAGTTTTGTTGCTATGGAGACACCATGTAGTCTCCGTAGCTACTGTAAGGACAGAAGAGGTAGAGCTAATAGACAATCCATAAGTTTGTCCTCTTTAAATGACCCAGCTGGGGAAAATTTCTCAAATAGGTCTAGCGGTTGCTCATGCTCAGACATATTATCAAGTGTACCAAATCTCAATATTGATTGCCATGACAACCAGTATGACCTTGGTCACCATGGCAATCCAGGGGTGCCATATGCAAACTGCAACATGCTTGTGCATACAGATAAATCAAAAATTGATTTAACCCCAGGTTTGGAATTCTTACATAAAGCTAGATCAAATCAAAAACAGAACAATTATACATATTTTTTAGGGAACAAAGATTCTTTCTCTGATACAGTTGCCATGGAGACAACAGATAAGATGTCACATGATGAGACGCAAAGAGAATGTTCAGAGGAAGAGAGCTGCAATGTCAGAGATAACAGTGAAACAGAGAGTAGTTTTTAAAATACAGTTTAAGCCCTGTATACACTGGCAAGAGCAATGCTTAAGATGCAAGAAAATTGCTTGAAGTCTCCGATAAATCGGACTACGTATACCGCTGTGTTTACATTAGGGGATTAGAAGAGTTTATTTTTTTTTTAGTTATGCAAGCTATATCAATATTAGGCCTTCATGCATGTACTCGTGTGTACAATCAGCATGCCCTACAATATTATATAAACCAGGCTATTCAAATACTACATAATGTACACTATTTGTGTGTACTACATGGGAATACGATTCCCTGGGAAACAAAACACAAATACTTTTTATATGTTCAAAATGAGCCATTTGATTGATGCATACACTTAATAGCTCATTAATAACATCTACAAAGTATATCTAACAGTAATTTTCAATTTCAATGGTGAAACTTGCCTGTTTACGATTATACGGGAAATCAACATGGATTGTTCACCTTCCTGACTTACCTCTGAAGCCTGTACCTTGTAATCTCTTTATATAGGTTAGCGAGAGCGCTGCGTCTGCGCAGTTTTAAACTTTGGCGCACACTTTAAAATGAAAATGAAACAACAGGCGTGATTTTGTTCTCTCATGCTAAACTATTAAAACGATTACATGTATGTCCATGTTGAAAGCAAAACACATGAATAAATTGAAGAACACAATGAAATAGAAGATATGTTGCAAGTTTTGCAACAATAAAGTTTTTCATAACGGGTGTATACAGGGCTCAAATTGGAGGGTAGACCAGATTACATATTTAGTATATTGTAGTTCTCTGAGCACTTCTGTAAGTATGCAAGCTAGAAAGCTGCAGTTCAATATTTTAGCTTTAATGTATCGGTGCTATTTGTTTCCCTGACCTCGTGCTATTTATCATTTTTGTGTATAACCCTTAATATGAAATGTCATCGATGTTATCTCATCCAAAATTCATACCTGCAATTAGTATTACAGATCAAATTGGGTTTTTACCCTAACGATTTACTAATGAAATGTATGTTTAATGGTACACGGTTGGATATCCAAAGACCTCCCAGGAAACCCTATTTTACATTTTAAGGGTTTTTATTACAATTTTTCCATAATTTTGATGCGATAATGATCAGCTTATACAATGTTATAATGATCTAGTTAACAGTAAGTTAACCTTTAAGAGGCAATCTTTCAGTTAAAATCCTTTAAAAACATTGTTTGGCCCTAGAAAAAGTTATATAAACAATTTTTGTTCATCAACATCTTATCATCAATATGATAGTGGTAGATAGGGAGTTTAAGCTAGCATATAAAATCGAAACGCCAACCTAAACGTATGACCAATCGCCCATACAAATGCTTCAATATTTTCCGTTCATATTTAGGTTGTGAAAAACATTGCAAGCTTAAACTCCATATTATTGAAAGATGGACTTTAGAACAGGAAAATGAACCAGTATTACTTTAAATTGGGTATTTCTTAAAGGATTGGTTCTAAAATCCTTTGTAATTTTGGCCAGCTTTTCTTTTGCATAATAATCATGTTTGTGTTCATTGTAATCTTTACTTCTTTACAAATGTTGCTTATTTTACAGAGAGGTTGCACAAATTAATATTTCCCTTTGCTTTTATCAGTTTATGACTTATGAGGAATCAAATATCTGTAAATGGCAATATTTTGCTAAACCTGCATTATTACTTAGTAGATGAAGATTCAGTGAATCAAAAAGTATCATTCCTTTTTGATTTTTGTGTATTTCATTGTATTTTTGAATTGTATATATTTCAGATTTTTACGTCACCACCAAAAGTGGTGACATATTATATTCTCCAACTTTTTTGTGGCTAGTGTTTGGTGTCTGTATTAATAGCATTCGGCATCTGTAAACAAATGGCAGGTGGTAACATTTTGCATGTTAAAATAAAATTTATGATATTTTGATGCCTTAAGATTTTATAAACATAAGATGCTGATGAAGCAATTTTATTTGATCCATATTTCTTTGTTTGATGCCTTTAGATAGAAATAATAATAATGTACACAGTTTACTAAGATGTCGAGTGTAAGAACTTATAAAAAATTTAATTATATCTATTGAGTTTTTATGTCACCCAAAAAGTGGCAATTGGCAATCTCACTGCTACCCACCTAGTTACACAGACGTATCGTCAGTGTATCATGGCTGAACTACTTCCGGGATTTGAATTTGGTAAGATATTTTTATTTCTCGATTTACATCTACTTATAAGCTACGATGTGGATTATAATTTGGCTCGAAGTTATGGGAGATAGTCTAGTTTGAGAATGTGTCGATGGTTTTAGGTTTGGTATGTTAACGAAGACAAATTTCACATATTTAGTCCCTCGCTTTTGTTACACTGACAATCGGCATTAATATTGCCAATATTACACTGATATTGGTCGTACGTCAGTGTAACAAAAGCGAGGGACTAAATACGTGAATTGCGTTTTCGTTAACATATAAAACCTAAAACCATCGACACATTCTCAAACTAGACTATCTTCCTTAACTTCGAGCCAAATTATTATCCACAACGTGACTTATAAGGAGGTGTAAATCGGGAAATAAAAAAATCTTACCGAAACCTAGTCCCGGAAGTAGTTCCGCCATGATACACTGACGATACGTCTGTGTAACTAGGTGGGTAGCAGTGAATCTGCGGTTGACAAGGACTTCATTCAATGTGGGATCCTCTGGCAAAGTTTTAATAATCATAGTCTTATATTGATAGAGTTATGGTTGTTTCAAAATATGCTCCAGATGTCGTCAATTTCGCTGAAAACAAACAAGCAATGTTCAAGGAAAACTGTTCATAACACGGATGCATTCTTCCCCATGGGTATGACTCAAATTTTGCAGCCATTGCTTGTTGGAGTTCTGCAATTGCGGTAGGGTTATTTTCATGCACATTATCCTTTAAATAACCCCAGATATAGAAGTCAGGGGCATTGAGATCAAGACTGTGGGATGACCATGGGTTCTCATAGAAATGACTAGTGAGCCAGGCTATGCTATCATTAGAAGTGTGAGGAGTAGCTCCATCCTTCTAGAACCATTGTTCTTGTCTATTGAAGTATCTATGTCACTCTAGAATTGCCTAGAACTTCCTGGGAACGCCAATATTGCACTGTGTGTTAACAGTAACAGTGTTGCCATTATCAACCTCAAACCAAAAGGGGCTGATGATTTCATGTTTGGAAATTGGCAGCCCAAGCTGTGCATTTAACAGAATGAAGGGGCCTTTGAAGCACTTCATCTGGAATTTGTGATCCCAGAACACATTATTTCTTGAGTTTACATGATCAGGAAGAAGGGAATGTAATTCAGCCGAAAACCTAACATTGGAAATGGACGACATTTGGAGCATATTTTGGAACGACCATAACTCTATCAATATAAGACTGTGATTATTGAAACTTTGCCAGAGGATCCCACATTGAATGAAGTCCTTGTGTGCCAAATTTAACCTCCATTTAAGAAAAATTTTGAAGAAATGGAGGGTTGCTTTTTTTTGGGTCACCCTGTATCAGAAGTTCAAATCTGATTTGAGATTTAAGATTTGACCTTCAATGATCGTCTCAAGGTAAATAAAAAAGAATTGACCCCTAATGACCTTCTCAAGGTCAAAAAAAGGTCAAAATGATCTTTTTTCAACTTGCTTCAAATTGACCAAATCATCTAAGAGTTCTCGGAAGTTCAATCTGAATTTAGATTTTAGATTTCACCTTCAATGAGCTTTTCAGGGTCAACATTTCTTCAATTTGCATCAAATTGACCCATTTTTTAAAAATCATCGACAAGTTCTCAGAAATTCAAATCTGACTTAGATTGAACTCATAATATTGTGAGCAACTAGGTGGTGACATTTTGTCATGTTAGGGCCTTGTTATAAGTATGTCTAACATGCTGGTGACCAGGGTCATGCCATGTCTATATATTACACAATTAAAATGATGAAATGGCCTAAGTTAAAATGATTATATGTTAAAAGTGAAATTGTTTTTTCATTCTTGATTTTCATATTTTTGATTGATGGACATGCATTTTATGATTAACGATTTCTTAAGTACATATAAGTAGAATGTATAACACAATAATTTAGACACTATGTAAGTGTTACTTTATGTAAATATCTGAACTTATTTATTATTAAATGGTGCTTTTGTTGTACATTTATCAGACCTAAATGTTAATCATTGTTCTGTATATAAAAAAAATATGTAAAATAAAATAAAAAACATTCATCCTGCTTGTGTGATCATTTTGTGTCCACTCACAGACAGGTTCTTAGATGTGATGTGTATCAGAATGGGCTTTAACTGCAAACGCCCTCTTCATTTACACAAGATTTTTTCTCGAGGCTACCAGATTGAATCAATGTTCAGTTTTAAAGTGGCAGCAAAGATTATACAGGGTGGGCCAAAAAAACGCCACTTTTTTTCAAAATGTTCCTGAACTGATACGGCCTGATGATCACCAAGCTAATAGCCCTGATGCAAACCCCAGTGAGTATAGGGTATGGGGAGGTCTCCAGGAGATTGTATGAAGGCACCCAAACTAGAAAATTGATCAACTAAAGCTGGCAATTAAGACAGGTTGAAAAAAAAATAGCTACATTTCATTGATACGGCAATATCAGCAAGGCGACTAAACCTAAAATATATCATCAATTAGGGTGGCGGACCAATTGAACTCCCCTTTTAGATCAAATATAATCCAAGTTGAAGGACTTGTTACATTATACTATTACTAAGAACCCTTGGCACTATATAACTGCTAAATTTGGGGTATGTAGGTTGGAAAATAAAAAAGTTGTAGCGTCTTGAAAAAAAAGTGGCGTTTTTTTTGGCCCACCCTGTAGTATACTGTATTATTAATGCTAGAAGTTATCTTCAAACCATGTAACACGTTAATGATACCTTTACTCATCAGTCAGGATATCAAATAATGGAGGATAGTTATGCTTAAAATAAAGCCAACTTTTTCTTTATTACCAGATAATAGTAAAAGTATTATAATAAAACTGTTAAGACTTTTTAGAAAATATGCACAATGAGCAAAAATGTAATTTCTTAAGTTACACTCAACCTATCTGTAGCCTTTGTTATCACGCCCAAACCTAAAGTCTAAGCATTAGAAATTAGCATTTTTTTTGATCTGCAATAAATTTTTTATCCACAAAACAGCAATATGTTGCATGGAAACAAAATGTCTTTGTCCCAAATGAATTTGTGATTCAATGATCATTTTCTTCAGTTGATGTAATTTTGCACAGGCATTGACTTAGACTTTGGGTCTTACTCTTTCCAAATAACTTAGAAACATAATACTTGATTTGGTATAAAATCTATTTCATATCCTCTATGTATATATTTACATTCATTTACTATATACATCATATAAATACATTTCATTCAATGCTATATAAAAACACGACATATTCCATTCATTTTTTTGACCATAAGCACACAACTTGCATATATTTCCATGTAAGGTAAGTTCCCATTAACGAAAAATGTTGGTGTTATTTCAACATTTTGGTTTTGAAATGTTTATTAACATGAAAATGTGCAAAAACATTACCTTATTTATGAATTTTTCAATCATTTAGCATTTTTAATCAAAGAAATTATTGTGAAAACTACACAGAAACTTTCATCTGGTAGAACTACTTTTTAGGAAATGATATTTTCAGTAAGGTAGCACATAATGCCAATGATTGATTTATTGTTAGAATTCTCATTTCCAAGAAGTTGTTATTTCTCAGTGTCAAGGCTAGGCAACATCAATTGATTTTCAATTGAATATCATCTCTTTCATAAGTAATGTGACTTGTGTCTGACCAATCATAAAATGAAAAGCATGACAATGATACAACAACAATTAGCAGCATGTTCTTATTTGGAACAATACATTGTATTAACAATTATATGCATTTTTGGCAATTTCTATAAATGAACATGATTATCAAGTAACAAGAATGTTCATCATTCATACATGAACACATATTCATGAACACATATTCATGAACACATAACAATGACTAAAAATATAAGAGTATTCAATTACTCATTTGTAAATATCAAGTATACTTGACTTTCTGATCTTGGTATCAGTTTACAGGGCTACAATTTGGCAAAGGTTCTTCAGTATACCTCAAGATCAATCAAGATACCTCAATGTCAATCATACATTAATGTCAAACATGGATGTATTGAGACCAATCAAGATGCCCTAATGTCAATCAAGATGTTTCAAGATCAATCAAAATACCTCTATGTCAATCATACATCAATGTCAAATATGGATGTATCGAGACCAATCAAGATGCCCTAATGTCAATTGAGATGTTTCAAGATCAATCTAAATACCTCAATGTCAATCATACATCAATGTCAAACACAGTGTATCTAGTCCAACCAAGATATCTTAATGTCAATCAAATTTTTTTGAGGGCAATCAAATGCCTCAATGTCAATCATGATGCCTTGAGATCAACCAAATGCCTCAATATTAATCATATTCCTCAATGTCAACCAAGAAACCTCTGAGCCTCACTAACATTACTGGTTGTGTCAACCCATAGTCCATGGTGTAGTGATTCAGAACTTTAGAGCTGCTGTTGAGAATGCATGAAGGTTTCCCATCTGACTGAGCCCACTCTGTATGTGGTTAACGTGGATCTCAACATTGTTCTGGAACACCCTGTAATAATCATATAGAAGGTGCACTTTTGGATTACTCTGTACAATGATTGTACTGAACTTTTATCTTGTAAAGGTACTTTATTCAGTTTATCAAAAAAAGTAAAAGTAAGGATGCAAGATCAGTTTTTACAAAAGTGGAATAGTGACATGAAAGTCAGTAGTAAAAGTTACAACTATAAAATATTTAAAACAGAATTTTCATTTGAACAGTATTTAGACTGTATGCCAGATAAATATAGAAAAGTTCTAATTATGTACATATTGTGTAATAATAAACTTCCAGTTGAAAGAGGACGTTATAAAAATATTCCTAGGGAAAATAGGTTTTGTGATTTATGTGGTAAAGGAATAGGTGATGAATTTCATGTCATTTTAGAATGCAAAGCTTTAAGTTATATTAGAAAAAGATACCTTCCTAAATGTTATACCACAAGACCAAACACACAGAAGTTTGAGAAATTAATGAATTCAAACAAAAATATACTCATAAAACTTTGTAAATTTTTAATCGAGGCTGGGCAAAAAAATGTTCTTACATGTATATAAATGTTATTTTAATGTTTGTTACTGTATTAGTTAAGTTTGTCTTTTGTACTCTTATACCCTATAAGGGGTGAATTGAGAAATCAATAAATAAATAAAAAAAATTAAATAAGAAATAAATAAAAGTAACTCTCTATTCAAAAAGATACTATGAAACAGACAAATTATAAACAATTCTTAGAATCTCGAGTGTCGCAGAATGCTACTTTAAGTAATGGTGTCTCAGTAACAATGCTATTTTAAGTAATGGTGTCACAGTAACTATGCTATTTTAAGTAATGGTGACTTAGTAACTATGCTATTTTAAGTAATGGTGTCTCAGTAACTATGCTATTTTAAGTAATGGTGTCTCGGTAACTATGCTACTTAAGTAATGGTGTCTCAGTAACAATGCTATTTTAGGTAATGGTGTCACAGTAACTATGCTATTTTAAGTAATGGTGACTTAGTAACTATGCTATTTTAAGTAATGGTGTCTCGGTAACTATGCTATTTTAAGTAATGGTGTCTCGGTAACTATGCTACTTAAGTAATGGTGTCTCAGTAACTATGCTATTTTAAGTAATGGTGTCTCGGTAACTATGCTACTTAAGTAATGGTGTCTCAGTAACTATGCTATTTTAAGTAATTGTGTCTCAGTAACTTACCCTAGGTTGTTTGGATCCAAAGAACCTTTTATTTCTGTCAATGTGTCCTGGAGAGACTTGAACTCAAATGAGTTGCTGTCGTTTTCAGCAAATGTCTGCAATGGAACAAAATTGTTAAGAATTGATGAAGACTTATGAAATATAGCAATATAGAATTTTCAAGATGCAATTAGGATATGAAAATGAAAAATGCTGTACCTTTATTTGCAACATGATTGAGGTTAGTTTGGTGATGAGTTCGAGGGAATTATCATTTTTAGCCATGCGCTTGTAGCCCTGACTGGCATTTGTACTCTTCACTATCTGCTCAGCCTCGTTGTCACATTTCTGCTTGATCTCGTTAGGTTGGTCCACCACGTTCATTCCTGTATCTGGTACCAGCTTCAAATACAAAGCATTAACATGACAAAATGGGACAATGTCTGTTAAGTATATGAATATGGTTACAAAAGTGTGATATTTTGTTACAAATGCTGGATGCTTCAAAAAATGGTCGCTAATGTCAGCATTGTCTGTAATGAAAAAGAAGAAATGCAGGTATTGGACTTGATTTTACATGTTATCCATGTTTATTTTTATCCAAACCCTCCATCCCTGATATCAACTGAATGGCACAATTAATCTATACATTTTTTAATCCAGTCACTGATTTTTGACCTTATGAGTGAGTGATACTCTTTTGCAGAATTTAGAATACAATGATACAAATTCTGTTTACGTACCTCTTGAATTTGGTTGAGGTAGTCATTCAGGTCTTTGTTCAATCTTTCCAACTCCAGCACGAGCCCTGCATATTTCTTCTGGAAGTCTATTGTGATTGGCTCCACGTATGATTTCTGGAATAGATAAGCAAGCTATGTTGTGTAAGTTGCGTTAAACTGCCCAATATAACAACTAATACAACAAACACATAAATCAATCAAATAAGTTCAAAACCGAGAGAATGACAAAATTGCATTTATTGTTATCATAAATGCAATTTTGTGTTTATTGTTATCATAAATGCAATTTTGTTATTCAACTCAGTATCAACCTCAAATATTTATTGAGTAAAATTGAAGTATAAGAAACTTAAAAAGTAACATAACTATCAAATAATTAGCTACGATAATATGTTAAAGAAAATTAAAACAGTTTACATTTTATGCAAGGTCGCATTTCTTGTTTTTTATCTGATAAGAAAGAGTACATACATACTGAAAAATCAAATCATATCAAAGGATTAAGTGCAACTAAAACAGCAACAATTATGATAACAGATTACAATTAATTTGCTTAATTTAAGCATTTAATATCCATCAATCTTTCTGAGTTATCTTATGCATTTTTGTAAAATTAAAGTTTTGCAATGAAGCATAAAACAAGGGGAGTCAAATACTGCATGAAACAGAAATCCAAAACGTTTAGTACTAATAACAGCTGGGTATAAGATTATTACAGTACAGTCATTAGAAAATTCAAATATTTCTTTAAATATTAAAAGCTCCTCACCATTTTTTCAGCTTGAGTATTCATCTCCCGTAGCTCTTTCACCTTCTCCTTTTTTATTGTTAATATTTTTGATAACCGGGTCTAAAAGTTGAATACAAATCATTTAGAGAAACATGTTCTGAAAATATCAGCACAGGCATTTTCTGTATGTAAAAAACTGCGGATAAGAGAAGATTGCTTGTTAAAGAGCCACGAAATTCAAAACATTTGAAATGATGTTACATACAACCATTTATTTTGCAGCTTATATTAACTAAACAATGACATTATGTACTTACATTAGTGTGTATAATATTTGGGAAATAAAATAAAATATTTGAAATTATTTTATACACTTAAACCATAAAATTTTCAAGGTGTTTTAAATTCATGAGCACTTCAATGGCACCATCTACCAAAAAATGAAATCAGTTTAAGCTAACATAGATACAAATGCGAAACACACATCATAAATATTTTTCATATACATGTACTTACAACCAGGACTAAAAACTTTATTGGAAATCCACCGTATGTTCCTCCATCCATCTGTAAGATGCGACCCTTAAGAGGCGATGCCCCAAGGAGGGGGTCATTATCTCCAAGTTGGGGAGAGCTTAGTCCAGGAATAAATCGCGGTGGCGACAGGAATGGATTCCTCTGGCGATTTTTCTGTTGGAAGGCGGAAATGGGTAATGTGTCTTGAGGTTCGTTGCTCTGGAAACAGAATTTTGTATGTCAAAAGAGGATAGTCCTGTGCAAACGGTATGATAGACTATAATGGAAGACAAGGGTCTTCTCTCATAAACTGATTCAGATTTGCTGATTTAGAGGATATTTACAAATGGTGATTAAAAAGCATACAATGTATTTCGAAAATTCACCTGAAATGTGGAGATACTAACTTCAAACACATAGACCTACCAGTATTTCATAATCAGGTATAGAATGTGTGCCAAGGCCTCCACGTTCAAAGGTGACTCTGTATGTATTGTGTACTGTATCTAAGGCCTCTATTGTCCCAGTGAACAGTCCATCTTGGGGTTGTCTCAAACGTGCTAAACACAAATAAAAAACAATGTAGTGTCACTACCTGCCAATTGCTACAGACATCAAATAATGACTGCCGAACACCCATCACTAAACAAATAAATAAATTGATCAAAATCAAACTGCATGGATTAAAATCAAATTGCCTTGTATTTCTTGTGTTAATGTCTTACACTTATTGTTTTCCGAGAACACCCATTTGGAAATGAGCAGAATTATGGCTACTCAGTAGTTTGCGTAATCCTACCCTGGGAAGTGATCATATATCCACCACATGCAGACAATATGATACATCCCCAGAGGACAACAGCCCACATAAATAGCTGTATTTTGTACCCCTGCAATTTCATCATTGTAACCATTCACCAGAAAGTTTTGCTTTCAAATTTACCTCAAAAACACAATCCCTTTTCCCTTTTCCAACCATTAACCATTCATACACACCTGTTACTTTAGTTCCAATAACAAGTGGCATAGGAATCTCAGGGGGCAGGTCCTTAAAGTTGGTTAGTTCTGTAACTTTTCTCTGTTGAAGCAGTCTGATCTTGCACCTCTTGGCATTCAGAGCTCTCCTCTCCTCTTCGAAGAATGCTGGGGAACACCTAGTAATTAACAATATCATTGTCAAACAAGTTGTTTGCTCAATCTTGAAGTATTTTTGTGATTGCAATCTTAAGCTACAAGATGGGATAATTGTCACACACTTTTGATGTTACGAAACATTCTTTTACCACCCATTCACTGATTTAGACTGATTACTGTATTCTCTCTCTAATGAGCGTTCAGATCCAGCACATCTGAGTTGTATGATGAATATGGTTTCAAGAAAACATTAACTTTAATGCATTAGTTTTAATATTTACGCAACAAGATATCGACTAATGATTATATGCAGAGAAGGAAATACAGGAGCTGTGGAGTTATAAACCTTAGTTCTAAAAACTAAAAATATTATCAGTGATATTTTTTTCTAATTATTTTATATGTGCCCTTATTTTACCCTTTGAAATTCTAATTTTGGAAGCCCAATGTGCGCTCATCAGAGAGAATATTGTACAGGGGTTTCATTAGTAGCAGGCAACAGTCGATTTTCACCGGCTGTTTTCACAAAATCGACTGTTGTTTTTAGAGACTTTTCAACTTTTTCAGTGTTAAATTTATGATTTCCATTAATTTTGCCTGATGTTTTCATTGATTAAGCCTGTTATGAGAAATTCTAGTGAAACCAATGCTGTATATACAAAAAAACTGAGTGCAAACATATGAGTTTGGATTTAAACTGCAACAGACTGTAAGTAAAGTGAGGTACCTCCTTGGTTTGCCCATCAGTCTCCTGATTTTACACCACTCTACTCTGGACAGTTTGGTTGTCTTCAGCTGTGGGAATGACTCACGTAGACATATAGAGAAATCATTCTCTCCCTCAAACAAAGGCCTGCAAAAAATGGACAAATGAAAAATACATTCACACTCTACGCTGAGAATGAAACCTTTAAGTACATGTATCAAGAATGAATTCACCAACTCTATTACATTGCCACTGAACAAAAATTGGCACCTAGTTTAAATATTCTCTACTTTGAAATATTTATAAAAGAAATTCAACCTAGTTAAATCCTATAAATTGTTATGTAGCAAACAATAAGTGATAAAATGGTTTGATATGTACCAGAATAAATTGAAAATAAAAATGCACATACTTGTCAAGGTTTGAGTAGAACCATTCATAGCAGACCCATTTGTGTGCCTTAGGTAGTTTCAGGAGGTTCCTGAGGCGGACACCTATTGTTTGGGCAACCTTCTTGTCAGGTGTACTTAGAACTGCTGCCTTTTGCTGTAAATGTATATTATATGATAAATCATAGATCTATAACCTGATTTATGATTATATTTACATTTCTTCCGTGTAGTTACTACAATATAAAAATGGTATTTCTAACACAGTTAGACACGGTGTTTTGTCCCTCTTATATTATATCTGTTATTTAACGATTAAAATTGTATAGCAACTTCCACACAGATATGCTTTCACAGTTTTCCATGTCAATATTTTATTTGGCATTATATTATGCTGAAAAATAGTATTGAAATTACCTGAATTAGTCCAATGCTACTAGCTGTTGCAGCAGTCTTTCTATTGGATTGTTTGCCCTGGCTCTACAACATCAAACAAGAAATTTAAACATCATCGAGGCAATGTGTATATTTGCGACAAGGTGAAATATATTTGGAAGAAAAAAAACGACGAGGCTAACAATATCCAAGGAAATATAAACATAAACTTAATTCAATGATGGCTATAGAAGAACATGATAAAACCCTTACATGATGAGATTATGCACAATTGAAATTGATGACTATCAAAAATTGATGACTATTAAAAATCAATAAAAATAATACAATCTGCCTCATTCTGACTATACCACAGCACTAGTGGCCATGCTGTTTCTCTTGTTTAAATAAAATGTATGATTTCATTTGCATTTCAACACTGACTTCATTTCATGCCTATCAATTTAAATCCTTGCTTATTCCACTTTTGAACTCTATCATTCCATTGATAAATTCTACCTTGCTTGCACTGTGCCTTGATTGTTTCTTTGGACTTTTAGCAGCGACAACGTCATCTTCGTCACCAAATATCAGCTTATTTTTCTTGCGAATTCGAGGAGGCTAAAAGATATAGAAGATGTGTTTCAGTTTTGTTTATATATCACCCTTGGTATACGCAGCTAACGAAAATTGACCGGTACGGGTCAAAAGCTGGACCGGTACGGGTTAACCGTTTTATTTGAATTTAAAACAGCCATAACTTGCTCAATATTGACTTCCTCATGTCTAATTTGAAATATATGATGCCTCCCGATGCTTTTAAGTACCCCAATTTTTTACAGATTTTTAAACGGACCAAAACTCTCTAAATGCGCATTTATGCTCTTTTCTCTCGAGAACGACTGTCTCATTTTCACGATTACTTTTATTTAGTACTTCTAACACATAAGATCTATTTTTCCCCATCAAGGTATGATGTAAATGACATGCTATTTACATCTTGTGAGTTTCAATGACGCGCGTTTGATTTTATAAAAAATGCCAAACTTTGTGACAAAGAATTTCATCCTGCTTGCAGCGAGAAGACGGACCGGTTCGGGGCAATCTGCTTGCAGCGAGAAGACGGACCAGTTTGGGGCAATAGCTGATGAAATTCTTTGTCACAAAGTTTGGCATTTTTTATAAATCAAACGCGCGTCATTGAAACTCACAAGATGTAAATAGCATGTCATTTACATCATACCTTGATGGGGAAAAATAGATCTTATGTGTTAGAAGTACTAAATAAAAGTAATCGTGAAAATGAGACAGTCGTTCTCGAGAGAAAAGAGCATAAATGCGCATTTAGAGAGTTTTGGTCCGTTTAAAAATCTGTAAAAAATTGGGGTACTTAAAAGCATCGGGAGGCATCATATATTTCAAATTAGACATGAGGAAGTCAATATTGAGCAAGTTATGGCTGTTTTAAATTCAAATAAAACGGTTAACCCGTACCGGTCCAGCTTTTGACCCGTACCGGTCAATTTTCGTTAGCTGCGTATACCAAGGGTGTATATAAGACTGAAATTCTGTTACTATACTCAATAATACTGGCTTGATAGCATATAGTCACAAATCAAATATCTGCATCTGGACAATATTTCAAGGGAAATATGAATGAAGAATTTGTATCTCAAAAAGTTGCTTGAACTTAAGTAGCACATAAAATGTTTATTAAATCGAAAGAATTTCATTTTCAAAAAGTAGGTGGCGCTAATTTTTAAGTGTTGCAAGTGCCACCTACAGTCAGATCACTGCAATTTGCAAGTGTCACAGGCTGGTATCGAAATATTTGTCCGCTGTGACGGAGCATGCTATTTTTCATAAAAACACTAAGAATACTTCACGATTTATTTTTTAACTCATATGTTTCGTTATAACATACAAAATTACTTACTCCATGCAATGGATATATCATTTGCGGGTAGCTTTCACTTCTGTTTGAAGTCCAATTACGCTGGGAAGAAAAGCTATTGAAAATGGCGCCGGAGTATCATACTTCAAAATGTACCACTTCTTGTTTAACTTTCTAATTGCACGATATAGTGACACGATAATATTTACACATGGTTTCAGCATAACTATGAAGGTATACATGAGATGTTGATGTATTTGGGCTTTTTAATTCTTTTATAAAAAATAATGTTTAATTTTTTTGTCCGCTGTGACGGAGCAGTTGCAAATGTGAACTATGAAAATGCTCCGTCACAGCGGACACCAAATATTAATATTATTTTTTTATAAAAAAATTAAAAAGACCCAATGCATTAATATCTCATTAATACATTCAGAGTTATTGCTGAAAACATATGTTAATATTAACGTGTCACTATATCATGCCATTAAAAAGTTAAAAAAGAAATGGTACATTTTAGAGTTTGATACTCTGGCGCCGTTTTCAATAGATTTTACTCCTAGCGTTATTGGACTTCAAACAGAAGTGAAGGTTACACGCAAATGATATATCCATTGCATGGAATAAGTAATTATCTTTGATATAACGAAACATATGAGTTAAAAAATAAATCGTGAAGCATTCTTAGTGTTTTTATGTAAAATAGCATGCTCCGTCACAGCGGACAAATCTTTCGATACCAGCCTGTGAGTGTATTGTAAAACAATTCAAGAAATAGAAAATTACATGCAAAATAGGGATTCAACACTGCACTTACATTGCCTCTTCTTGGTGGAGTGAATGCCTCTTTCAATGTACCCAGCACCTGTGCAGCATCTATAACAATAAATAAAATCATCAATCTATGATTCACAAAATTGAAATAAAAATGTTTCAGTTTGACCAATTCTTAGCTCGTGTCACAATGCAGATAGTTGAAGTACATCTACTATTCTACCACATGTGGTAGTATAGTGAATGTGAATGTATCAATTCATCCATACTGTACAAAATATTTCACTGGTGCTAAACAGTCACGAAACACACTGTAATATCTCTACTAACCAAATCTCCAATAGAATATACATTTTAGTGAAACAAGATAACAGCAATGCCAAAGTGTAGCAAATCCCGCTGAACAGTCATGGCTGCCATTTTGAAAAATCCCATAACATAACATAACTGCTTAGCCCAGACTCATTTTCACGAATTAGCTGCAGCCTAAAGATATATATGGCTATGTCGGCTTCGAGGTTGAGGTTTCAGTCACAGATCCGGAGCCAGATCCAGCCCCTGTTGGTAGTAGGCTCAAAGGATAAATGGGAAGATGAGACACGAGCCAAAAATGGCACATCAAAAAAATGACCACCCAAAAATATGACCCTCGTACTGATCTTATTTTTTCCATCTGTCAGACATTGATTGATCAATATTTACCGTGTAATCTCTTCTTTATGTATTAGTTTGAATGGTTGCATGATATCCATCTTGACGCTGTAATTAGACTTTTCCTGGGACATTTATTTCAAACTTTCAGAGCGTAAAGATAATGGAGCACTTCGGTAATTTCCGGCAGTGGCCGATGTTGTTCGTCTCTCAAATTACGTCACATCGCAACAAACAGCCAATGAAAGTAAAGAATCGCGTAGCCTTATAAACCGTCGTTATTGTTTCTACAGGAGTTTAAAGAAACGTCATGAGACTTCTCGGTAATATCTGATGTGACGTCATCCGGAGTGGCGTCACATTCTCAGAAAAGGCATTTGACTTTGGGAATAATCATTTGAACAAGTCAACAGAGATAGCCGAAGTGCTCCTTTAAATATACGCTCGCTTATTTTATGCTTTTATCAACAGACGCTTTCTTGGATGTTTGGCTTTAGTGATTGGAGTTGAAGCTAACAACAGTATGCATCGTTTGAGGTATGGCATGTGATATTCATTGATAAACTGACTCCAAAATCAAGGAAAAATAAATTTTTGTCTTGTCCTTGAGTATATTTATTGAGCATAGACACAGAGTAGCTTTTCTAGCAGAGGTCCGTGGTTTCAGTCACTCAGATTGAGATATTCACAAAAAATAAACAAAATTGAGGTCCTTATTTTGACATACTTTGTATTTCTAGGAGGTGTAACTTCTTCAAAATTTGACAAGAGTTTATTTTTGTCATAATGAGCACTTGGTGTACGAGTTTCAAATGAAAATAAGTAATTTAAAAGTGTAAAATGGGATTTTATGGCAAAATTATTCCACTTACTTTCCACAGCTTCGTCCGCCATTTTTCAAATTGTGCATGCTGGGATAGCTGTAGGATCGATCTTTTTGACATCCTCCCCAAAACCTGACTAATGTATGAATTAAAATGCATAAGACTATATTCCTATTAGCTTTAGATTAATATCTAAATATATTGTATCTTAATATCATGATAAATAGTTAATGAAGTATAGGGATTCATCAATTGTTAAACAATTATCACAAATATGCAAGTATTTTGGCTAGGTTTCTCAGAATGTACGAATAATTGAACAGCAGATAAATTCTTGAATCATGATTGGCCGAAAGTTGGTGAAGTCAGCACTTCCGCGAAGTTCATGTTGAAGTTACTGAAAGACCGACACATTGACTCAGTTCATCTGCGTGCTTCTATAGACAGGATAAGGCTAGGGATAAGGTATGGATTAGAAAACTGGATTATATTCAGACCTATGTTAAAGTTTGGTAATTTTAAATATTTGTTTACATAGTAACAAGGAGGATTGGCTCCCAGAGTGCACCACCGATATTCTGTCCCATATATGGGTATGTCGTAATACAAAATTCGAATTCAAACAGCCGCCATTTTGTTCACTTCAACATTTAAATCGTGATTTTGGTCTTATTTCCAAACGAAAAATTCCAAAACTCACAAGAAATGATCGAGATATTGGTTCGAATCTTTTGAACTGTTTATTTTGAATTTATAGTCGGTTTTAATTTCAGAAAATAACGACATTTCGACGTTTTCATTGTTGGAAAATATCGAGTTTCGATCCTGGGAGCCAATCCTCCTTGCATAGTAAGTCCTATTCAAAATGGCCGATTGGGTAAAATTAGTTTACACATTTGTAACTTCAACTAGCTTTATTTCCACTTGACAATATGCTGTGTTACTTTTTATTGCATTTAATTGTACCTTATTACTTAACTGAAATTTTGTAATGTTTATTTTATTGAAGAAATGGTTCCTCTAATTGATAATTTTGTGCAAAAAATTTCACTGCAATTTCCACAGGAAAGTAGAGTCAGTACGTCTATTTCCAAACACCCCCATCAAAAAATGTAGTTAGCTTGGCTGTACTGCACATCTATGCTATGATTCTATATATATTATGTGTATTATCCACTGTAGAGTGCATTTGTAGAAAAAATTACGAAAAATTGTAAAAAATATCTGGGTTATTCCATTTTTACTACAAGGTATTTTAGGGGGGTAATTCCGAACAGGAGTTTTTTTGGGGGGTAAATCCGAACACTTGCATGGGGGTAATTCCAAACACTTAACTTAAACTCAATTGTTTTAATTATTAGATTGATGGTATATCATTATATGATACCCTTAACTTATGATACTGGATCCTGTCACCCCTGCATATCAAGAAACCCAAATTTAAATCATTTATTACTGACATCTATTTATTTAAACGCACAGAGTTTGTGGGGGTAATTCCAAACACTAGCATGGGGGTAATTCCAAACACCTAAATCATCATAATTGATTATTTTATTGTAAGATTGTTGGTATACATCATTATATTGTATCTTTCAGGCTATAAATATTATGTAGAGGTAGTAGAGGTACTATTATTCAATTCAATGATCTGCTTGCCATTATTTGGAACCCGTTCGTGTTTACCCCCCTGTTTGGATTTGGACGTATTGACTCTAGTACATCATAACAGACTGACTTCTAGTCAGTCTGTTGGATACATACTAGGCTTTCAATTAGAAGGGTATGCAACTCTGTGTTATAAACATGAGACCTTCTAGTTGAAAGCCCATGGATAAATGTATATGTTTTAGTATTATTTTGAATAAAAATCATTCAATATGATTAAACTCATAAAATATATTCAATCTCATGTAAAAGTAAACAAAAAGACCAATAAGAACAAGAGGTATCAAGATGTTCTCTTCAAGTATTGCATTATGGGTAATTATTCAAGAACACATTTAAAAAAAATATAATTTGTGGGTGAATGTTCACTTTCTTTATAGTCATAATTATAATGAATTCCATTTTTTATTAAATTATCAACATGTAGATGATCATGTTTTTATTTTTGAGTTATTTCTTTAAATCATCCATAAAAAAGGACAAAATAAGATTTTCTTGGAATGTGTACATTCTCCAATTTTGAAAAGCCAAAGGCAATGCTTATGTATAAAAAATATGGGAAGTTGCCTACCCTTCTAGTTGAAAGCCCATGGTGTAATAAACATGAGACCTTCAAAATGAGCGATGACATGTTTCCCTCTTTATGATAATATTTCAAAATGTATGAGATAAATGTACATGTATATATATTATTTTGAATAAAAATCTATTTTCAATATGATTAAAGCATAAAATATGATCAATCTCATGTAAAAGTAAACAAAAAAGACCAATAAGAATAAGAGACATCAAGATGTTCTCTTGGAGTATTGCATTGTTGGTAATTATTCAAGAACACATTCCAATAAAAACATAATTTGTGGGAGAATGTTCACTTTCATTATTGCCATAATTATGACGAATTCCATTTTTTATTGAATTATCAATACATATGCAGATAATCATGTTTTTAATTTTGAGTTATTTCTTTATATCATCCATAAAAAGTACAAAATAAGATTTTCTTGGACTGTGTACATTCTCCAGAGGCAATGCTTATGTATGAAATATTCTAGTTGAAAGCCCATGCCTGCATCCAAAACCTCCCGCTCCCAGTATATAACGCTTATACTAGTATAGTATATATTTTACATTTTGAATACTCTCATGATAGACTTCTAATCATTCGAGGCCCTTACTCTCAACTAAAATATAACTAATGTATGGTCACTTGAAAATTCTCTTCTTTTTAACATGGGAAATCCTCACTTCAGCAAACCCAGGTGTCATTTATTGATGTTAAACAACCATTTTGCTATTATTCTATATATTTTCAGTTATCAAATAAAATGGCCACCGCGAGCAAGGCAAGCGATGATGATAACTACAAGGAAGTTTTGACATGTCCAGTATGTCTAGAGTTGTTATCAGATCCCAGAGTTACACCTTGTATGCACACAATCTGCTTGAAATGCCTCGATAGTTGGATTGTGAGGCAAAGACATGAGAAGCCAGGTGGCACCAGTTGTCCATGCCCTGTCTGCACTGAACCATTTGATGTTCCTGCTAAGGGAGCTACTGCATTTAAAGGTAGGTTTTTATGTACAAGTACAAGTGATGACATATTGTTAAAGTTACCAACTTTTTTGTGGACTGGGGTCCAGGTGTTTCGGTGTCTGTAACATGGTGTCTGTAAGCAATGGCAGGTGATATTTTGCATGTTAATGCCTTGTTACAATTTCAATTTAAAATGGGCACATATGGGTTCATTTATTCAAATAGTATTGAGTAGTACGTCACAAATATAGAATCAATATCTAAATATTCTACATTGAAAAGCACAAACAGCACCATTTGGAGAGCAAAACTATGCAACCCTCTTTACAGATATTTAATATCTTGTTTTGAACAAATTAGAACTAAATACCATACCATATGAGAAACAATTTTCTCATATGAGAAAAACTTTCTTATACTCGTACCTGTGCAAAATCGTCCATTCTTGACTCGCTTTGATAATGTTTCTTTATCTCGTCTGCGACTCGATAAAGAAGAATTATCAAAGCTCATCAAGAATGGACGATCTTGCACAGGTACTCATATAAGAACCTCTATATGTTGTTCAATGGGATTTGCTGCTTCAGTAATTCTCCATTTTCTAGTTTATTACCAGGTGGAACATGGTATAAGATATTTTGTAAGACTAATATTCTGTCTTTGAAAACATATTTTGCTCTTTGCAAAATACAATAAAATCGAAGTGGAACACCTTTAGTACCTCTTAAAAGTGTTCCACTTTGGAGTTGTTCCACCTGTAGAGGTTCAATTAAATATGAAGTCTTGGGACTCTGAAAAGTGTTCCACTAACAAAGGTGTTCCGTTTCTGGAGGTGTTCCATTTTACAGGTTTCACTATATGTATTATTCTCACACCTTAAATTTCATTGTAAGCTGCCACCCTGAATGTTCCATATTTTTATAGCTATGTCCAAGATAAACCTATATACAAGTATTCTAAAGTTAATGCCTTTTTATATTTAATTAAAGGTAATTATATCATTAATGATATGCTAACTGCAGTGCGCAAGAAACTGGACAAGAAGATTGAAACCAAGAACTGTGAAATATGCAGCACTGAGGATGAACCAGTCGTGGCTAAACTAAAATGTGTTGATTGTGACCAGATGATGTGTGATGGTTGTGGTAATCTTCATCAAAAGCTGAATAGTACCAAACATCACACAACCCTACAACTTTCAGGTGACAGTGACAAAGATATGTCGCTTTTGCCAAAACGTGTTAAATTCTGTGCAGAGCATGGAGAGGAACCATTGAAGTTCTACTGTAAGAGCTGTGAGAAGGTTGTCTGTAGAGATTGCTGTGTTACCACACACAGTGGACACAAGTTTGAAGACCTTTCCTCGAAAGTTAAAGCAGGCCTGAAAAGTATCAACAGCATGATTGAGCTTTCTAGAAAGAGAGCTGAACTTATTGAAGCTGTGGTTGATGAAACCAGAATTAAAAGGGAGGACATGAAGAATGTGATTGTTGATGTTAGAGCTGAATTAGAAGCATCCCGACTGGCTAAACATACTATCATAGATGCTCACTATGATGATGAAGTGGCCAAACTGGACAAAATGTATGAAAGTAATGAGAAGAAGGTAGATGCCCATGTTAACAGTCTTGAAATTGAGAAGGATATAGCTTCGAATGAACAGCAAGTGTGTTCCCAACAACTCTACCTTGCCCCTGCTGCAGTGGTGGAGATGCAAGATGTCCTGAATCAGAAGATACAGCAGTGGTCAATTACACTTGATTTCCAGTTCAAGGATGATGTGGCTGTTGCTTTCAAAGAGGGAAAGGATCCAATGGAGCTTGGGAAGATAACTGTAGATGAGAAGGATGATCAAGCTGATGAACATCAAGTTGCATGTCCAACAGAAGCGAATAACAAAAGCATAAAAAAGGATGTTGAAATAGAGCAGAATGATTTTCCATTCAAAGGTGTTACCAGTATAGCTTTCTTAAATAATGGTGACCTTGTCACTGCAGAAGGAATTGATGGAGTTAAAATAAGGGATCCAAACAACTTCCAAGAGAAGGCTCAGATTGCCATTCACAGTTCTCCTGAAATAGCTATTACCCCTGATGGTGAAATATTGACCAAAGATGATTTCACGAAAAAAATGCTTCTGTTTGATAAGAATGGTAAACTAGTTGGTGCCCTGAAACACATTGGTAATCCTGAAAAATTCACAGTCTCAAAGAATGGAGAATTTGTAGTATCTCATGAGACAAAGCTTAGTAAATACAGTAGAAATTTTGACAATGGTACTCCACTATTCACCTGGGGCAGTTGGGAGAATATGGATAGCCTTGCATGTGATTCAAAGAATAATATTGTTATAAGGCTTAGTGATTACATACGAATCATCAGTATGGATGGAGAAACCCTCTGCACCTTCTGTATAGGTGATGGATATAGACTTGACTCCTTTGACAATATTCTAACATTTTCTAATGGATATCAAAAGTGTGGTAAATATGAGACAAAATGTGTCACTACAGTTTCAGTTTACAGCTCAAAAGGGAAGCTAATGCAGCAACTTGTTGAGGAAGATTCTAGTCCTATTGATGGGTACCCAACCACTGCTGCTGTGGACAAAAATGGACATTTAATTATATTGGTGAAGGATGATAGTAAATATCGATGTGTGAAGATCAAATATTTAAAGTGATAATATGACATTAACATATTATACTAATCAACAGACCAGTGTTTACAGAGATATTCCATGGAAGATACAAGAAAACATATTATAAGTATATATACTTTACTGATTAGAGAGATTTCGCACCTAGTGAAAGTACAACTTATAACGTATACTTATACTTATAGGTAAATGTACAAGGTGTTTCATAATGTGAGCTTTTCGTCAGGAAAGATCTTCTCAGACTGTAATAAATACAGGTCAAAGGGATGCCATTTGTACTTTCTTGAATTGTAGCATGTTTAGTTAATCCAAATGTGTTTGTCTAGAATAAAATAGGCTCATATATAGTACATATGTTATAGACCCATCTCTTCTCAAATTGACTTTTTGGAGATGCTCGTTATGAAACACCCTGTATGTCATATGTTGAGCTACTGAATGGGTCATTTCCAGGAATTGCTAGAACCTACTGGTTTGATTGGTGTTTCAAATTGATGGTTAAAGTATTTGATTGGATACTGTTCCCACTCAGCCAATTAATTTTAAAAAATGCTTGCGGTCAATTGTTCCACACACATGTAGGCAAATCTTTATACGGAGATCCAACTGTATACGTTATCATCTACGTAAATATACCGTTTTGTAAGTTCATTGAACTTATACTGATCATGAAAACATTGAAATAATCAACTTGTTTATGTAATGACTCACTTTAAAGAATCATGACTCCCTTTAAAGGATCGTGTTTATAATACACTACAACTACAAGGACATGGAAGCAAGCATTTAATTATAATGTGCATAATCTACACGTGCAGATGACAGTGCATTCATAGTCTCTAGTTGATGGAGCTTTTCTATAACGGGAATAGTTATGTTCCATTAAGTACAATTTAAAATTGATTTTAGTAAATATAATAGTTCGACATGACCCTTTAAACTATAGGTATACGTATAAGTTGTACTTTCACTTATGTGCGAAATCTCTCTAATATTATATCTCATGTGCTTATCATTTCTTTTTATATCACCATCAAGAAGTGGTGAGATATTCACTCCTCCCAGTTTTATGCAAATTGAAATATTGAATTCTGGGATGGGGAAGGTCACTGGAATTCTGCCAGATTTTTCTGTGTTTTTTTTAATGAAAATTGAGATAGATATTCGAACAAAACTGAATCAAGAGTAAAATGTTGTAGGTCCATACACACACCGGAATAGCCTGACAATGGTAAAGTCAGATACCGCTGTCACAAATGGCGGATATAACTGTCGTTTCAATTAGATTTTCATGAATTGTATGTTTAATAGAGCACCTAGACTAAATTCCTTTGGAACAACAATCAAAGTGTCTTAATACTCATTTTACAATTATTAATGTTCTACCATTGAAATAAGTCATTAATTTAATCGATCAAAATGAGATACGAGACAGCGGACACTGTATTACCATATGCCGTTGTCTTTGTATATTATTTCAAATTCAGATTCCGTTGTCATTGACGATATCGAAGACGCTATATTGTGGCGATTCACGACCCAATTTGATTGAAATTGGGATTTCATATGATACATCATCATAAGAGCTTAATACGGAATTAGCGACGATAAAGTTCTCAACATTTCAAATCTGACTATACATTTGACCTTTAATGACATTCTGAAGGTCAAAAAGACCTTTTTATGTCCCCACCACATAGTGTGGGGCCATATTGTCGGCCTATGCGCGTCCGTCCGTCTGTCTGTTTGTCTGTCTGTCCGTCCGTACGTCCGGCAGTTTTCTCCTAAACCGCTACAGATATCACCTTCAAATTTTCAGGGATAACTTATGAGTGCATACAGATGTGGACGAAAAAGTTTCAACTCGATACCTACTTCCTGTCGGCCATTTTGAAGTCAAATGCTAAAATCCTTGTCTGCAAACTTTAAGAAAAATGGCTTCACTGTTGCTTTTAAAACTTTAACATCCTGTTCAACTCACTTGATTCTAGATCTGATTAGGTTTTGGACCTGTTAGCCCAGTCATGGCAGCCATTTTGAATGTCTTAAGAAAAGTTAGCGTGCGATAATACTTTGTATCATATTGAATGGTGTTTTTGAGTTTTCATACTTTCAGACTATTAAGTAGCTTTATAAAAAATTTCAGGTGTACTTTATTGTAAAAGCCATATGTTATTGTTAACAGTAGTTATATGTGCTAATTTTGTAAAAAGAAATCAGCAAAAACTTATAATCACTTTTTTTATTGTCGGCCATTTTGGATTTTTCCATCCTAAAATCTTGTCTGTAAAGTCTTGTCTATGCGTTTTAAGGCGAACCATTTGGTAGATCATTTTCAAATTTTCAGGGATGTTTCTTAGTATGAAAATCTAGATCTGATTAGTTTTTTGGCATTCTGGGTAAATGTCAAGGCAGCCATTTTGGATTTTCCGTCCTAAAATCTTGTCTGTGAAGTCTTGTCTATGCATATCCAGGTGAAGCGTTTTGTAGATCAATTTCAAATTTTCAGGGATGATTCTTAGTATGAAAATCTAGATCTTATAATTTTTTTGGCATTCTGGGTAAATGTAAAGGCAGCCATTTTGGATTTTCCGTCCTAAAATCTTGTCTGTAAAGTCTTGTCTACGCGTTTTCAGGTGAACCATTTGGTAGATCAATTTAAAATTTTCAGGGATGATTCTTAGTATGAAAATCTAGATCTGATTAGTTTTTTGGCATTCTGGGTAAATGTCAAGGCAGCCATTTTGGATTTTCCGTCCTAAAATCTTGTCTGTAAAGTCTTGTCTACAAGTTTTCAGGTGAACCGTTTGGTAGATCAATTTCAAATTTTTAGGGATGATTCTTAGTATGAAAATCTAGATCTGATTAGTTTTTTGGCATTCTGGGTAAGTGTCAAGGCAGCCATTTTGGATTTTCCGTGCTAAAATCTTGCCTGTAAAGTCTTGTCTACGTGTTTTCAGGTGAACTGTTTGGTAGATCAATTTCAAATTTTTAGGGATGATTCTTAGTATGAAAATCTAGAACTGACTAATTTTTTGGCATTCTTGGTAAATTTTAAGGTGGCCATTTTGCATTTTCCGTTCCAAAATTGAAGCAGTAAAGTCTTGTCTACTCATTTTCAGGATAACCATTAGATGGGATCACCCATTGGTGGGGACATATTGTACACATTTGCTTCAAATTGACCATTTTTTTCAAAATCATCTACAAGTTCTCAGAAGTTCAAATCTGACTTTAGATTTGAGATTTCACCTTCAATGACCTTCTAATGGTCAAAAAGGTCTTTTTTCAACTTGCTTCAAATTCACCAATTTTTTTTTTCAAAATCATCTACAAGTTCTCAGAAATTCAAATCTGACTTAAGATTGAACTCAAATTATTGTGAGCAACTAGGTGGTGACATTTTGTCATGTTAATGCCTTGTTATGTCCCCAACACATAGTGAGGGGCCATATTGTCAGCGAAGGCGCGTCCGTCTGTCCGTTCGTCAGTTCATCTGTTGATTCATCCGTACATACTTCCGGCAGTTTTCTCCAAAATCCGCCACAGATATCACCTTCAAATTTTCAGGGATAACTTATGAGTGCATACAGATGTGAATGGAAAAATTTGAATTTGATACCTACTTCCTGTCGGCCATTTTGAATTCAAATGCTAAAATCCTTATCTGCAAAAAATGGCTTCACAGTTACTTTTAAAATTTTAAGAACTTGTTCAGCTCACTTCATTCTACATCTGAATAGGTTTTAGACCTGTTAGCTCAATCATGGCAGCCATTTTGAATGTCTTAAGAAAAGTTAGAGAGCGATAATACTTTGTATCATATTTGAATGGTGTTTTTGAGTTTTCATACTTTAACTATTTAGTAGCTTTATAAATAGTTTCAGGTGTACTTTTAGTGGTTTCAGTAACTTTCTCCACAAGGGGCAGATGAAAAAAACAAGAGGCGCCATTCAAAACAACCAATTTTACACTCCTGGAAATGCATATTCTTGTACATGGACAGAAAGTGGACAAATGAAAAAGGGCATGGACAGGCTTTGCCAAAAATGATATAAAATTCTGATGTACATTATATTTCAAAGACAATGTATCTGAAATACATTATTATTGTACAGTCAATCAAAGTTTTAAACTTTGAATCCTATTTAGAGGTGATTTAGAAGATGTCCAGGATTTTACTTTTTTTCAGGTTTGTCAAAGTCATTTCCCCGTGTGATATTGGGTCAATTGGATTGACCACAAGACATGGGCTACACAAATGACCCCTTGAACTTTGGAATGACTATGGCAACTTATATAGAATGCCATTTACCTTTTATGAGATAACTTACCCTTACATAGGGTGCAGTTTACAAATTCAAATGCGTCTGCTGAATTGAACACTTTTAATATAGAATGCATCATGTGTACATATATAATTTACATCGAAACACAAGGTATCGGCTGACTTTACAGTCCCCATGTAGAGTTTGAAAACATGTTTTTCATATATTTACTACTTATCCTGACTACAAAATTAATTTAAGAGATTTTTGAAAAAAAAAGTTTTTGAAATGAAAGTTGTCAGCTTTTCATTTCTTAAATTCCAAATTTCCCGCCATTTTTCAAATAAAGTTGAACTTTTTAATCATCAAATATTTCACTATACAGAACAAGAAAATATTATCTTTTTAACAACAATATAAAGATTGAACAAAGGACACACTATTACAATAATAAAATGTCATATCTGATGTGCCAATTCAAGGTTAAAAGGATGAATATATTAATTTATGTTTTTAATATTATTACCATTGGTTTCTGTGAGAACTAAAATTTCGAAATGCATTTGCCCTGAACCACTTTCATCCATGAATGAGGTTTATTGCTCGCTTATTTATCAACCAATTTTCTTAATTTTGTCAGCAAAAAAGTGAGGATGAATGCTATGCATTGGTGTGAATTATGTGTTAGTGTAACCTCTCAAAGTTAGTTTTTAATAAATTCATGATATTTTGAACAAACGGTCCTTCAAAAAAAACATTTTTGAAATTAATAAAAAGTTTCACATTTCACACTTTGATAATATTGGATAAGCCAAAGTTTATATTGGAACTGATTAATACAATTTTACACCCATTGGAAAGACTGTACTGTGACTGGTTGATCATAGTTGTATTAATCATACATTTATCTGCATGTCCCATGGAAAATAAGGTACAAATCATAAACAAGGAAGTGCAAAATAAGATCGCTAAATCAAATAAAGGATAATCTATAGAAGACTTTTAATTTCCCCCAAACTTTGACAATATTTGGCTTCTGACAAAAGGCGAATTATCGAAAACAAACGGCGATATTAGGCACTCGGCCCCTGCTATTGAAAGCCCAGACTTTGTTGTAAAAGCATATGTTATTGTTAACAGTAGTTATATGCGATATTTTTCAGGTGAACCGTTTGGTAGATCAATTTCAAATTTTCAGGGATGATTCTTAGTACGGGAATCTAGAAGTGAATAGTTTTTTGGCATTCTTGGTAAATGTCAAGGCAGCCATTTTGGAATTTCCGTCCTAAAATCTTGTCTGTAAAGTCTTGTCTACGTGTTTTCTGGTTAACTGTTTGACGGATCAATTTCAGATTTTCAGAGCTGGTTCTTGAGTATAAAAATCTAGAACTGACTAATTTTTTGGCATTCTGGGTAAATTTTAAGTTGGCCATTTTGGATTTTCCATCCTAAAATTGTGTCGATAAAGTCTTGTCTACTCATTTTCAGGATAACCATTTGACGGATCAATTTTTTAGTATGAAAATCTAGATCTGATTAGTTTTTGGCATTCTGGGTAAATGTTAAGGCAGCCATTTTGGATTTTCTGTCCTAAAATCTTGTCTGTAAAGTTTTGTCTTTGTGTTTTCAGGTTAACCGTTTGAGGGATCAATTTTAAATTTTCAGGGATGATTCTTGTATGAAAATCTTGGAACTGATTAGTTTTTCCGCATTCTGGGTAAATTTTAAGGTGGCCATTTAGGATTTTCCATCCTGAAATCCTCTCTGTAAAGCCTTATCTACACATTTCCTGGCAAACCAGTTGACAGATCGATTTCAAATTTCCAGGAATGATTCTTTGTATGAAAATCTCAAACTACTTAGGGTGGGGACATGTTGTACTCATTTGTGTTCTTGTTGTTTATGTTATGTAGAGGGGGCTCACATCTGGTGAACATTTCCGAATTTTTATAAAATCACACAGAAAATGTCTGGCTTTTTTAAAGATGCAAAAATAATTTGGATGGATAGTATATCTTAAACGCCATTTTTTTATGAATGCTGGGGATGCTGTATAAAAAGAACAATTTCAAAATATATAGGTCTAGGAAAGGTTTAATGCATTCTAAGTCGCTATAGAATGAATTACACTTCTTTTTTCACAATCATTGGTATTTGGTTTCAACATGGACTTTCACATATCTTGGTATATTTGAAGTCCCCAAATAGCTTAGTTTGTTTTAGAAACATCCCAAATTTAAATTAAAAAATGACTGTTGACTCCACACTCAATATTTCCTACAGGCTCCGTCTGCCTAGGGTGACTTAGCTGGTCATTATCCCTTCTAAGTCGTTAAATGCCTCATGGTCCAGTGATAACTCTCTACCCGTATGATTATCCCATCGAACGAAGTTCGGATCAAACGAAGTTCGGAGGGATATAGTGAACGCCTCCGTCTGTCCGTCAGTCTGTCCGTCCATCCGGGCAATAACTCCAATACCGTTGGCCCGATTTTGTTCATATTTTCTACACATATACCCTATGGGGGGGTAGAAGTTCTGCTCGAAAGCTGATTTTCAAAATGGCTGCTCATTTCAAAATGGTGGCCATTTTAGTGCCCATTTTACAGTAATTTAGGTGCAATATGTAAAACTGTAATAGCAATATGTTTTAAATGTAAAAATATTATAAAGGACATTAATAAAGCTACAAATGTAGATATTAAAGAAGCACATGGCAGCCATCTTGAAAAATGGCGGCCTTTACTCGTTATTTTACGTTTTTTGCTGTACCTCTAAAAGTAGTGGAGCGATTTTGTTCATATTTGGTATGTGAATACTATAAGCATTGCACACTGTCTAGAAACACTTTTGGTAGAAGGAGGCCATTTTGAAAAATGGCCGCCATTTTAACGTATTTTACTATAACTTGAAAAGTAGTGGAGCGATTTTGTTCATATTTGGTATGTGAGTACGATAAGCATGGCACACTGTCCTATGACACTTTTGGTAGAAGGCGGCCATTTGGAAAAAAATTTGAATAATGGCCGCCATTTTAACATATTTTACTATAACTCGAAAAGTAGTGAAGCGATTTTGTTCATATTTGGTATGTGAATACTATAAGCATGGCACACTGTCTAAAGACACTTTTGGTAGAAGGTGGCCAATTTGAAAAATGGCCGCCATTTTGACATATTTTACTATAACTCGAAAAGTAGTGGAGCGATTTTGTTTATATTTGATAGTGAATACTCAAAGCATGGCACACTGTCTAATGACACTTTTGGTAGAAGTTGGCCATTTTGAAAAATGGCCCCATTTTAACATATTTTACTATAACTTTGAAAGGAGTTCAGCAATTTTGTTCATATTTGGTATGTTTCATATTTTATATGTGAATACTATAAGCATGGCATACTGTCTAATGACACTTTGGGTAGTAGGCGGCCATTTGAAAAATGGCCACCATTTTTACATTTTTTATTATAACTTGAAAAGTAGTGAAGTGATTTTGTTCATATTTGATATGTGAATACTCATGAGCCTTGCACACTGTCCCATGACACTTCGGATAGTAGGCGGCCATTTTAAAAAATGACTGTCATCTTTACATGTTTTACTTTAACTCGAAAAGTACCTACATGGAACGATTTTGTTCATATTTGATATGTGAATACTTTAAGCATGGCACATTGTCTTATAAAACTTCTGATGACAACTTGGCTAGTGAGCAACCATTTTGAAAATGGTGGCCTTTCTGGTGTGTTGTTTTACGATATTTGATATATATTTCGTTTGTAAAAATGCCAGCCATTTCTGTTCGATGGGATTCGCTACGCTTTGGCGTTGCCGTTGTTCTGGTTAATTTTAAGCTAGGCTATATAATATATTATCTGACCTTTTATATTAGATACAGCAAGTATATTTGTGTCTATTATGCTGTCACAATAAAGGAGATGACTGATTACTTTTGAATGGTAAATGTATACATTGTGACATCATCAGATGATAAAGAAATACTTTAGTTTAAGTTTGACATCATAGAGAAGCTAGAGAAAGTGCTATGGCAACGAAACAGAATAAGTTAATTATATTTAAATATAATATGATGTGTGGAAATATCTATGTGGTCATCATATTTCTAGGTGAGTTTATTGCATATACTACTTAAATTTTGTAACTTTAATTTTCCGCGATTTGCTTCATTAATTGATTTGAAATGTTGATTTCTGTGTCATTAATTTTTAGAAACTGCAATATTTTTTAAATTCTGGACTGTCTGATGAATTTTATAAAACTAAAATTGTCACTGAATCTGATAAATCAAGCACAATACAATAGGCAATACTAAAAAAACAATATACATGTTCACTTAAATTCTAGTAAACCATCAACCAACAAAATCAATGATATTTTTAGAAATCGTTTCAGGAGTATGCAAAGCTGCCACTATTGTTAAAATAGAAGTTGCTAATGGTGAAAGTGCTCTTACTAGTGCTGAACATCACTTTGAACACACACCACTTCAAGCTTGGCCTTACAACAAAACAATTGAGGAAGCAGCAAATATCCATTTTTTGGGACCTCCACCAGTTGTTTTGTCATACAAAGAGAATGGTAAGTTAAAGATATAAAGGGGATTCTAATGCATGGGTATCTGAAATTCAGTTCAGATTGCAGGGGCAGTGCACTGAGGAAAATAGGGTTAGAATGAGTTTAGGCAAGGAAAAATAAAGGAAGTGAACATTTATTTTTTATATTAAGTCAGCTATATTGATATCTGAAAATAAGGGCCTCCATTTCCGATTTCAAATCATAGGTCCAAATTTTGAATAAGGGGTCCAAATATCCCTCCACCTCACCCCCAGCAATTAATCTTTTCTCATATCTGACTATGCATGTAGATATTTTATTATAAGATACATATAGTAGTTTTCAATAGAAAATTCTTGCTCAGATATTAAACAGATTAGATTTACTGTACATTTAAAGATTTGATTTTGTGATCAATGTTTTTGTTCAAGCTAATCTGTAGTTTCATACATCTGAGACAAACATAGAGGATTATATAATACAAGATATGACTTGCTTGAAATTGCCTGATGATATTAAAACAATTAATAACCTACCTGATATATATAAATGTTCCCCTACTTTCAGAGGAAGCTAAAGCAAGAATACAGAAGAAAGTGTCCAAAGCAAATGTATATAGTATGTTCCACCCTGCTATGGCTCGGTTCAGTAAAAGGTTTAGGCGTGAAGTAGACCTTGATGGAGATCTCCCTGAATGGAGTAAGTGTATCTACTAATACAGGGTTACCCCCAAAAAATGCAACCGTCCATTTTTAGATCTTTGTCAATAAAGATCTGGGACACTGATGTTGATTTTTTGTGTGAAGTGCATCCTTCCTTAGATTAAAATATTTATATTTGAACTCACCAGTCCAAATGCTAACTGGAGTTCACTTCTGTCAAATTCCTCCCACAATCGTAAATCAAAGTTACGGGTGTATCTTTATCCATTTGTTGCATTTTTAGGATCACCCTGTATGATAGTCAGTGGGGTAGCTAGGACTAGAGTATATAAGATGAATGACAATCTCTTGAGTGTTTTGAAAGGGATTAATTGGAAAAACAGAATTTTGTTTTCCCATTTATATTTTTCAAAAAGTGCAAAAATGTCAACTGCTTGGTAGAATTTACAGCTTCAATAAAATTGTCATAGCGAGTAATAGTGCAAAAAAAGAAGCCTAAAGTATATAATAAAGGATTCATATCAACATGGCAAACTAAATTGAACACATATTTCTCTTAAACCAGTCATCAAAAAATTCTGAAAATTTTACACATCATCAATTTAATAATCATCTTTTGAATGGTTCCAATTTAATTTGAAATAATATATATACTTTTCTCTATATCGCTTTAGAAAACACATCAGATACTTCTTTTTTGGTATCATATGTTCGGAATCTATCCCAACCTCATTGGAAAACGACATATATAGGTCTCTCAATATTGTAATTGTAAAAAGGACAGTTTGGTTCATTTAAAAAACATATCTTGTTAATGAAATAAAAGATTTACTTTAATTTTTATCTATTTTGGGAGTTTTTGTTTTAATTTTTTGAATACTGTTGTTAATTTAACCAAACTTGCCTTTGTATAACTATAATATTAAGAGGTCTAAGAAAATGTTGTATATGCTATTTTGTTCCAACAAGGTTCGGAAAGATCTTTTATTTCATTCTCAAGAATCACGCCCAGTGATCGTGAAAATGGGACGGAGGGGGGAGCAAGCAATTTCTGGTAGAAAAATGAACAAATCTGCAAAAATTATTTTTTCAAGAAAAGGTTTATGATTTAATTGCTAAATGAATAGGCGCACGGTATGGTAAAATATGTCACGTATTCTACGAATTTTTTTTAGCCGATTCTATTCTTAGGTATAAGATCTATTAAAAAAGGTGCAACGCCACCAACATGCAAAAGTCAATGTTTTTGCTTTAAATCAAGCATCAACGGTCTACACAACCTGCAATAAATATTTGTAAGTGACATTATCATCATAAAATTAATGACCTTTATGACTTTACAAAATACGTTTCCATACGTTGTATAAAAAATAATCGAAAATAATTAAAATGGGACGGAGGGGGGGGAGGGGATGGAAGGGGGGGAGCAAAATGTCTATACGACATGATGAGAGATGGGTGGTGGGCGGGCGGCGGCGTCTCACTTTTCAGCTTGTCTACAGGTTTCCAGCCAAACCATTTGACAGATTCATCTGAAATTTTCAGGAATGTTTCTACGTATCAAAGTTAAGAACTGATTAGTTTTTGGGCATTCTGGGTTAATTTTAAGGTGGCCATTTTGGATTTTCCGTCCTAAAATCTTCACTTTCAAGACTTGTCTACAGGTTTCCAGCCAAACCATTTGACGGATTCATCTGAAATTTTCAGGGATGTTTCTACGTATCAAAGTTAAGAACTGATTCGTTTTTTTTGGCATTCTGGGTAAAATTAAAGGTGGCCATTTTGGATTTTCTGTCCTAAAATCTTCACTTTCAAGACTTGTCTACAGGTTTCCAGCCAAACCATTTGACGAATTCATTTGAAATTTACAGGGATGTTTCTACATATCAAAAATAAGAAATGATTAGTTTTTGGGCATTCTGGGTTAAATTTAAAGGTGGTCATTTTGGATTTTCCGTCCTAAAATCTTCACTTTCAAGACTTGTCTACAGGTTTCCAGCCAAACCATTTGATGGATTCATCTGATATTTTCAGGGATGTTTCTACGTATCAAAGTTAAGAACTGATTAGTTTTTGGGCATTCTGGGTAAATTTTAAGGTGGCCATTTTGGATTTTCCCTCCTAAATTCTTCACTGTCACACTGCTGTGTTTTAGGTACACGATATTGTTCAAGTCTGTGCCTTGTTACAGAATGTTTTCAGTAATTGGTTTGAGAGAAAAATAATGTTCAATTCAGTTCGCCATATCGATACCAACCCTTTATCAAATAGTTCACAAACAGTTCATTTCTGACTGTTATGGTTTTCTTCTGCATAACCTCACAAAAGACACGGTCTTGGGCACATTCAACCTCTCTACCCCTAAAAGTAATGGCACTCATGATTGCATTTTTATATGTGTGACCAGATGAACAAATGATTGATATTAGGACCATTTGAGAATAACTAATTATCCCATCGAACAAAGTTCGGAGAGATATAGGGAACGCCTCCGTCCGTCCGTCCGTCCATCCGTCTGTCTATCCGTCCGGGCAATAACTCAAATACCGTTGGCCCGATTTTGTTCATATTTTGTACACATATACCCTATGGGGGTAGAAGTTCTGCTCAAAAGCAGATTTCAAAATGGCCGCTCATTTAAAAATGGCGGCCATTTTAGTGCCGATTTTACAGTAATTTAGGTGCAATATGTAAAACTGTAATAGCAATATGATTTAAATGTAAAAAAATTATAAAGGACATTAATAAAGCTAGAAATGTAGATATTAAAGAAGCACATGGCAGCCATCTTGAAAAATGGCGGCCTTTACTCGTTATTTTACGATTTTTGCTGTAACTCGAAAAGTAGTGGAGCGATTTTGTTCATATTTGGTATGTGAATACTATAAGCATTGCGCACTGTCTAAAGGTTGAAGACCACAGTAGAGTTTCCCATAGGTGGCCATTATAACATTTTACCCTGTATCTTCCCAGCCTATCGTCAGGCGCAATATTGGTCAATATTTGAGGTCTACTTTTGGTCTACTCATAAGGCGTACTTCTGGTCTACTTTTGGTTTTTCTCTGTGTTAAATCCCCATAGTCAGGCGCGTTTCAAATATTTAAATTAAGCCAAAAGTAGACCAGAAGTAGACCTCATTTGATGACCTCATCAGGTTTATCAGGTCTATATTTGAGGTCTAGACCTCATTTAAGCCTCAACTATCTGTAAATCAGGTCTATATTTGAGGTATACTTTTGGTCTACGCCTTATTTGAGGTTCACTATTGGTTTTCAGGTCTACTTCTCTTCTGCTTTTGGTGTATACCTTACGTTAAGGCACATTTCAATTATGGAAATTAAGCCTTAAGGTCTAATTTTGGTCTAGACCTCATTTCAGGTACAAGCCTCATATACCTGTAATTAAGGTCAGGTCATGTTTTGTTGTTTCAAAGTAGAAAAGTACTTAGTACATATCAGTACCCTCCATAGTTGTTAAATAAATTGCATTTATTTTGAATTGCTGTGTTGTTTTCTAGGATTAACTTGTCTCATGGATAAGATACAGATCTATGAACACATTAGAAAGATGAAGCAAACATTACACAGTATTCTTATATAAATTATATGTAGGCTTCTAATATGATGTATTTTTGTTTCATCATTTAAATTTAACAATATTTCAATATTTTATTATTTTCAGACATCCTTCTTTAGGTTTCCCAGATTTTGATTATTTTTTTAAGTTCTGATAAAAAACATTAATAGGGAGTTGAAAATACAGTTTACTGGTCTGTTAACCTAATATATTATAATCTCTATTATAGTCTCCTTCGTGATTCTGACAAAATACTACAGTAAGTGTGGCTTTTTCAGATTTATGTTTTCTAAGTTTTATAAAAAATTCTATGTTTATCAGGTCTAGATTTGGTCATTTTATAAATGTTTAAGTTTTTAAGGCGCAGTTTTGGTCTATACGCCTGTCAGTGAGGTCTATTCTAAAATGTTCTTAGTTTATCAGGTCTAGATTTGGTCATTTTGAAAATTGTTTAAGTTTTTCAGGCGCACTTTTGGTCTATACGCCTTACAGTGAGGTCTATTCTAAAATCTTCTAAGTAAATGTGGTTTAGATTTGGTTTTTAAGGTGCAGTTTTGGTCTATACGCCTGAAAATAAGGTCTATACCTGGAATTAAACTGGAATTATTGTGAGTAAATGAGGTTAGGTTTTGGTCTAAGCCTTAAAAATACCTGTAAAAGAGGCATACTTTTAGTCTAGACCTGGAAGTAAGGCGCATTTGAGGTTAATTTTTGGTCTACGCCTCAAAAACCTGATGATAGGCTGGGTTATTAACGATTAGTATCCAAGCCTAGTGCAACATACCACAGTGTTCGGGAGAGACTCGCCTAGACTGCTATAACAATCTTACCATGGGTTGTCCACCGAATTTTTGAGATAAATAAACTTGAAGACACTAACCCCCTCTATCGTCAGATTTCTCAGAGAATTCTGGTAAAATCACCAAGGTCAAAATCACTCCGCCGCCAGCTTAAAATGAGATTTCCCACTGAACTTTGGCATGTTTTCAGATAAATCAGGACCTACCTTATAAATATTTAGTCCCAATTCACTTCCCAAACGCCAAATGGCGCTCTAATGGGGTAGGAAAGGAGAAAAATGACTTTTTATACAGAAAACCAAATCACTAACGGTAACCGCTAGTGTCCTTACTCAGGACTATATCCTAATAGTAAACTGAATTAGTTTGTTTTCTTTCAACATGGTTATATTAGCATTGTAGGCATTATCCCGATCACAATGGTATATAACAATGCTATATTTGAGAAAATGCACGGGGGAAGATTCAATCCTTATAGACACAGGTCCTTTTAGCAAAATTCAGGAAATTTTACTTTGAGATTTCTTGAAATTTCTTTGGGGTAGGGGTGCACCTTACAGTTTGCATCACAGATTGAGTACACCCAACTGAGGGCAACATGGCCATACGGGGTATCATTGGAAAGCGATTTCTAATATCTTTCGAGTGATATCCATGTCAAGGCGTTCAATTGCATATTATGACGTCATAACGTTAGGGAGAAACAAAGGTTCATTCAAAACTGCCCAGAAGACAATTGAATGGCACGGAAGAATGGAATTCGGGGTACTTGGCACAATGGCCTCGCCCCCAAAACACTAAAGTTGCTTCAAAATGTCACGATTTTGGTACCATTGTTCAGCTAAGATACAGTCCTTTAATATGATATGCGCTATTAGGCTTCTTAATGAACTTAAAAACCTCAAAAGGGGACAAAACCTACAAAATACCCCAAGAATGCGCCTTCTAATAGGTTGAAGACCACAGTAGAGTTTCCCATAGGTGGCCATTATAACATTTTACCCTGTATCTTATTAACGATTAGTATCCAAGCCTAGTGCAACATACCACAGTGTTCGGGAGAGACTCGCCTAGACTGCTATAACAATCTTACCATGGGTTGTCCACCGAATTTTTGAAATAAATAAACTTGAAGACACTAACCCCCTCTATCGTCAGATTTCTCAGAGAATTCTGGTAAAATCACCAAGGTCAAAATCACTCCGCCGCCAGCTTAAAATGAGATTTCCCACTGAACTTTGGCATGTTTTCAGATAAATCAGGACCTACCTTATAAATATTTAGTCCCAATTCACTTCCCAAACGCCAAATGGCGCTCTAATGGGGTAGGAAAGGAGAAAAATGACTTTTTATACAGAAAACCAAATCACTAACGGTAACCGCTAGTGTCCTTACTCAGGACTATATCCTAAAGACACTTTTGGTAGAAGGCGGCCATTTTGAAAAATGGCCGCCATTTTAACGTATTTTACTATAACTCGAAAAGTAGTGGAGCGATTTTGTTCATATTTGGTACATGTGAATACTATAAGCATAGCACACTGTCCTATGACACTTTTGGTAGAAGGAGGCCATTTTGAAAAAAAAAATTGGAAAATGGCCGCCATTTTAACGTATTTTACTATAACTCAAAAAGTAGTGAAGTGATTTTGTTCATATTTGGTATGTGAATACTTTAAGCATGACACACTGTCTAATGACACTTTGGCCAACTTGGCTAGTGAGCAACCATTTCAAAAATGGTGGCCTTTCTAATGTGTGTTGTTTTACGATATTTGCTATATATTTCGTTTTTAAAGCGCCAGCCATTTCTGTTCGATGGGATTCGCTACACTTTGGCGTTGCTGTTGTTCTGGTTTTACAATAATTTACACCCTCTACTCTTTGCTGCCACTTTAAGTGTTATTATATTAGCCTTTGTGTTAATTGTTTCCTCAGTTAGAAATGACGAAGATTGTAAGCAAACGCTGGAACAAACCAGGCAGGAAAATGATGGCAAACCTCTGCATCTTGCCTCTATCGTCAAATTAGGAGAAACACTCCGACTGACCTGTCACTATTGGTAAGTTTTCTTCACTTTTTTCCTAATAGAGCTAACCAAAAAGTTCAAAAAGGCATTAGTTAAGCTTTAATGTCCTGTTTTAAAGAGCACCTATTCTTACTATTGAAAATGGATTCTACCAATACTTTTCTACATGAATCCTGTGAGACTCAATAAACTTAAGTTTCTCCTGAAATAATGAGGATTTTGTATCTACATTTATGATGATTCGTAGCTTTTAAGTCTTTTGTATCCCCATGTTAAGTCAATACACCCTTGCTGAAATCCTCATTTTCTCAGAACTCAAGTTGATCGAGTCCCAACAAGTAGATTCATGTGGGATAGTATTACTAGAGTCCATTTTCAATAGTTAGAATGAAGGCAGCATAACAAAAAATTGTTTCAATTTTATAAATTTTCCGGCTTCTGGTCATTCCTTTTCATGTTTATTTTCTAAAAACACCAAAAATGCACAGTTTATTTCAGGAAAACTGAAGATTTTTACAATAAGGTGTTATTTTTCTATAAGAATGGTTACCATTCTTATTATTTGGGAGAATTCACCCATTTTTGCACTTTGAATCCATTATAACTTCACCAATTTATAACATATTGTGAATCTTTTGTTGCTTGTAATTTTGTGACCCCCATAGATCTGATTCTGCCTTTAACTCTTTTGCGCGGTATTTAATTATCCCATCGAACGAAGTTCGGAGGGATATAGGGAACGCCTCCGTCCGTCCGTCCGTCCGTACGTACGTCTGTACGTACGTCCGTCCGTCCGTCCGTCCGTCTGTCCGTCCGTCCGTCCGGGCAATTACTCAAATACCGTTGGCCCGATTTTGTTCATATTTTGTACACATATACCCTATGGGGGTAGAAGTTCTGCTCGAAAGCCGATTTTCAAAATGGCCGCTCATTTCAAAATGGCGGCCATTTTAGTGCCGATTTTACAGTAATTTAGGTGCAATATGTAAAACTGTAATAGCAATATGTTTTAAATGTAAAAAAATTATAAAAGACATTAATAATGCTACAAATGTAGATATTAAAGAAGCACATGGCAGCCATCTTGAAAAATGGCCGCCTTTACTCGTCATTTTATGATTTTTGCTGTAACTCAAAAAATGGTGGAGCGATTTTGTTCATATTTGGTATGTGAATACTATAAGCATTGCACACTGTCTAAAGACACTTTTGGTAGAAGGCGGCCATTTTGAAAAATGGCCGCCATTCTAACGTATTTTACTATAACTCGAAAAGTAGTGGAGCGATTTTGTTTATATTTGGTATGTGAATACTATAAGCATGACACACTGTCCTATGACATTTTTGGTAGAAGGCAGCCATTTTGAAAAAAAATTTGAAAAATGGCCGCCATTTTAACATATTTTACTATAACTCGAAAAGTAGTGGAGCAATTTTGTTCATATTTGGTATGTGAATACTATAAGCATGGCACACTGTCTATTTCTAATGACACTTTTGGTAGAAGGTGGCCATTTTGAAAAATGGCCGCCATTTTAACGTATTTTACTATAACTCAAAAAGTAGTGGAGTGATTTTGTTCATATTTGATATGTGAATACTTTAAGCATGGCACATTGTCTAATAAAACTTTGGGGAGTAGTGGGCCATTTTGAAAAATGGCCACCATTCTTATGTGTGTTATTTTACAAGTACGTGTGTAATTTTTCAAAAATTTTAGAGGTAGCTACTTAAAAGCATATTATTTCTCCTAATGACAACTTGGCTAGTGAGCAACCATTTTGAAAATGGTGGTCTTTCTGGTGTGTTGTTTTATGATATTTGCTATTCGTTTGTAAAAATGCCAGCTATTTCTGTTCGATGGGATTCGCTACGCTTTGGCGTTGCCGTTGTTCTGGTTATTTTTAAAAGCTACCGAGCGGTAATTAATTTACTAAAAATTAGGATTTTCATGCCTGCCAATTTGAAAGTGACATAAAACCTAAACCAACAGAGATAACACCACCAAATTTTTACTCATAATTGGAAACATATGTATAAATCATATGTTAACGTATGAACTCATCACAAATAGAGGCACTGATGATAAAAAAATCCTAAACATTATGTATTGCAAAAAAACATAAGACCCCTACTAAATATTACCTTGGTGTACCCCAGCAGCTTCCCTTGCCTGTCCCCCAGGCACAGAGTTGTCAGGCCCATCATCGTTCTGAGTTTCATTTTCTGAGGCTTCAAATATTAGGCTTCACTGCTAGAATAATTGAATATAGCAGCGATTTGATCATTATTACCCGTCTAAATCTAGCCCTTTTTAAATACCACAATGTCTGATCACTTCCAGATTCGTATTTGTTACAAATAAATCAATTAAGTGACCAAAATAAGGTTATAATGAAAACACGCACTACGCGCCAACGCGCTAGCGCACTAACGCACTGTTCAGAATGATCGTTCCCACAGGCCCGGGAACATGTATAAAAATCGAGTGAGTGAAGAGATTAGGTGGCTCATCAGAAAGCAGAAGTATGAAGAAGCCCAATGTTTGATCGTTAACTGTGCAAAGATTATCGATTGTCAGTGTGTTTTATCTGATTTAAAAGGAAGATAGAAAGTAGCACCTTACAAGATGAATGGTCGCAGATATGCGAATATGCTCCCTATTTCATTGCATTATTTGGGTCCATCCATCGGCGAGAAAAATCCCGTTTCGAAATCTGAGCCGGGGGCCCGACTACTTGACTAATGACTTAATATAATGTTTATTTGTCGCATGTTACCTCTTAATATCAAGTCATGGGTGTTTTATATATCTTTACTCTTTGTATTTGAAGTTATATCTCACATGACTTACCAAACGGTGGGATAATTCAGGCGCTTTCATGGGGGGGGGGGTGTATAGGGTTATCGTATAAGAGGAGGGTGAAAATCTATTGTGTATGGCCGCATAAGAGGGGGCAACATTTATCGTATATGGCATCATATAAGTTAAATAAACATATGTTTTAAAAGAATTAAAGAAGCCTATTATGAAATTTAAAGGCAGTTTGAACGAATACTGTAGATCCAGCTTATCCCCATAAATTTGGGATTTCAATACACAAGTAGTTGTGGGGGCTTGCCCGTAGCCAGCTTTTTTCCAGGGGAAGCTTTTTCACAATTTTGGCTAATAATCATGAAAAAAATTCTCAGAATGGTGAAAAACTGCATGATTTTGAAAGAATCTCTGGCCAGAGGGGGAGCTCCACTCCCCCAGCTCCCCCTCTGGCTACGGGCCTGGTTGTGGGGGTGATTTGAAAAATCAGTCCCACATTTATGGGGTAATCCAGATCTCTATATAGTAGTCTCTATATGCCATATGCCAGGACAGTAACCAGGATTTCCTGGGGGGGGGGTCACTTTTTCAAAAATTCCAAAGTCACCCTCCGAACCCCCCTGGCTTCGGGGCTGTGTACTGCCTATTTGCCGTATGATTATACATTTGGTACTACGTGGATTCTTGCATTATGTTATTTCCTTCTGAATATTATCCAAACTTTTCTCAACGGTAATTTCAAAATTATCGTACAGATATATTATTTACCCGACCTTTTTGTAAAATATAGTACTATAGGGAGTAGGTGCATTCATGCACCCTCTGGGTCTCTGAGGATCGTGTTGGTTCACCGTCTATATAGGGAGATGTGAAAAATATTGCATACACTGTATGTTATACATGTAAAAGGGGTGAAAAATGCTGTAAATGGTATAAGACTGAGGGGCTTGTGAAAAATAGTGTATATGGATTTCCAAGACCCCTATGAACCCCCCTTTCATGTTTGCTTTCGTTTTTCTCAATTTGATTTTAGATTTTAAAAGTTTTGAATTACGTCAGTCCCAGTGAATTGTATTACCTATTTTACCAGGAATATTGTTGAAAACAGGATTGTATTTCATTTGGAATTAATATAATTGGCCGTAAATATTTATTAATTCTAAGTTACTCATGTTCTTTCAGGTCAAATACAGAGAAAAGTACACGTTCATTTAGTTTTGGAATTATTTCCTAAATTGAAGTTGAATTCTGTTTTTTAACGGTGTGAAGAACATCTTAATTTGTCTTATATTTTTAGAGAAATCGTAACTTGAAAAGTGTAATTTTCGAGAGGCTTTGTTTATTTCCTGCGGCCGCAAAGTTCACATCAAAGTCTGATTGACAGGTTAGCGGTGATTTATACAGTCTTTGAAGTGTCAATGTTTTGACAAGTTCCCAGGTAGTCATAACCCTAATTATACATGTCCCTGGGCCAAGGGTATAGACCAATCATAAACATGCGCTTAAAACATGCTCACACATCGTGGGGGAAGGATCATTTTCTATTAGCGCATTGGCGCGTGGCGCGTTAGCGCGTAGCGCGTGTTTTCATTATAACCCCAAAATAATTTTTTTCAGAAACTTTGCTTCGCCAAATTAATTTTAAATCACTTCCTGTCAATGTGAGTACCAAATATTGGCACTGCAATACAAGGGTGACATCTTTTGAAGTCTGCTAAAACTTTCCTATAGCATGTCGACTCCAGGTTGACATACGCCATAAAGCGTAGTGGCGACAAAACTCGCCTGACCGCGCAAAAGAGTTAAACAGAACATTGGGCTAGCTTTCTAGAACTTTTTGTTGGCTCTATAATAGGTCTACCTTGAGATACTTTTTATGTCTCCATCATAAGTGGTGGCAAATTGTTATAGTCTTCAACTTTTTTGTGTTTGGGGTTTTGTGGTTGGTCTTTGTTGGCTGGTGTCCAGTGGTTGGTGTCTGTAACAAATGGCAGGTGGTGACATTTTGCATGTTAATGACTTGTCTTATATATGTCCCATGAAAATATTTTGAACAAATGTGTTCTCTAAAATGCATCTTCTTGGGATAAGATTGCTACTAGAGACATGATTTTACATGCAGGATGCTTCCAGTAGTGAGGTGTTCATTCAGACAGGTGTTCATGAAAACAAGTGTTCATAAGGCAGATGTTCACTATGACGTCGAAATTTTTATGTTCACTAAAACAGGATATTCCTCACTTATTGAGATATCATTTTGAAACTTCACTAGCATTGGGTTTGAATGAAGTGTATCCTCAACATTAGGTAGGACAGTTTTTTTTCTTTTTTTTTATAAAGATATGTTTTATTCTTTACAAACTATTATATGAAATAAATCCCTTCAATCACCGATACATATTCTCACATATTATCTACCTAAAATGGGATACATCCAAATAACAAATTATCCACTCTGACTGGTCCACAACCCAACAAAACTGTTATAATTAAACTTCTGGTCCAGATGGAGCAAATTTTTGTTTGTTTCATAAAACATGTATATTAAATCTAAAAAAAGTTTGGCTGTTACAGAGAAATAAATGGAATCAAATAAAAAGATTGCATAACTTCCATCGTTACAGTGGAAAGCATGATGATGAGGAGAACTTGAGCAAGTTGTGGTATAAGAGAGAACATGGTGATGAAAATTTTGAAGAGCTTGATCTCGACATGCACGATGATGATGAATTTAACCGGATATACACCCTACCTGACCATACTTTAGTTGTAAAACACTTCCAAGGAGGTAAGTAGAGGTTCCAAATCTGCCATGGAGTATTCTTTTTGTCATTAGAGAGGTTTCGATAAAAGTTGTTTTGAAAACGTATATGTAAACTTTTACTTTAAAGGGTCTTGTCACACTAAAATCAATTTGAAATTGATTTTCATGAATTGTTCCCAGTTGGCATAAATAGTTTTGATGTTGTAAAGCATATTCATCAATTAGTGATTGCAAATGTAATATCTACTGCATCGTTGTAATATGTACGTTATCAACTCAATATATATTGTGGCGTGGTGTTCTACAAACAAGACCCTCTAACGTGGTTCATTACACGAACGAATAATTTCACAGTTCGTATAAAAGTTTAAGTTGAGATATAAGTTTTGAACGTATAAAAAGGCATATACACGATGATGGTAAACTTATAAAATTGGATCTACACGTAAACAATAACATACTCATATGTGTCAACCAATTGACTGTGAATCTCCCTAATAAGCTGAATATGTAAAGTATTCGCTCAAATACTTTAACTACTATTTTGATAAACTTATCAATCTAATCTGTGTTAGCGATGCATGGAGCAAGCCATTTGCATTGGCTGTATAACAAACTCTCCCTCTAGTATTTGTACAGGGTGTGTCATAATTTTCAACTCCAAAGTCAATTTGAGATAAAACAGAACTATTATATATCATATAGGAACCAAGAATTTTATTTTAGACAAAGGCATTTGACACATTTGACAATAAATACAGTTTAAAAGTTACAAATGGTAGATGCATTTGAACTAAATTCGGAGATTTTCTACTAATAGCCCACGTAACACCCTCTATAGCGAGACATGGGCAAGTCATGGTAAAGCACTGGGGAGGAACTGGAAACAAAGATATGTTTCTTTTATCCTTCCAATATTTGGCAAGTATGTAGTATCCGGTTTCAAGTACGATTAGAACTTGGAAACTGATACTGTAATTCACAAATTAATTAAATTAATTCCCTTGATTAGAAAACGAGAGAAAGTACTTTCATCGTTTCTTCGAGAAATGTTCCTCCCCAGTGGGGTTTTCATCAAACAAAAGTTGAAGTTGCAAGGGTCACCGGGGATGCTCAGATTATGCACCAAATGATGTTCAATTTTTGAAATTATCTTTGGTTAGAACCCCAGACCCCCCCTATTCTTGCACAGTTGCACTCACTCGATACAGTATTATATTTGAACATATATTTTATATTTGTTTTAAAACATGAAATATGCTTATATATTTTCTGAAATTGCTCACCAGACCCCCGAATTGTTGGACTTGGTCGCTGCACTCACTTGACGCGGCTCGCTTTGCTCACAGCCATTATCAAGTGCCCTCCCTAACATGAAATCCAGAATCGCAGCTGCTACCTATGCACAAGTTGCAATTGAGGAGCCATTCTCTTTGCTTGCACAAAGAAATCTGATTCTGCCTGTAGTGGGTATCTTAAAAGTGATACACTGTACCGTGCTAATACAGACTGTAGAAGGAATGATAAACAAACATAATTAATGTTCTGTTATTTATATTCACAGGTGATGAAGGAACTTATAACTGTAAGTCTGTCAATGGTCAAACAAACTTTCTCTACAGAATAGATGGTAAGTGCAATTTGATGCCTTTTATAGTCTGTCGGGTTTCCATTTTTATTCATAACTGTAAATGGTTTCTAATTAAAGAATAAGATTTTAACACAATATTCAGTGGCAGATCTGAAAGCTAACAAGTGGAGGGCCCACATATCATGGCAGAAAAAAAGATTTGGGCCGCTTAAACAGGGTTCGTACACACCTGGAAATGTCAGGGAAATTGATTTATTTTTCCAGGTGCTGGAAATGTCAGGGTATTTTAAAATTGGGTCAAAAAGGGCCAAAAATGTCAGGGAATTTTGAAACAGTAGATTTGTCAGGGAAATGTCAGGGAATTTTGTATCAATGTTGAAAGAATAATGTTCCAGCAAAATACATTTTAGGGCTATGACAGGATATAAGTGAAATCCAAAATCATCTACTAGTTGTTTCCACAAATTGCAAATCTTTTCATTAGGGTTGGTTGAATGACATTAGATCTGGTATTGTCTATTTGTAGAACAGTGTGAACATTACACTGAAACCGAACAATAAAAATAATGTATAGATGATTTAATACAATTATGCTTTTTTATGTAGTAAGCTTAGTCTTAGGCCATTCAAAGTTAATTACTGGTATATATTTCATGGTTTGATGAGGGGTTAATCTGAGGGGGGGGGGGCGGGAGGTGAAAAACAAAAAAAATTCTTGGACCTCTTTACAATGTAAAATTGTATTTATATTAAGAAGCTGTCTGTTCGACAGTCCGATCGTACATCAGTCTTTTCAACTTTCAGGGGCTTTGCCAATTTTGAAAACCTTAGCACATGGAAGTAGGCAACCAAAATGTGTGTGGGGTACTATTAACAGTTTTTGAATTTGGTCCAAATCCACCTTCAGTGACCTTGAAAAGGTCAAAAAAGTTGATTTTCTAAATTGATATTTTGGATTTAAATTTAGGTCAGCTTAATTACAAAACACCTACTGAGATCTGAAAAAGTTAAATTTTCAAGGTCGAAGGTCAAGGTCATTAAACTAGGCCACAAATGATGTTATCCAAGTTTCTCAAAGTTTGAGACTACAAATCAATTCTTGTCATCAAAATTCCAAGATAACCGCTAACCTGTTCAACTTGAAATTTTTACAGATGCAATAGCAGACTACTGCCAAGATCTGATTAGGTTAAGGGCATGCTGGGTAAACTACGTGGCGGCCATTTTGAATTTTTCAACAAATCTTGTCATCAAAATTCCAGGAAAACCACTTATCCGTTCAACCTTGAAATTTTTACAGATGCAAGAGCAGACTATTGCCAAGATCTGATTAGGTTTTGGGTATGCTGGCTGAATTACATGATGGCCATTTTTAATTATCCCATCGAACGAAGTTCGGAGGGATATAGGGAACGCCTCCGTCCGTCTGTACGTACGTCCGTCCGTCCGTACGTCCGTCCGTCCGTCCGTCCGTCCGGGCAATAACTCAAATACCGTTGGCCCGATTTTATTCATATTTTGTACACATATACCCTATGAGGGTAGAAGTTCTGCTCAAAAGCCGATTTTCAAAATGGCCGCTCATTTAAAAATGGCGGCCATTTTAGTGCCGATTTTACAGTAATTTAGGTGCAATATGTAAAACTGTAATAGCAATATGTTTTAAATGTAAAAAAATTATATAGGACTTTAATAAAGCTAGAAATGTAGATATTAAAAAAGCACATGGCAGCCATCTTGAAAAATGGCGGCCTTTACTCGTTATTTTACGATTTTTGCTGTAACTCGAAAAGTATTGGAGCGATTTTGTTCATATTTGGTATGTGAATACTATAAGCATGGCACACTGTCTAATGACACTTTTGGTAGAAGGCGGCCATTTTGAAAAATGGCGGACATTTTGAAAAATGGCCGCCATTTTAACTTACTTTACTAAAACTCGAAAAGTAGTGGAGCGATTTTGTTCATATTTGGTATGTGAATACGTATAAGCATGGCACACTGTCTAATGACACTTTTGGTAGAGGGCGGTCATTTTTCAAAATGGCCGCCATTTTAACGTATTTTACTATAACTCGAAAAGTAGTGGAGCGATTTTGTTCATATTCGGTATGTGAATACTGTAAGCATGGCACACTGTCTAATGACACTTTTGGTTGAAGGTGGCCATTTTGAAAAATGGCTGACATTTTGAAAAATGGCTGCCATTTTAACTTATTTTACTATAACTCAAAAAGTAGTGGAGCGATTTTGTTCATATTTGGTATGTGAATACGTATAAGCATGGTACACTGTCTAATGACACTTTTGGTAGAAGGCAGCCATTTTTCAAAATGGCCGCCATTTTAACGTATTTTACTATAACTCGAAAAGTAGTGGAGTGATTTTGTTCATATTTGGTGTGTGAATACTATAAGCATGGCACACTGTCTAATGACACTTTTGGTAGAAGGCGGCCATTTTTCAAAATGGCCACCATTTTAACATATTTTATTATAACTCGAAAAGTAGTAGAGGGATTTTGCTCATATTTGGTATGTGAATATTATAAGCATGGCACACTGGTTAGTGACACTTTTGGTAGAAGGTGCCCGTTTTGAAAAATGTTCGATGGGATTCGCTACGCTTTGGCGTTGCCGTTGTTCTGGTTTTTCAATTTGGCGGCCATTTTGAATTTTTCAACTTGCTCCAAATTGACCAAGTTCTCAGAAGTTCAAATCTGACCTTAGATTTCAGATTTGACCTTTCGTTCACCTTCAGTGACCTTGAAAAGGTCAAAAAAGTTGATTTTCTAAATTGATATTTTGGATTTAAATTTAGGTCAGCTTAATTACAAAACACCTACTGAGATCTGAAAAAGTTAAATTTTCAAGGTCGAAGGTCAAGGTCATTAAACTAGGTCACAAATGATGTTATCCAAGTTTCTCAAAGTTTGAGACTACAAATCAATTCTTGTCATTAAAATTCCAAGAAAACCGCTAACCTGTTCAACTTGAAATTTTTACACATGCAATAGCAGACTAGTGCCAAGACCTGATTAGGTGAAGGGCATGCTGGGTAAACTACGTGGCGGCCATTTTGAATTTTTCAACAAATCTTGTCATCAAAATTCCAGGAAAACCACTTATCCGTTCAACCTTGAAATTTTTACTAGGGGTGGGACGGATAACCGAAATACCGAAAAACCGCGGTTCATAGCCTTCGGATCGGTTTTCGGATCACGGCCCTACTTTCGGATCAGCTTTTCGGATCGTTTTCGGATCAATATTTCATTGGTCAAGTATCAATAAAACAGTTAAAAACACTGTTTTAAAGCAACATTTTTGATATTCCTAGTCCCTACCTTGTCTGTCTTGTCTGTTGCTAACTCACTCGTTTTATAGATTCGTTTTATATCCGCATATTCGTATCCCTCAGTAATCAATCATGTGGTCCCTGGTACTATATTCTTTAGTCGTGTATTCTAAATAATATATATTGTTCATGAAATACTATAACATAAAATTCCATCTATAAAATATTGTTATAACGTCAGAGACAAAGCAGCTAATCGTTTCAATCAATACAAATCCTTAAAATGAATGAACCGAACCGAAAAAAACCGAACCGACGGCTGATGATCCGAAAAACCGAACCGAACCGAACCGAAACGAACCGTCCCATCCCTAATTTTTACAGATGCAAGAGCAGACTATTGCCAAGATCTGATTAGGTTTTGGGTATGCTGGCTGAATTACATGATGGCCATTTTGAATTTTTCAATTTGGCGGCCATTTTGAATTTTTCAACTTGCTCCAAATTGACCAATTTTTTTTTTTTAAAACATCTACAAGTTCTCAGAAGTTCAAATCTGACCTTAGATTTCAGATTTGACCTTTCGTTCACCTTCAGTGACCTTGAAAAGGTCAAAAAAGTTGATTTTCTAAATTGATATTTTGGATTTAAATTAAGGTCAGCTTAATTAAAAAACACCTACTGAGATCTGAAAAAGTTAAATTTTCAAGGTCGAAGGTCAATGTCATTAAACTAGGTCACAAATGATGTTATCCAAGTTTCTCAAAGTTTGAGACTACAAATCAATTCTTGTCATCAAAATTCCAAGAAAACCGCTAACCTGTTCAACTTGAAATTTTTACACATGCAATAGCAGACTAGTGCCAAGACCTGATTAGGTTAAGGGCATGCTGGGTAAACTACGTGGTGGCCATTTTGAATTTTTCAACAAATCTTGTCATCAAAATTCCAGGAAAACCACTTATCCGTTCAACCTTGAAATTTTTACAGATGCAAGAGCAGACTATTGCCAAGATCTGATTAGGTTTTGGGTATGCTGGCTGAATTACATGATGGCCATTTTGAAATTTTCAACTTGCTCCAAATTGACCAACTTTTTTTTTTAAAACATCTACAAGTTCTCAGAAGTTCAAATCTGACCTTAGATTTCAGATTTGACCTTTCGTTCACCTTCAGTGACCTTGAAAAGGTCAAAAAAGTTGATTTTCTAAATTGATATTTTGGATTTAAATTTAGGTCAGCTTAATTACAAAACACCTACTGAGATCTGAAAAAGTGAAATTTTCAAGGTCGAAGGTCATCAAATTAGGTCACAAACAATGTTATCTAAATTTTCCCAAAGTTCAAAACTACAAATAAATTCTTGTCATCAAAATTGCAGGAAAACCGCTTACCTTGTCAACTTGAAATGTTTACAGATGCAAGAGCAGACTAGTGCCAAGGTCTGATTAGGTTTTTGCCATGCTGGGTAAATTGCATGGTGGCCAGTTTGCTCTTCAAAGTGCGATATTTATCACTGTGTGTCTTGTTTATGAAATTTTTGATAATTTAAAGAAATTTGATTCCTGATAACACAAAATACTGATTATTTGATTTGGTATCATAGGCCTGAGCCTTTTCGTGATCTGGTGATGCTACTTGAGAAGGAATTTCTAATATGATGTCAATTGCTTTGGTGTAATTTTCCCAAAAGGGAGAAGACAATAGTAATGCCAGGTTATTGCTATCATATAATGTTCACAATGATAGTATTCAATAGAAATATGTTTCATTAGGTGGGAATTGCCCCTCAAGTGAGTTGCTATTTTTCTAGTAGGATTTAGATCAAAATTTTAAAGTTTCAGTTGTCATTTAGATTCATTCCAAAACATTAACAAATATAGTTTGAAATGCTTAGAATGCACCATATACAATTGTCAATTTTGAAAAAATTCCGGGGGTGAACCCCCGTACCCCCCTTCTGGTTTTCCTTCGCTCGCAGTGATGCAAACCCCAAAAGATGCACCTCCTTGATACTTGTTGGCTATGCCCCTGTACATGTATGTTTACCTTTGGCCTTAAGCAATGTAAAATATGTAATATTAAAAAATAATATGTATCAGGAATAAATTGGTGAATAAGACTGCCTGTACAAGTAGTTAAGTCATGAGAAATGGTACTGAAGGAGAAACCCCAAATGTTTCATGATAAGTATTTTTGTCTTGAATAATACAGTTGTTTGAGACTTTTTAGAGGGCGCGCAAGGAAAGTTAGATCTGGAAATTTCCTTTTTTTGCCTGGAAATGTCAGGGAATTGTCAGGGAAATTCATTTTAAAAAAGGTGTACGAACCCTGTTAAACCAAAAATTGGGACCAAATTGTGCAAAGGTGTAGTATCGATATGGTGAACTTTTTGGACACGCATATTTCTCTTAAACCAGTAATCAAAACACACGAAAATTTAACACATGGTCAATTTAATGGTCATCTTTTGGATGGTAACATTATAATTTGAAATATAGATAAATAATTTTTTCTATATCGTTTTAGAAAACACATCAGATACTCCTTTTGTTATTGGTATCATATGTTCGGAATGAAATGAAACCTCTATCCGAACCTCGTTGGAACAAAACGACATAAACACAACATGTTTAGGTCTCTCCATATTGTAATTGTACAAAGGAAAGTTTGGTTGATTTTGAAAAAGTATCTTGTTAATGAAATAAAAGGTTTATCTTAATTTTTAACTATTTTGGGGGGTTTTGTTTTAAGTTTTTGCACACTTTTGTTAAATCAACCAAAATTTCCTTTGTATAACTATAATATTGAGAGGTCTAAGAAAATGTTGTATATGCTATTTTGTTCCAACAAGGTTCGGAAAGACATTTTATTTCATTCTCAAGAATTCATAGAAAGGAACAAAAAACAATTGCACTAAAAAACAAAAAATGTTAACAAAAACATCTAAATAATTTTTACATTAAATTGTTGCCAATCAGTCAACATTACATAAAGGACCATGTTTTTTACAGTATGTTTTCAATAATTGGTTTAAGAGAAAAACATTGTTGAATTCAGTTCACCATATCGATACCTATCCTTTAAGACTTAGTTTTTGATAATTTGGCATAGGAATTAAAAAAAGCCCCAAAAGGCCAAGTTATGTCCAAAAAGGCCCACTAATTAAGGCCCTACAAAAGTTTTCCCCAAAATAATTTTTCTAGGGAGGGGGACAAGATCTACCAGTGATACTATTCATTTACATGTACCTGCATTTGAAAGTAGTCTAGTCAGTCTTATAAGCTTACCATCATGGGCGTAGAGCTATATTTTGAGTTGGTACGCACACTCGGGGATGCCTGATTGCGTGGCTGAAGGCATCGCGGGGGTCCGGGGGTATGCTCCCCCGGGAATTTTTAGTGTGTAATTTGATGGAATCTAAGCATTTTTATCAATGTTTTATTATGTTGACAATGATAAAAATACAGAAACGGTAGGAAGCATCAATAAATTCGCAAATAAATTAATGCATTTTAACACATTTTTAATTTTTTGAAATTCATTTGGTACGCCTGTGCATATTTTGCGTAATAAGCGCTACGCCCATGCTTACCATTTTAGATTCTGCTAATATTGTAGCATCCAATGTCTCTTTTGAATCCTTCAATACATACTATTAAAAAGATGATCAACCAAGAAGTGAACAATGATGTACAACGGAATGTGCCTCGTTGGCAATTTCAGTGAACATGTATTCTGTGTTTGGCCTTGATATCTTAAATAGTTTCCACATTATGAAAATCAATTAACTGATTAAGCCTATTTCCAGATCTGTTGATCCAGGGGGCAGCATCTGGGCCTAGGCACTGATTACAAGACCCTGTAATTTAAGTAGATAAGGGGGTCCAGGGTCTTAAAGCAAGATTAAGGATATATTGCAGCATTGTATGATATTGCAGTATTGTTGGCAAGGAGACAGGCAGCAACATCTCACTTTTCTTGTCATAGCCTCCAGCTTTAGTGTTTGGCATTGAAGACTGTGACAAATGGTTACAGTTTTGTAATTGCAACCAGATGGTGACATTTTATAGTGTTATACCTTGTTCTTATTTTCAGGTCTTGTTGAACCTGCCATCAAAAGGTTTGGTAGGTAATTTATAAGATAATTTGGTTAATGTGATTTGAACATTTTACTAATAATCATTGTTGTATTAGTGATTTATACTGAATTTGGGTATTGAGACAGGTGAATCTTTCCTATACTTTGCATATCAGTATTCATATCAGTTCCATATAATATTAGAGTTGTACTAAAACAACTGTCAGAATCTCTTATTAGCTTGTACTTGCACAATTCTGTTATTTTGACAAGAAAGCTAGTGATATTTTCCCACAAGAAACTGGTTAATAAAAACGCAGAATTGAATTCTGCACTGAGGGCAGGCACTACACCAAACTTCAAATGTTGACCTAATACCCAGCCCAATGCACCTGAAATAATTTTTGCTCATTCCCTTTTATGTTTGCCATGAGATCTTAATGGTATTTTCTTATATTTTCCCACTAACCTACGTTAAAAAAATATTTTACACCCCCACCCCCATGTTTGAAAATGAATAGATGGCGTCACTTTAACTGCCCATAGTGAATTCACTTACCACATATTTTTACTCCACCCAAGATAAATTTACTCGAGAGAGTGTCTGGAACAAAATGATAACCTCAAACCTTTTTTTCCCAGCCGAGTAACGAAATCAGAGCTAGGGACACTACAGCATCATTCCCTTTCTCTTTAACATTATTTACAGCTTTTTATGACCATTTTATTTGGCCATAATCGGTCACAATCATTGAGTTGGTGTATATTTCACCTTATTTTTTGAACTTCAGTTGATTCTCAATACTCTAAGTGCTATTTTGATACTGCTGATGGCAGATTCAGTTTCACTTTTCAAAATCAGATTCAAAAAGAAAAACGTCAACTAAAGATATGATAAACGCACTTGCCGCAAATGGAATCGGAGGTGTTGCTTGCTATTTATACATGTTTTTATGCATTTTTAAGTAAGTAATTAATGGGATTTGCAACGGGGTAGATTACAAATACAATGTAGATTCTTACAAATAAGCCATAACTTTAGTCAACCAGATACGCTTTCACTCAAGTATGGATTTAAAATTTTGAAATTCTGCTTCCCTATCTGATTACTGAAGGTATCTCTTCTATGACTCATTAACACTGATATTGATCAAGTTGGTTGCTGATCTTGAATTTAATCAAATAGTATTAACATTTTTCGATTTGTAAATGATATTGAATAGTGTAGAAGAATTTGGCCTCTTGCCTAATCCAAATCATAAACAATAGGCAGGAAATACATTATTTGATGTTTCATAATATGTGTGTATCTTTAGTCAGAAACATTTTTTCGTTGAGACAGGAGAAAAATAGAAAAATTCCACAGAACGTTTTGTTGTACTTTTAGTCAAACTGAATGAATCAAGAAGGAATTTCCAAACAAACTACAAGGAAGACCAGGGCCAAAAAATGAATACACTTGATTCTCTTCAATAAAATAAAAATAATATCTCTATGAACATGAAGTCATGAACTTGATGTCATATTCAGTGCCAAAAATGAATAAACCTTATTCTTTATAGAAATAATATGCCTATAAGAATGAATTTGAAGTCATATTCAGTGCCGAAAATGTACCTTATTATCTTAATTTAATAAGAAATAATATGCCAATAACCATCAACTACCGTATTTTGAAACATAATTATGCATTCAATTCATTTGTATGTTTTTCATATTTAAATTGTCTCATTCTTAAACTAAATAATTTCCATAATATGGTTGAAAAAAGTTGCAACCATTTAGTAAAATGCAACTTAAACAATCAATGGTTTGTAATGGTTGCAAATGATCCTATAATTTCGATGATATGCATCCAAAGTTTTCAACCAAATTTTAATGGTTGAAATGTAACAGTTGGAAACCATTTCAAATGGTTGCAGTAATGGTTCTGCAATGATTTTTAATGGTTACGCAATGGTTTTTAACGGTTGAAATTCGGACAAAATAGTTGTTTTTTTCTTAGGGACCACAGGCGTCATTCGATAATCATGTCACATGACGTAGCATTTCTGCTATGAAAATGAAATCAGTTTTGACGCTGAAACAGACACATAATGACTCTATATCCCAGATATCATGATAAAATGAACTTTTTGAAGTGATGGTGTTTCACCATCTTAAAGTGTGGCCTTCATATGTTAAGATAGCATAAATATAATTTAAATAGAGTGAAAATCGAGGCTAAAACTTTTAAATTTAGACACATTAATGATAAAGCTATAATAAATTTTAACTTTGATTTGGCAAATATAAATTGGAATGAGATACTTACAGTATACAATTGTTGACCTCTCCAGAGGTCAACCGGCAAAATTGTATACCGAGACTGTAAACCGAGAAACTACTGTTGACAGAGACCGAAGGTCGAGGTCAACAGTAGTTTCAAGGTTTACAGTCGAGGTATATGGTTTTGACGGTTGACCGAATGGAGAGGTCTACAATTGTTTTGTTAGTCAGAAGAAACTAATAATACACATATAGACGACAGTCATCAATCATGGCTTCATTTCACAATATTTTCTCCGAACCACGCCAGCAATGATTTTTTAAGAAAATCTTAAGACAGTGGTAGCTAAACTCTCTGTTTTGGCACATAACTGCATACTCACTTGTAAATTAATGTTAATTTTTCGTTTCTTTTTGTATTTTTGCTATACTTGTCGTCTAGCAAAGTCAAAATATCACTTTCATCAACGTTTACGAAATGTCCGTCTACCATGTTTTTTCTGTAAACATTATGACGTCATATTTCCCATGATTCACAAGTGTAGTACAGTAACATAAGCGGTCAATAATATGATATCCCATGATGCACAGGTGAGGTACAGGCAAAAATGTTGACCGCTAATTGACCAATCAGATGCGAGTATTTACACTGAGGTACTAACAAAAAGTGATGTTAACTTAGCATACATAAAATTTGAAAATTTAATCACAAATCTATATAACATACATTTCCCTCTAAGATCAAAAACAGTTAAAATGTTCATAAATTCAAGTAAGCCATGGTTAACTCAAGGTATCATAACTTCATGTAAAAACAAACACAAATTATATCGTAAATACATTAAACATCCTTCTACTGAAAATCAACAGGCTTACAAAGAATTTAAAAACAAATTGCAACATATAATTCGCTTTTCTGAAAAAAAACATTATAGTTCTAAGTTCCATGAAGTTAAAGGTAATCTTAAGCAAACTTGGTCAATTATTAATAACATTTTGAACAGAAATAATAATTCAAATGCATCTGAATTTAACATGCTTATAAATAATACTTTAACGAAAGATAAATTAACTGTGGCAAACAATTTTTCTTCATACTTTGCAAATGTTGGTCCAAAATTTGCATCAAAAATTAATTCCAAAGGGTCACCACTTGCCAATATTACGAGAAACGAACATTCTATATTTCTGGATCCTGTTACTGAAGATGAAATTTTAACATTAATGCAGGGACTTGGTGATAAAGCACCTGGTTTTGACAATATAAAGCCCATGGTAATTAAACATGCTAGATTCAATATAGCTACTCCTTTTACACATATTGTTAACCTTTCACTGCAATCTGGTATTTTTCCAGATAAACTAAAGAACTATAGACCTATTTCTTTACTGAGTGTTTTTTCTAAACTTCTTGAAAAAGTAATGCATAAACGTTTTTCTACATTTCTTAAAACTAATAATCTAATGCATGAAAGACAATTTGGTTTTAAAGAAAAACATTCAACATATATGGCCATTCTTACTTTTTCTGAACAAATTCGTTTTGCTTTAGATAATAAAAAACATGTTTTAGGTTTATATTTAGACCTTTCCAAGGCATTTGATACCATTGACCATACAATTTTACTAAATAAACTAGAAATGCTAGGTTTTCGCGGTGTTGCTAATGATTGGTTTAGAAGTTATTTAAAAAACCGTTCTTTAAAAACTTTTATTGAGGATACATATTCAGATAAAAATGAAACTTTAACTTTTGGTGTCCCTCAAGGCTCTGTCTTGGGGCCAGTACTATTTACGCTATATATAAACGATCTTTTTAAGGTATCAGATATTTTCAAATTAGTTATTTTTGCTGATGATACTAATATATGCCTCGAAGATGATAACCTAGAAAACCTATTCAAAATTGCAAATAATGAAATGATTAAAATTTCTAATTGGTTCAAGAACAATAAACTTTCACTCAACATAGATAAAACTAATTATATGATCTTTACTAAATCAAAACCTAAACTCAATGATCCCAAATATCAGTTAATTATTGATAGAAATACTATTGAACGAGTTGAAAAAACAAACTTTCTTGGAGTAATGATTGACAATAAATTAAATTGGAACGAACATATATCTTATATTATTTCGAAAATATCCAAAACACTAGGTATACTTTACAAAATACGCTACAAATTAAATTTAACAGCTTTGCTTGATATATATTACTCACTTATATATTCTCACATTTCATATTGTAACATCATATGGGGAAATGCCAACAAATTTTTATTAGACAAGATTTATGCAATTCAAAAAAAAATTGTCAAATTATCTTTAAATTTAGATTTACTTCACCCAAGTTTACCACTATTCAAGCAATTACATATATTAACTATCTTTGATATTCATAAATTAGAAAAAGCAAAATTCATGTTTAATATAGTTAAAGAACCAGCACATTTTCCTTCCCATTTATTTAAACAGTATTTCAATTTCAGACACACTCGTACCACGAGACAAATCCATCACATTATCCCATGCAAATTTAAATCAAACTTAACAAAAAAATCAGTTCAATACTCTGGAACAATAATATGGAACAAACTACCAAATTCCCTTCAATCTCTACCATCATTTTACTCCTTTAAATACAATTACAAAAAAATATTAATAAATAGTTACTGAGCCATGAGCATGTATTGTTATTCTTCCACAATTGTATTATGTTTGTATTTTTCACTTTTGAATTGTTTATGTGCAGGCATTTTTGTGTATTGTCGTATTTTATAACATGAACTGGCATGATATCTATAATTGTATTTCTTGCTTTATTCAATTCATATAAATTGTAATTTATTATCCCACCGAACGAAGTTTGAGGGGGATATAGAAAAGCCGTCCGTCCGTCCGTTCGTCCGTCCGTTCGTCCGTCCGTCCGCCCATTCATCCGTCCGTCCGTTCGTGTGTCCGGGCAATAACTCAAATACCGGTTGACGGATTTCATTCAAATTTTATAGGCTTATGCCTTACGGGTGTAGGACCTCTGCTCGAGAAGAAATTTTCAATATGGCTGCTTAATTCAAAATGGCGGCCATTTTTCAGAAAAAATATAATCTTTAATAACTCAAATACTAGTTGATGGATTTGCTTCAAATTTTATAGGCTGTTGCCTTGGTACAAAGCAGCCTTGCTCAAGAAGACATTTTCAAGATGGCCACCAAATTTTAAAATGGCGGCCATTTTCGTAAAAAAAGCTTTATCTTTGATAACTCAAAGACCATTGAATGGATTTGGTTCAAATTTGAAATGCTGATGCCTAGGGACATAGGAGCTCTGCTCGAGAAAGGATTTTCAAGATGGCAGCTAAATTTCAAAATGGTGGCCATTTTTCGTAAAAAAAACGTTATCTTTGATAACTCAAATACCATTGAATGGATTTGGTTTAAATTTTAGATGCTGATGCTTAGGGACATAGGAGCTCTGCTCAAGAAAGGATTTTCAAGATGGCAGCTAAATTTCAAAATGGTGGCCATTTTTCATAAAAAACCATTATCTTTGATAGCTCAATTACCATTGAATGGATTTGGTTCAAATTTTACATGATGATGCCAAGGGACATAGGAGCTCTGCTATAGAAGGGATTTTCAAGGTAGTAGCTAAATTTCAAAATGGCCGCCATTTTTCATAAAAGAACGTAACCTTTGATAACTCAAATACCAGTTGACGGATTTGGTTCAAATTCTATATGCTGATGCCTAGAGACAAAGAAGTTCTGCTCAAAAATAAATTTTCAAGATGGCCACTGAATTTCAAAATGGCCGCCATTTTTCGTAAAAAAATGTAAGTAATGATAACTCAAATACTAGTGGATGGATTTGGTTCCAATTTTATATGCTGATGTTTAGGGAAAAAGGAGATCTGCTTCAGAAGAAATTTCAAAGGCAATAGCTGAATTTCAAAATGGCTGCCATTTTTCATTAAAAAAGTAATCTTTGATAACCCAGATACCATTGGAAGGACATTCTCTGCTAAAGAAGAAATCTAAAGATGACAGCTGAATTTCAAAATGGCAACCATGTTTCATAAAGACATAATCTTTGATAATTCAAATACCAGTGGATGAATTTGGCTCAATTTTTTTTTATCAAAACATGTTTTGTTCGGTGGGATTTGCTACTCCGTGGAGTTGCTGTTTTTCTAGTTTTTATATTGTACAACTTTTGATTTTAGCACTGATATGCCCTTTTATGGGTATCAAGTGCCAACCCTGTTAATGTAATACTAAATGAATATGATAGTAAGATAAAAAAATAAATAAAAAAAAACAAAAAAAAAACAGTTTAGTACAACTTTAAGCAGCAATTATATTTCAAAATACTTACGTAGATTACACTATATTGTATATTGCTATTATGATGTGCACTTAAAATGTTATAATGGTAATTATATTTCATTTCAGTTGCTAAGGATATACCAAATTTTTTACAACCAAGCGATCCTATCTCAGGTAAGTTTCGAAAATAACTTTAGTATGTTCATATGGGCAAGAAATATTGTCTAATTATCAGAAATATTGTTATCCTACAATACAATCAATATTTACTTTGTTTAGGTAGGTAGATTGATATGACTAATGGACATGTAGAGTTGTAGACACATGGTGTCAGTATGGAAGGCTTTGTATAAAAAACCTACCTCATACCCACCTAACCATGTACATGGGACATGATACAGTCTTTGAAAGGTTCAATTTTAAAGTTTATTAAATCTTAGTTTATGATGAATTATAGATGCATTTGTAACGACCCTTGATAGCAAGTTTCTACTACATCCCAGCTGGGTTTGATTCCCACTCGGGGCATCGAATTTAGCACACTTTCTTTCAATTTCTTTATCTGGCTTGTTGGACCTATGCTCGGGGGGGGTTTGTAGAAGAAACCGGGTACCGGGTAGTAAATCCTCCATGCTGGGTTCAAACTTGGTACCCGGTACCCAGTCGAAAAAACTGGGCACCCCAAAAACGGGTATGAAAAACATATGTTTCTTTGCAGTAGACTAGAACAGGAATAAAGCTTGCAATCCCTTTATTTATGTCATCAGCACGACACGACACGTCATCAGCATGACATCATCACTCCAAACACACAAAGTACATTCAGGGGCGTAGCCAGCTTTCAGTCAGGGGTTTGTGTGATCGTGTCATAAGCACGACTAAGATTTGTTTTGAATTTACAAAAATGTATGTAACTTCCTTCAAAATTGAGCTAGAAGCTCCAAATAAAAAGCATTTTAAGGCTCTTTTCTTCCTCTATCATCATGGTCATATTTTCATTGGTTATGGGGGGGAGTGCGACCGCACCATCGCACCCCCTCCTGGCTACGCCTATGACATTGTAAGACCTAAGAATTTACACTTCAATGGACGTTTCGTCGAAAATTGGGATAACTTAAATTATGATTAATAATCAAAAATCTTACACGTTGCATCATTTAAATTAACACACGTCACCTCTCTGCTAAAGTAACGATAGCTATTTACAGATTTAAATCATAATCAATGCAATTAACGTACCAACATACGAACTATTGAAAATAGTGTAAGATTGATTTGTCATGTTTTTTAAATATTACTTCCGTTTTTTTGGACCGAGTACCGGATACCAAGTTTGAACCCAGCATGGAGGATTTACTACCCGGTACCCGTTTTTTTCTACAAACCCATGCTCGCGGTCGTTAGTTATTTATTCCCCTGGGGCGCCCTCTGGTCATTACACATTAAAATGCATCCATATGCCTTTATTTATGGATCTGTCATCTGTCTAGTCATAAAATAAAGCCGGAATTGTAGAAATGTTGATAATTTGAGCTATTTTGAGATTTAATAATCTGGTAGGTGGGTATGAGTTTTTTTTTATACAAAGCCAGTATGGAAGCATATTGTGATACTGTACTCCTGATAATTTTCACATGCTATTATATTTCAAGCTTTTTGCGATTTTGTAGCTACCATGATGTATTTGAGTACATGTAATGAAAATATTTTGAGGAATAGCCAAAAAGAAGTTGGATAAATTTTAAGCAATATTAGATCTGCAAAAATTTATAACCAAGAAAAATTTGAAAAACTTAGCAAAAATTGATAGCTTGGAATACAAAATCACAAAAACACAAGATATAATAGCATCTAATAATAGTTGGAGTACAGTAAGCTAGATCACTTATTGGACTCCCAGTAAAGTGCCAATCATATTTCAAATTTTAAGAATCACTGTGCAAAACAGAATATACATGTAGTTAAGAGGAGGAAAGCCCAAGAGCTTTAGTGATGACAGACATAATTACATCTCTTTCTTACCACCTTCGTTTGTCAGAATTTTCACCAGCTAGTTTATGAATACAACACTTTATTGTGATGTTTTAATTTATGTTAGCATATTCCTTACATCTTTCTTTATCTTGATGTAAAATAGAAAATAGCAGGCTATGATATTAACTAACATGCCAGAAATTAACATAGTGACGAGGGGCCAACTACTCGGGATGTATCGAAACCATTACGTCCCGCAAAACCGTTTTGATTTTTAACCCTACCAGGTGTATGAATATTAAGGATTGTGAATCTAACACTGCACTGTTTTTCTTCAAAGTTGTTCCATACAAAGCAAAACAAAAGTGCCTTTCTATTGCATTACATTATTGTACAGAGTCCCTTGTTTTAGAAACGTATGGGTCCCCAACTGTGAGATCACGCAAATTTTCATAGATTTCAACTTGTCTAGTTATCTCACCAGTTCTTTCCTTATTTTTGTCCATACTTTCTGAATGGATGCCCATTACAACGCTCCATCGCTGTGTGTACATTTTTGGCATTAAACCAAGAGTTTTGAAATCATCTGCACATCTGTTCAAAATTAATCAATATACGTCCAATCTTCTTCCACTACCCTGCGCGCAGAGTCTACTACCAACGAAGGTTTGTCATGGTCGATTCTAAACAACAATCGACTTGTGTTTTAATTTACCCTGTCTTGAACATTGATACCATGTCTTAAGTTATAGTATACACACAATTATAGCATACAGTTAATTCAATCATTGGAATTGGATACAGTTTCATTATAACTAGAATAATCAATCAATTATGAAAACTATACTGGGATATGTATCGGTCACTGAATTTCAATATGTAAACTTTAGTTGTATGCTTAAAAAGTCTCAATGGTATCTTTTTAACAATGAACAGAAAAATGTCTGCATCTCCAACATTAATAAATTATAAATTATTATCCCATCAAATGAAGTTCGGAGGGATATGGGGAACGCCTCCGTCCGTCTGTCCATCCGTCCATCCATCCGTCCGGACGTCCGTCCGGACGTCCGTCCGTCCGTACGTTCTTCCATCCATCCGGGCAATAACTCAAATACCGTTCGCCCGATTTTGTTCATATTTTGTACACATATACCCTATGGGGGTAGAAGTTCTGCTTGAAAGCCGATTTTCAAAATGGATGCTCATTTAAAAATGGCGGCCATTTTAGTGCTGATTTTACAGTAATCTAGGTACTGCATATAAAACTGTAATAGCAATATGTTTTAAATATGAAAAAGTTATATAGGACATTGATTAAGCTAGAATGTAAAAAAAGAAGAAATACATGGCAGCCATCTTGAAAAATGGATGCCTTTGCACGTCATTTTACAATTTTTTGCTGTAACTTGAAAAGTAGTGGCGCGATTTTGTTCATATTTGGTATGTGAATACTTTAAGCATGGCACAATGTCTAATGACATTTTTGGTAGTAGGCGGTCATTTTGAAAAATGGTCGCCATTTTTACTTGTGTTATTTAAATTTTTTTGCTGTAAGTCAAAAAGTATTGGTGCGATTTTGTTCATATTTGGTATGTGAATACTTTAAGCATGGCCCAATGATGTCTAATGACATTTTGGGTAGTAGGCGGCCATTTTGAAAAATGGCCGCCATTTTTATGTGTGTTATTTTACATTTTTTACTATAATTCAAAAAGTAGTAGAGCAATTTTGTTCATATTTATATGTGAATAGCATGGCACACTGTCTAATGACACTTTGGGTAATAGGTGGCCATTTTGAAAAATGGCCACTATTTTTTACGTTTTTTACTATAACTCGAAATGCAGTGGAGCGATTTTGTTCATATTTGATATGTGAATACTTATGAGCCTTGCACACTGTCTCATGACACTTCGAGTAGTAGTTGGCCATTTTAAAAAATGGCTGTCATTTTTACATTTTTACTATAACTCGAAAAGTATTAGCGATTTTGTATTTGATATGTGAATACTTTAAGCATGACACATTGTCTAATTAAACTCTGGGGAGTAGTCGGCCATTTCGAAAAATGGCCACCATTTTTATGTGTGTTATTTTACATTTTTTATTATAATTCAAAAAGTAATAGAGAGATTTTGTTCATATTTGATATGAGAATACTCATAAGGATTGCATACTGTCTTATGACATTTTAGTCATATAAATCTGACCCTCGTATGATGTTATTTGTTGTTATTTTTTCTGATTTGGAAATTTATTTTTTCTTATTTTCTTGCATACTAGGGTCATACACACTCCGCGCATCTAAATTGCGGGAAATGCTTTCCTGGCCTGTCTACCCAACCAAATTCACACAAATGATAAATAAATTTCTTTGCTTCAACTATAAAGTATTTAATCTTACCTTAGACACGTAAAACGCTTGGTAATTGAAGAAATATAAGCATGCCGTTTGAATTTTAAAATTTTTCATTTTGCCATGCCAAGGTCACTTCCGGGTTAATCTGAGTCTAGATGTAAAACTATATCAAACGAAATCATAAGTACTTGTTACACGAAGATTCAGTTGAAAGGGAAGCAGTGTTGTTAAGAAGGGAAGTTATTTGGAAAAGTTATTGTTTCAAAATGAGAAAAGTAATAAGTATGAGAGAACGGCTTTGGAATCGATCTCTGTGTAATGAATAATTATGATTCCGTTTCGTTACATGTTTTACATTTAGACTACCGGAAACAACATTCAGCAACATGGCGGGCGATAATGAAAATATAATTCAATTGATTATATTTCATCAATTATCAAGCGTTTTACATGTCTAAGGTAAGATTTAACACTTTGATGTTGGAGCTAAATAATTACTCGATAATTTGTGTCACTTTGGTTAGTATGGTAACTATGGTTACCAAGACAGGCCAGAAAAGCGTTTACCGCAATTTGTCAGCAATAATATCTACGACCGTATATGCTAAGAAAATGATAAAAAATAAATATCCAAATAGGAACAAGGAATATCGAAGAACAGCATACAACGGTCGGATTTATATGACTAATGACATTTTGGGTCGTAGGTAGCCATTTAAAAAAATGGCCAGCATTTACATGTATGTGTGGGCGATTTTTTTAAATTTTTTATATGTGGCTACTTAAAAGCATATTACTTCTTCTGATGATAACTTGGCTAGTGAGCAACCATTTTGAAAATGGTGGCCTTTCTTATGGGTGTTATTTTATGATATTTACAATATATTTTGTTTGTAAAAATGCCAGCCATTTCTGTTCGATGGGATTCGCTACGCTTTGGCGTTGCCGTTGTTCTGGTTGGCCTTTATTCCAGAGCGGATCAATGTAATGATGTAACTGAAAAACACATCAACATTTTGTATTGATCAATTTAAGATAGATGTGAGGGTATTTTCAAAACTGCTGTGTTTAATGCCAAAAATTAGCTGCAGTTATGGAGGGTTGTAATGGCAGGCCTGTCAACTGTCCCGCAATTTGCGTATTTGTCACGCATTTGCTGAAGAATTTGAAGTCACGCCAGTTTTTTTTGCGTGACAGAAAATGTCACGCAAATACGCATTTTACCTGGTAATTGTCACGCAAAAATATTTCTGTAGCGAGCGCGAAAAATTGAGGTGTCCAAAATTTGATTAAATGCAATAAAATTGAAAAAAGGTGCTCAAATTGTGGCCAAGATGTTCAGATTTGGACCAAGGTGTCCAAAATTTGAACAAAGGTGTTCAACATTTGCAAGTCACTCATGTTAGGTGTCCCCAAGTTGACAGGCCTGTAATGGGCATCCATTCGGAAAGTATGGGGAAAGCTGGGGACCCAAACGCCGCTAAAACGAGGGACTATGTACAAGAAAGCAATGCACCAACAGAAAGGCATTTTAATTTTGCTTTGTATGCATCAAGTTTGAAGAAAAACAATGCGGTGTGAGACTGCATTGTTTATCCCAAACAAAAATGAAATCAAGTTCACATCTAATTTACACTCAGTTTACATCAGACCTTGGTGTATGCTTTGATGTTAACTTCACAAGTAAATAGGTATTTACTAGCAGAAACATAATATGAAGTAAGGTTTACTATTGCAGATGAAAAAGATGGCAACTGGAGGCAATTCACTAAATGGGGTACCTGGGGTCCCTGTGATGGCAATGAATGTGGAAAGCAAGGGGAAAGGCAGAGAAAGGGTAACTAGAGCCAACAAAAAGTTCTAAAAAGCAAGCCAAATGTCCTGTTCAGGAACCCCTATTCTTACTGCTGGAAATGGATTCTAGCAAAACTATTGATTATAATGAAAACATGCGCTAAGCACTAATGCGCCACGCACCAAGGCGCTACCAAGGAAATGATCGATCCTCCTATCAATGTGCCACGCCCACCCTGAAGTGTGGTCATGAAGACATTTATTATTTTCAAAAGCTGACAATTTTTGGCACGAGCTCACCAATTACATACCTCAATAAATTCCTGAGTAATTATAGTCTATTAGGATTCTTTTCACAGTTATGAAATGGAAAAATAAATGGAAAAGAAAATGATACAATAAAACCCCAGAATTATCCCTCTGCTTGGCTAGATATGACTTTAAATACAAAGATTAAAGATATATAAAACATTAAAGACTTGAAATGAAGGTTATATGTGATAAATAAACATTATGCAGTCATAATAGTCAAGTAATTGTCTCTGGCCATGCTGGGCTCATTATAACCAATACAATACATGAATATTCTTGTTGAGACTCAATCAACTTTGGTTCTTTTGAAGAAATGAAGATTTCAGCAAGGATATATTGATGTGACATGGGGATACTATTGACTTAAAACCTACATATAATCATGTATGTCATCGGGGGAATAAATACAAAATCCTCATTACCTCAGAAAAACTCAAGATGATCTAGTCCCAACAAGTAGATTCATGTGGGAGAGTATTGGGAGAATCCATTTTCAATAGTAAGAATGGGGGTTCTTAAACAGGACATTAAGGCCTTCTAAAAATTTTGGTTAGCTCTTAAAGGATTTATAAATAAAATACAGCCTAGGAAATGTAATGATATTAAATAATAATTCAATAATATGAGTATTTTTTAAGTTGCAGTACTTTAAGAAATAACATGTTGTAATAGCCACCATTACATTATGACTGACATTCAGTGTTGGCATCTGAAAGAATTGTTATCCCACCGAGCGAAGTTTGTAGGGATATAGACAAGCCGTCTGTCCATTTGTTTGTCAAATGCTGGTTGATGGATTTGGTTTAGATGTGATAGGCTTATATTCCAAATCAAAAATGGCCACCATTTGTCAATCCATCAGTAAATACCTGAAATACCAGTTGATGGATTTGGTTTTTATATGCTTTGATACTTAAGAGGCATTATCTGTGCTAATGCCTAGGGACAAAAGAATTCTGCTCAAGAAAATTTTTTAGATGGCCACTGCAATTTCAAATTGGCCACCATTTTTCATAAAATATGTAATTTATGATAATGCCATTTTCCCCACCGGATAGTGTGGGGGCTATATTGTCGGCCTAGGCGTGTCTGTCCATCCGTCCAGAGTTGTATGTGATAATTTTGTAAAAAGAAATCAGCAAAAACACATAACTACTTTTTCATTGACGGCCATTTTGGATTTTTCCATCCTAAAATCTTGTCTGTAAAGTCTTGTCTGCACATTTTCAGGTGAACCGTTTGGTAAATCAGTTTCAAATTTTCAGGGATGAAATTTTCGAACTGATCAGTTTTTCGGCATTTTGTGTAAATGTCAAGGCAGACATTTTGGATTTTCTGTCCCAAAATCTTGTCTGGAAGTCTTGTCTATGTGTTTTCAGGTTAACTGTTTGACGGATCAAATTCAAATTTTCAGGGATGGCTCTTAGTATGAAAATCTAGAACTGATTATTTTTCGGCAATTTGGGTAAATTTTAAGGTGGCCATTTTGGATTTTCGATCCTAAAATCGTGTCTGTAAAGTCTTGTCTACTCATTTCAGGATAACCATTTGACGGATCAATTGCATATTTCTGAAAATCTAGGGCCGATTAGTTTTTCTGCATTCTGGGTTGGATTTTCCGTCCTAAAATCTTGTCATGTAAAGTCTTGTCTATGCATTTTCAGGTTAACCGTTTTAGGGATCAATTTCAAAATTTTAGGAATGATTTTTAGTATGATAATCTAGAATCTAGAAAATGGCCGCCATTTCTCAGGAAACTTATGATTTTTTTTTATTACATTAGCTGTCACCAGATTTTAATTAGTCCAAACTATCCAATCATAATTTAGTGTCATACACAGGCCTGTCAACTGTCCCGCAATTTGCGTATTTGTCACGCATTTGCTGAAGAATTTGAAGTCACGCCACTTTTTTTTGCGTGACACAAAATGTCACGCAAATACGCATTTTACCTGGTAATTGTCACGCAAATATGTTTCTGTAAAAATTTTTTCAAAATATGTTTATGATACGGTAAAAATACGAACGTCGGAAAAAAACGAACGCAATTTGTTCGGATTTGTCACGCGAATTCCGTATATGTCACGCATGTTCATTGGAAATTTTCGTACCTACCCCCCCCCAAAGGTGCTCAAACTTTGGCCAAAGGTGTTTAAAAGTTGGCCAAAGGTGTTCAAAATTTGGACAAAAGTGTTCAGATTTGGACTTCGGTGTCCAACATTTGTAAGTCACTCATATTAGGTGGTCCCAAGTTGACAGCCCTGCATACATGTAAGACCTCTGCTCAAAAAATTTAGTATATGGCATCACAACACATCCTGAGTGTAAATTGTGCCAAAAGGAGACAATACTATTCCACTACATTTCTCCCGCCGTCCATCCGTATATACGTCCATCCGGTTAATAACTCAAATACCACCGACCTGATTTTGTTTATATTTTGTACACATATGCCCTATGTGAGTAGAAAATCTGCTCAAAAGCCAATTTTCAAAATGTCCAATTTTACAGTAATTTAGGTATATTATATAAAAATGTAATAGCAATATGTTTAAAATATAAAAAAGTTGTATAGGACATCAATAAAGCTAGAAATGTAGATATTTAAAAAACACATGCAGTCGTCTTGGAAAATGGCAGCTTCTACATGCTATTTCACGATTTTTGCTTGAAAACTAGTAGAGCCATTTTGCTCAAATCTGATATGTGAATACTCATAAGCATGGCTAACTATTTTATGACACTTTGGCTAGAAGGTAGCCATTTTGAAAATGGTCGCCATTTTAAAGTGTGTTATTTTACATTTTTTACTATAACTCAAAAAGTAATAGAGCGATTTTGTTCATATTTAATATGTGAATACTCATAAGCATGGCACACGGCTTTGTATAAAAAACCTCCTACCTCATACCTACCTACCCACATATGTGGGACATGATACAGTCTTTGAAGGGTTCAATTTTAAAGATCTTAGTTTATGATGAATTATAGATACATTTGTAACGACCCTTGATAGCAAGTTGCTACTACATCCCAGGTGGGTTTGATTCCCACTCGGGGAATCGAATTTAGCACACTTTCTTTCAATTTCTTTATCTGGCTTGTTGGATCTATGCTCGGGGTCGTTAGTCATTTATCCCCCTGGGGCGCCCTCGGGTCATAACACATTAAAATACATCCATATGCCTTTATTTATGGATCTGTCATCTGTCTAGTCATAAAACCGGAAATGTAGAAATGTTATTAATTTGAGCTATTTTGAGATTTAATAATCTTTCCAACTGAACCCTTCAATGACTGTATCATGTTCCACGTAGGTGGGTAGGTGGATATGAGGTAGGAGGTTTTTTATACAAAGCCATGGCACACTGTCTTATGACGCTCTGGCTAGTAGGCTGCCATTTCGAAAAATGGCTGCCATTTACATGTACTTGTGTTGAAATTTTATATGTGCCTACTTAGAAGCATATTACAATTTCTCATGACAATTTTGCTAGTGACCAACCATTTTGTGTTATTTTACGAATTTTGCTATAAATGAAAATATAGAAGGATTTTGTAAAAATGTCAGCCATGGCTGTTCAATGGGATTTGCTACACTTTGGTATTGCTGTTGTCTATCATATAATGTCCAAAATGACAAGGTAATTGATAAAATGTCATATTCTTTTGAGTGCACATGCGACTTTTATGATGAATAATACACAAAGTTTCATACATTAGTTTTGATTATTTACACAATAAGATATCGGTTGATGATTATATTTGATGCAGGGAAAGATATGCAGGAGCTGTAGAGTAGGTAAACCTTAGCGATAACGACTAAATAGATTATCAGCGATATTTTTTCTTATTTTTTGTATGTGCGCTTATTTGAATCTCTCAATACCTTTTTTAAATTTAAATTTGGAAACTGCAGTGTTCTCATTAGAGAGAAAACGGTATGTTTTTTCGGTGAGACTTGCTACTCCATGGAGTGCTGTCTTCTAGTTAGACTTCTAGTTATGCCTTATTATTATAGGTATATGCTTGGTGGAACCATTTGAAAAGTGGAGAAAAGTAAATCCTGACTATCTAAACACCCTTCTCAAGGAAAGCTACACGAAAGGAGCTTTTTGTCATACCACTATATTCGAAAAACATTCTTCAATTCTTGAGAGGCCATATGAGATTGAGGTAGAGCACTGTATTGTAGAATGCAAAGGTGAGCCTTGTATTTTTGGAAAAGTAAATAGCATATGTAAAATAGTACATCTGTGCTGGTTATCAGACTTTAACCTTTATACCAATTTGTATGAAGCTGATAAAGCTTTTTTTCTTTAGTTTGTATATGATATGTGGCGATATCCTTCGCATATTGGTTTCCCGGAGTATGACGTGGCAATATCCTCCAGTTGATTTTGCCAATACATATCAAATTTATTTTTTATTTTAATGCTATAATACATTTATATTAGTCATCGGCTCTCTTGAAAGCTCACAATTTAGTACACTGAGTGTAGGATAAATAGAGGATATCCTATGATTTTTGAGGGATACCATTTTAATCCATGAGTGAATATCGCTCATCTCCACAAGTGAGCGCAGCGAATGAGTGGAGATCGGCGATATCCAAGAGTGGATAAAAATGATAGCAGAGAAAATCATAGGATATCATATTTATCCAATGGTCGCTATTTTTGTATGGACTTAAAATAATTTGACCCAAAGTTGTTGTTTTCTAATTCTATTCTATTTTTTTTCATTTTATTTTCTGTGACCTTATTTTTATAAAATGATTGCATGAAAAATGTAACTCATTTTTACTGACCATATAACCTTGGAACTTTTCAAATTTTCATTTTTTTTATTCCTATAATTTTATTTTCAAATTTTTTTCCGAATTAATTTTCAATTTATTTCGAAATTTTTTTTTTCAATTTTGTTTTTTCAAAATTTCAAATTATTCAGTTTTGTTTTTTCAAAATTTCAAATATTTTTTTCAAAATATTTTTTAGAATAGTATCCGTCGGATACAATTGGATATCACGTCATGTGGATCGGATACGATTTTAGTGGCGTATACGAAAATTATCTTGTGTTGGTATCCCCATATATATTTAGTATCCATCGGATAATATAGGAATATCCTATGGTTTTGAAAAAATATCATTTATATCCATGAGTGGATATTGATATCTTCATGAGTGAGCGCAGCGAATGAGTGAAGATATTTGTATCCACGAGTGGATATAATTGATATTTTTGAAAAACCATAGGATTGTCCGTTTATCCCATGGGAAATCATTATCAGCGAAAAAAGTTGAAAAATATAATTTGAGAAAAAAATTCAAAAAATAATTGAAAATATGTTGAAATTTTTTTTTGAAATTTTGAAATTTGTTTTAAATATTTTTGAAAATAATTAAAAAATGTAAAAAGAATTTTTTTTGAAAAAATTCGAAACCATCGAATATCACTTTTCAAACCATCGAATATCACTTTTCAAACCATCGAATATCACTTTTTAAGACGTGATATTCGATAGTTTAAAAGTGATATTCGATGGTTTGTGAATGTTTTGCTAAAATATGATATCTTGATCAACATATCAAATATATCTTCATGTGATATTCGATCTATATCCTTGTAACCATGGGATAATATAGAAATATCCTATGGTTTTTAGAAAATATCATTTATATCCATGAGTGAATATTGATATCTTCTGTATCATAACCGACTGTGCATAACTGTTGTATTCCGTACCTGATGAGGTTTGAAATGATAAGGGGGTGTCAACGAGCTGTAGTTCCACCTTAGTGGCCAAGTACTCCTTCAGTTCCTGAACATCCAAACGAGTTTTCTTTTCGGTTTCTCTGTGTTTACTAAGAATTCATCCACATTACTTGTTTTACATCTTAAATTTTGTTCACTCCTTCTGTTTGGCACCTCTTTAGCTACTTGTTTAGTTCAGTGCTGAAATAGTCATGACATGAATTCCCAGGGCGGGACATATAGCCATCGTATGTCCGGAGAATGGCTTATGTGGGACATACAATTTATATGTCCTAGATCCTCGTTGGAGCGGGACATATGAAAAATATTTGCCCGGATATGAAATATATCCCCAGTTGACCTCATCAGGTATGGAATACATAGAGGTTAATTAATGGGAGGTTTTTGATACAGGGTATATCTGAGGGAAATGCAATATATGTACCCGAGGGACCGTAGGGATCGAGGGTTGATATATTGTATTCATCGAGGGATATACCCTGTATCAAAAATTGAGCATTTAATAACTGATTTATTCTATACTTAGTAGGTTATGAGGAATTACAGCCAAGTCCCCTGAACTTTGGGGCCATCTTGAAAAACCCTCCCTCCATCTGTTATGTGCATTGTAACATTAGCTTTACTTTGTGAACTGAATTTCTTTTAGAAACTAATCAAGGAAGTAAGTTGAATATCAATAGTGAAGAAAGCTTCAAAAATGTGGCAGTTCAGTCACATCTAAAGAACAAGCCGAAGCCAGGTATGTACATGTAGTTGATTTTTCTTTGAAAATAATTGTTTTCTAGCATGGTACATCGATGCTGTTAAAGTACTACATAACAATATGGTTTACAAAATCATAGACAGTATTTTGCTACATGAACACATATTTTAAGGTTGAAATATATTATAAAGTCTGAAAACAATGTATGAGTAGGTACATTTGTTTTGTTTCCATCTGGTACATTAGGAGTAGGAGAGTATTGGTAGAATCCATTTTTAATAGAATAGAGGTTCTTAAACAGGACACTGAAGCTTAACTAAGGCCTTTTTGAAAATTTTGGTTAGCTCTGTTAAGCCCTGTATACACTGGCAGGCAAATTTTGGTTAGCTCTGTTAAGCCCTGTATACACTGGCAAACAAAATGCTTGAAATGGGGGATAAAAGCTTTAGGGTTACTAAGAGTCAATGTAGTTAGGTTAATGTAGAACATAGAAAATATATTGATCATTAGACTTAGACTGTGAAGAGATATGAAAAGCCCCATTCTTAAAACATGATGAGGTTAAATATTGAGGAATCAACACAGACTGTTCAAAAACTCGATTTTTAGGCTAACTTTGATCCTAAATCAATCAAATATTTATTTTGATAATTGTACCTGTAACTTGTATGATCAATAGATTTTGGAACACTGAACAATTTCCATGGCTTTTAAAACAGATAAAAATTAAGTTGTTTATGATGACAATGACTCAGGAGCAAGTAGGTAGTTACCAGTTTGCCAACATGTGGCTAATTGGGGTCAGATAATGCCTAGGTCTCATTTGCTCCGATTCATCAGCCGTATTTGTGTTTACTATTATACAGCTAAAGATAAAATATATCTATTGAAATAAAATAATCTGTCTAATATAAGATATTTCACTTTTTGTGATTTTTTTAACATGAGATCTATGGGAATCAACCCTGAGTAGAAGTCAAATTTTGAAGAAAATTACATTTTCAAAGTTGTAAAAACATGTTTCGAGATGTATTTGTGTGTATATATTTCAAAAATTACTGTAAATCACTTTGACTTTTGAATATTAAATGATATCAAGATTATTTCTATGTGCATCTTGTCTATCAAATGAATGTATGAATCTATTCCAGTTCAAACGACCACCATTGAGGAGCATGTTGGAAAATCGGTCAAATTGTTCTGTCCCGGGTATGTACAGAATTGCTCAAAGTTCATTTTGCTAACTACTTTGACCTCACGCCATGTCGCCACCCCTTGTTAATAAAACAGACATTTTCCAAATAAGTTTGTCAAAGGAGCCAATTACAGTGATATACTTTGGTCATAAATTATTATCCCATCGAACGAAGTTCGGAGGGATATAGGGAACGCCTCCGTCCGTCCGTCCGTACGTCCGTCCGTACGTCCGTCCGTCCGTCCGTACGTCCGTACGTCCGTACGTCCGTACGTCCGTACGTCCGTACGTCCGGGCAATAACTCAAATACCGTTGGCCCGATTTTGTTCATATTTTGTACACATATACCCTATGGGGGTAGAAGTTCTGCTCGAAAGCCGATTTTCAAAATGGCCGCTCATTTCAAAATGGCGGCCATTTTAGTGCCGAATTTACAGTAATTTAGGTGCAATATGTAAAACTGTAATAGCAATATGTTTTAGATGTAAAAAAATTATATAGGACATTAATAAAGCTAGAAATGTAGATATTAAAGAAGCACATGGCAGCCATCTTGAAAAATGGCGGTCTTTACTCGTTATTTTAGGATTTTTGCTTTAACTCGAAAAGTAGTGGAGCGATTTTGTTCATATTTGGTATGTGAATACTATAAGCAGTGCACACTGTCTAAAGACACTTTTTGTAGAAGGCGGCCATTTTGAAAAATGGCCGCCATTTTAACGTATTTTACTATAACTCGAAAAGTAGTGGAGCGATTTTGTTCATATTTGGTATGTGAATACTATAAGCATGGCACACTGTCCTATGACACTTTTGGTAGAAGGCGGCCATTTTGAAAAAAATTTTGAAAAATGGCCGCCATTTTAACATATTTTGCTATAACTAGAAAAGTAGTGGAGCGATTTTGTACATATTTGGTATGTGAATACTATAAGCATGGCACACTGTCCTATGACACTTTTGGTAGAAGGCAGCCATTTTGAAAACAATTTTGAAAAATGGCCGCCATTTTAACGTATTTCACTATAACCCGAAGTGTAGTGTAGCGATTTTGTTCATATTTGGTATGTGAATACCATAAGCATGGCACACTGTCTATTTCTAATGACGCTTTTGGGAGAAGGTGGCCATTTTGAAAAATGGCCGCCATTTTAACGTATTTTACTATAACTCGAAAAATAGTGGAGCGATTTTGTTCATATTTGATATGTGAATACTTTAAGCATGGCACATTGTCTAATAAAACTTTGGGGAGTAGTCGGCCATTTTGAAAAATGGCCACCATTTTTATGTGTGTTTTATGTGTGTTTACAAGTATGTGTGTGATTTTTCAAAAATTTTAGAGGTGGCTACTTAAAAGCATATTATTTCTTCTGATGACAACTTGGCTAGTGAACAACCATTTTGAAAATAGTGGCCTTTCTGGTGTGTTGTTTAATGATATTTGCGCTTCGCTTTTAAAAACGCCAGCCATTTCTGTTCGATGGGATTCGCTACGCTTTGGCGTTGCCGTTGTTTTGGTTATCCCACCGAACGAAGTTCGAGGGGGATATAGAAAAGCCATCCGTCCATCCGTTCGTCCGTCTGTTCGTGTGTCCGGGCAATAACTCAAATACCGGTTAATGGATTTTATTCAAATTTTATAGGCTTATGCCTTATGGGTGTTGGACCTCTGCTCAAGAAGGAATTCTCAATATGGCCGCTAAATTCAAAATGGACGCTATTTTTCGGAAAAATAAAATCTTTGATAACTCAAATACTAGTAAAGTGGATGGATTTGGTTCAAAGGAGTGGTATCGATATGGAGAACTGAATTCAACAAATGTTTTTCTCTTAAACAAATCATTGAAAACATTCTGTAAAAAACACGGTATTTTATGTAATGTTGACTGATTGACAACAATTTAATGCGAAAATTATTTAGAAATATTTTATATAACTGTTTTTGTTAACATTTTTGTTTTTTTAGTGCAATTGTTTTTGCTTCTTTCTACCAATTACTCAGATGCGAGTAGGTAGTTACCAGTTTCGCCACCAGGTGGCTGAGTCGGGGGAAATAACATGGCAGGGTATTACAAAATTCCCTTAAACTTGAATATTCATCAATTTTAGTGGTTCACTTTTCATATTACCCTTTTGTATCTGATAGTTATACAAATTAAAATATGCCCAGTAAAAGAAAATATTATCTGCCCAACACAAGAAAAGAAATTTCACTTTTTGTGATTTTACAACATGGGCTCTAGGGGGAATCTCCCCGACCTATAAGTCACATTTTCAAAGAAAATTGAATTTTCAAAGTTAATAAACTCTTTTCAAAACCACATTTCTCGATGTAATTCTACATGTAGATTCCAAATATGACATCAGTTTGACTGAATTTTGAATTTTTGATGACGTAAATCAAGATTATTTCTACTGACATCTAGTCCATCGATTTGTTCCAATGAGGTTCGTAAAGATGTTTCATTTCACTCTGGAAACATGATACCAAGAACAAAACGAGTGTTTGATGTGTTTTCTAAAACAATATAGATGAAAGTATATATATATTTTTCAATCATATTGTTACCATTCAAAAGATGACCATTAGATTGACGATGTGTTAAATTTTTAGATTTTTTTGACTGGTTTAAGAGAAATGTGTGTTCAAAAAGTTTTCCATATCGATACCACTCCTTTCATATGCTGTTGCCTGGGTACAAAGGAGCCTTGCTCAAGAAGACATTTTCAAGATGGCCACCATATTTCAAAATGGCGGCCATTTTTGTAAAAAATGTTATCTTTGATAACTTAAATACCATTGAATGGATTTGGTTCAAAATTTTACACACTGATTCCTAGGGGCATAGGAGCTCTGCTCGAGAAGGGATTTTCAAGATGGCAGCTAAATTTCAAAATGGCCGCCATTTTTGATAAAAGAATGTGACCTTTGATAACTCAAATACCAGTTGATGGATTTGGTTCAAATTCTATATGCTGATGCCTAGAGACAAAGAAGTTCTGCTCAAGAAGACATTCTTGATAATGCAAGTACCAGTTGACGGATTTGGATTAAATTGTATATGCTGATGCCTTGGGACATAGGAGCTCTGCTAAAGAAGAAATCTATAGATGACAGCTGAGTTTCAAAATGGCAACCATGTTTCATAAAAACATAATCTTTGATAATTCAAATACCAGTGGATGGATTAGCATAAATTTTATATGGCTGCTATTTATCAAAACATGTTTTGTTCGGTGGGATTTGCTACTCCGTGAAGTAGCTGTTTTTCTAGTTCGTTTAGGTGATAAATGCCACCTAAATGAATAACTAAGATGTTGTACAAAAATTGCACCAGTTTATGAGGATTAATTGAACTTGCATTCTTCTACACTTTTTATGTCCCCACCACATAGTGTGGGGCCATATTGTCGGCCTAGGCGCGTCTGTCTGTCTGTCTGTCTGTCTGTCTGTCTGTCTGTCTGTCTGTCTGTCTGTCCGTCTGTCCGTCTGTCCGTACGTCCGGCAGTTTTCTCCAAAACCGCTACAGATATCACCTTCAAATTTTCAGGGATAACTTATGAGTGCATACAGTTGTGGATGAAAAAAAATTAACTCAATACCTACTTCCTGTCGGCCATTTTGAAGTCAAATGCTAAAATCCTTGTCTGCAAACTTTAAGAAAAACGGCTTCACAGTTGCTTTTAAAACTTTAATATCTTGTTCAGCTCACTTCATTCTAGATCTGATTAGGTTTTGGACCTGTTAGCTCAGTCATGTCAGCCATTTTGAATGTTTTAAGAAAAGTTAGCGCACGATAATACTTTGTATCATATTGAATGGTGTTTTTCAGTTTTCATACTTAAACTATTTCTTCGCTTTATAAATAATTTCAGGTGTACTTTGTTGTAAAAGCCTATGTTATTGTTAACAGTAGTTATATGTGATAATTTTGTAAAAAGAAATCAGCAAAAACTCATAATCACATTTTTATTGTCGGCCATTTTGGATTTTTCCGTCCTAAAATCTTGTCTGTAAAGTCTTGTCTACGCGTTTTCAGGTCAACCGTTTGGTAGATCAATTTCAAATTTTCAGGGATGATTCTTAGTATGAAAATCTAAATCTGATTAGTTTTTGGGCATTCTGGGTAAATGTCAAGGCAGCCATTTTGGATTTTCCGTCCTAAAATCTTGTCTATAAAGTCTTGTCTACGCATTTTCAGGTGAACCGTTTGGTAGATCAATTTCAAATTTTCAGGGATGATTCTCAGTATGAAAATCTAGATCTGATTAGATTTTGGGCATTCTGGGTAAATGTCAAGGCAGCCATTTTGGATTTTCCGTCCTAAAATCTTGTCTGTAAAGTCTTGTCTACGCATTTCCAGGTGAACCGTTTGGTAGATCAATTTCAAATTTTCAGGGATGATTTTCAGTATGAAAATCTAGATCTGATTAGTTTTTTGGCATTCTGGATGAATGTCAAGGCAGCCATTTTGGATTTTCCGTCTTAAAATCTTGCCTGTAAAGTCTTGTCTACGCGTTTTTAGGTGAACCGTTTGGTAGATCAATTTCAAATTTTCAGGGATGATTCTTAGTATGGAAATCTAGATCTGATTAGTTTTTGGGCATTCTGGATAAATGTCAAGGCAGCCATTTTGGATTTTCTGTCCTCAAATCTTGTCTGTAAAGTCTTGTTTACATGTTTTCTGGTTAACTGTGTGACGGATCAATTTCAAATTTTCAGGGGTGGTTCTTAGTATGAAAATCTAGAACTGACTAATTTTTTGGCATTCTGGGTAAATTTTAAGGCAGCCATTTTGGTTTTTCCGTCCTCAAATTGTGTCGGTAAAGTCTTGTCTACTCATTTTTAGGATAACCATTTGACGGGATCACCCATAGGTGGGGACATTTTGTACACATTTGTGTTCTTGTATTAAGGTTGGCAGAGTAGAATTAATTAACTTGGTTGGTTTGTATATAGATCCAAAGTTGTGCCACTACTAAGGCCAACTTTAAAGGTTTACCTGATACCCCCTCCCCCATGCAGTAAGGGTCAGGAACAAAGTATTTTAGGGATTTTGACATAGTACTTTGTCCTGGGAGTTGGGACTTTTGAAATGCATATTCCCAGTAATGAGAATCTTGTTTATATTTGAGTAATGAGAATCTTGTTTATATTTGATCAGCTATTATTGCTCCCAGGGTAGAGAAGTTTACCCACCAGGTTGTCCCCAGGGTAGGCAATTTGACAGCCAATTTTTTTATTTTGTTAAAACCCCACCCCTCTCTGCATGGGGGACTCGAGCAGACCTTTGATCGAATGGTGCATTAGTGAACAGTTTTCTGTGATTCTCTGTTAATGTTAACATTGGGAGGTACATTTTCATTGAACTTTTCCAAGCTAAATATTGGCAGTTTTGTATTAATTTGTATAGTAACATGGAACTTTATTCCAGGGCATCTATGGACAGTTTTGTGCAATGGACAAATGGGTCTTTCCATATCAAAGAGGGGGAGCTTAGGCAGAAAGAATTAGGACGTGTTGAGATGGACCCAATCAACGGCCTTTTTATCCACAGTTTGAAACCTCAAGATACTGCTATGTATAGCTGCTACGTTAATGCCAAACTAACCATGATGTTCCGTGTCAAAGGTAAGAAAGTGATCCACACAAAACCTTCTTACTATAAAGTATGGACCGTGATATGTCTTTCATCTGATGAGCTGGCACCATCTCTCTGGCTATATCTTAGATTTAAAATATGTCTTGACTGTTTGTACAGCTTCAGCACAAAGCATTGTATATTATCAAGTCACTATTTAAAATTATGACTAGGATTGTTGCTATTTGGATGGTGTGAAATCATGTGCTTGCTCTTCTACTTGCAGTGATCCTAACACCCCCTGATGGAGAAAAAGCCGCTGCCCGCTTGTATGTTGGGCTCACTTGTGCATTCAACTTCCTCATCTTTCTAGGGGTGACCATCATACGCTATAAACAACGCATGGTGCAAATAGAGCAACCAGTTAGACATTTATCTAAACATGATCACTTACAATCATGGAACAACAGTATTAGAGGTAACAGTTACAAAAGTAACTATAGTAGCAGCCAGAAACCATCAAAGCTGCAACTGACTGAAAGTTTGCTTGGAGGGAAAGAGGAGGAAAGTTTAGATAATGAAAAACCTCAACTTACATGTAATAGCAACAGTGGTGACAATAAAAGTTACAACAGTTACCATGATGATAATGGACATTAAAATAGTTACCATGAAGATATTGAACATTAAAATGATTACAATGGTGCTGATCACTAGGACATCCTTAAAGTATTAGTGAAATTATGCAGAAACTATGAGAACACTGCTAAGAAAAAATGGATATTGAAATAATAGACTCTATGCAAATGATCACAAAATAAGAACTCAATTTTAAATGTTCAAGTACATCATTTATTTTGTATGAAAAATAAATACATTCCATTCAACATATTATATTTTCTAGTTTTGCGCTACTTATGACACCTGGTCCCGTTTGAATTATTTCACCAAGAAAACCCGATTTATACTGGGGCCCATTTCTAGATAGTCTATTTATATGCATTATAGACATGATTGTTCTTTATAATAGCTAAAATGTTGCTCTTTGCGTTCAATTTTTTGTCCTTGGCAACATGATCTATAATGAATTTTAATTTTTTTATTGCAAATCAAGGTAGTTTCTTTAGAAAAAGGCCCCAGAATAATAACTGGGATCATATTTGAAACAGGTCCAAGAGTGACTAGTCATATTTGAAACAGGCCCCAAAATAATTACTAGTAGTCATAATTTTAAACACGCCCCAGAATAATGATAATAAGTCATATTTGAAACAGGCCCCAGTTTATTTCAGTCATATTTGAATGATAATAAGAAATATTTGAAACAGGCCCCAATTTATTTCAGTCATATTTGAATGATAATAAGTAATATTTGAAACAGGCCCCAGTTTATTTCAGTCATATTTGAATGATAATAAGAAATATTTGAAACAGGCCCCACTTTATTTCAGTCATATTTGAAATTGGCCCCAGTTTATTTCGGTCAAATTTGAAACAGGCCCCAGTTTATTTCAGTCATATTTGAAATGGGCCCCAGTTTATTTCGGTCATATTTGAAACAGGCCCTAGTTTATTTCAGTCATATTTGAAATGGGCCAATTGTAAGGTATGAAGTAATAACAAACATATCACATTGAACTTTTTTGAGTGGATAGTGTGTTTCATCAGTGGTTTGTCATTTTTTATACAAGCTATGCAAGTTGATAAAGGACTCGTACAGGCTAGCAGGCATAGTTACATATTATATATATATCGCATATCATATGTATCAAAGAACTGTAGTTATTTGAAGATATTTCATACAGTGTTATGTGCATTATATATTCAACATGTTTGAAATTACAATTGAAACATGCCCATTAAGCCATTGACTTCCCCTTTGCACACACTTGAAAATGAGAAAAAACCATACATAAAAAATTCACTGGAAAATTGAAAATGGGTCATTTCTCTATAAATCACATTCATTATATAATTTCTTTGTACAGAATTTATGATCATTAATCATATCAAACAAGGTCATGAAAATATGTAGCTAGTTCCAAGATTAACCATATATACAGGGTGTCCTGTCCCCCCTGCTACAGCTAAAACCTTAACAGACGGTACCTAGTGTGATATACCATTGGAAAGATCATCCAAAGTTATGTTAACTCACCAACTCTCAAGTATTTTTGATGAAATTTACCTATATTTTTATGATGTCTTTTATAGTTAACTTGCCCTCCTTTTTTGCGTCAAAATGACAAGGATATGACCTCAGAAATACATCAAAAAGTTAATCTTTTTCGCATTCCACTTGTTACAAAAAGGTTTTCACCACTTTCCTTGCACCTCTATTTTCTACACATCTTACCCTATCCAGAAATTGGTTAGATTCATCGCCATAAACATATTTAGTCATCTTTTGGTCCCTTGACCTTTCTTATACCCGATTCTTAAAATCCTGCCAAATATGCCAAATTGCCATGTTTCTAGGCATATGGTCACCTCAATTGATACCATGTAAAAATTTGTGAGATTGATTGACATGTGTCAGATATATGCCAATCAACGTAACTTTGGAAGACCTTTCTAATTGTATATCACACTTGGTACCAAATATCTTGATTTTGGCTGTAGAGGGGGGGGGGACAGGACTTATTTGACACCCTGTATACAATGAGTGTCCTTTAATGTGAACTTCATCCTTTCATTTCATTTATTTTCTCACACATTTCATCGGCATCTTCCCCAGTCTTGACACGGATTAGCATTGGTACAACAGAAGTATCATCAGCCTTGGGATCCAAAGGGGGGTTGGGAACACACATTAAAGTGACATTGTTCTTTCCCTGTCGTTTAACTGGCATAGCACTGTTCAGTAGTATGTTTAGTAGAATGTTACCTGTAATCACAAAACGTAACATAAGATTTCATAATGCAAAAACAAAGTCCTATTAGATATAGGTATCAAGTTTTATATTTTTAGAACAGGTTCAAATAAAATATCTGTAATATAAAAGGCCTATGAAAGATCAAGTGGACTGTAGATTCGTAGTCCTGGGATCTAGTAAATACTTTGGTTTGATGCAAATAAGCTGACCTTTTTACCTCGGATATCCTGAAATATGTTGGTATCAGACATGTCAAATGCAGCCATAAACATCCATACAACATAACATTTAATTCTCAACAAGTTTTCAAAAAATGATGTGTAGCATTATCCTTCTAATATCTGCCCCCTCTAGTATATACCCCCTATCTTCTTTCTACCCCCCAATTTGTACCTTGAAAGGAGAGAGAGAACAGCTTGATGACTCCTTACCTAAGTTAGTATCTGCCCTGATTATCAACTGTGTCTTGCCATCAACAGGCTTCAAGAACATGTTCCCAACACCCTTCTCAGTCCATTTCCCCTCCTTCTGATAGAACAGCTTGCACCTAAAACACAGAAATTACACGTAAAGAATCACCATGAGCTCAGTGGCTTGTAAACTTGCCTCTGAATAGAATCATCTTACAGTTTTGTATTCAACCAATCTGAGTGCAACACAAATCAAATTTACAAAAATGGCCTGAGCTGCTCCGATTCCGTTAAACTCACCAAATTCAGATAGTTTTCATTTGAACTGGCTAATACTACTACTGTGATTCAAGTCGAGTTCATATTTTAAGGATATCTAAGAGAGAGAGAACTACAGATCCTTTAATGTTAAGAGTGGGAGTCTGATAAAAGCTCTTGAAAAAGATTTGGTAACAACCAAAATAAATATAGTATAGGATTTATGAAGTTGTCTATCTTGAACAAAAGTCAGGGCTAACGTCTCAATTATACAATTCTTGGTTGTTATATACTGCTTTACCTTTTAGTGTATACAGCCCCATCTTCCTTTATCTCCTTAACTTCTGCTTTAGGAGGCACATATTCCTCATCATCTCCTGTAACAATCACAATGCCAGGCATAAATTACAAGTAAAGCTGGATGCATTAAAATTAAAAAATGTTTTAAAAAGATAGAACTGGCTAAGCAATACAAATTATCTTACTTTTTCAAATCATATTATGCAGAACATCTAAATCTGGCTAGAGTCAATTCAAAATGTCCTTTGACTCTGATAAGAGAATTGTCCATTTTTAATGTGGGCAAAGTGTATCATAAGATAGCTATTATATGAGACAAGAGAGAGGGTGGTGATGTCCTGTTTAATAATGCAGCCTTATATAAAGAAGGGCACCCTAATTTATAAATGACATACCCGTGGCTCCCTCTTGTGACTGCGCCTGTGAACTCCCAGTCTCGTTGCCACCGCCTGGAGGTTTACTGGCAAAACTGAATGGCTTCAACCCAGCACCAAATACTGATCCTCCCGTTGCAGCATTTCCAAATGTAAATCCAGTAGACAGCTTACCCTCAGAGCCGAGAGACTTTCCATTTTGTGACTTGTCAGTGGATGATGGAGGTTGGCCAAATGTGAAACTACTAGAGGGTTTGGCAGGCTCTGTGCTTGCTTTATTCTCTTTGGGTTCATTGGATGTGAGTGCGGGGCTGGGCTTAGTAGAATCTTGTGAAGTTGATTTCATCATTGTTGCACCAAACTTAAATCCACCAGAAGAAGATACATCGGGAGCTGGAAAATACATTCTAACTTTACATGCCTGGGGGCCAACAGTAGCAATTCAGCTTGAAATTACAGTCCAGGGAGTATAGTCATGCTTATAGTTCAGTGATTACAGTTTGGTATTGCACTTCACAGCTAGAAAGATAAAAACGATTACAGACCATGGATTGAAAATCAAGGGATTATATCACTTCCCTGGGATAAAATTTCAGGGATTAGATTAAAGTCCAAGATACTGGCTTCACTGGCAGATCCAGAAACTAACAAGGAGGGAAGCCCAAACTTCTAGTCAGCAAAAATTCTTCTGCGCTGGTGTAGAATTTCTTTTGGCCTTTAAAACAAAATATTGGGCCAAAATTTTGAAAATTTAAGGCCCATTTTTTGATCATTTTGCATTAAAAAGGCCTAAAAAGGCCAAATTATGCCAAAAGCCCAAAAAGGCCAATATTTTGAGGCCCTACAAAACTTTTGAACAAAATATTTTTTGGGCCCTAAAGTTTTTTCCTGGGCCCCATGGGCCCCCACCTGGATCCGCCAGTGGGCTTAGATTACTGTCCTGGGATAACACTTTAGGGAGTACATTACAGAACTGGTACTACAATCCAGGGATAAGATAGATTACAATACAGTACATGGTTATAAGTTAACCAGAGCTTAGATTATTGTCAAATAACATTTCAGGGATTAGGTTACTGCCCTTGGATAATAGTCTATAAGTCCAGGGGTCCAGATATACTGTCCAGGGATAGCAGTTTAGGGATTAAATTATAGTGCTAGAATTCATAAAGGTGCAGGAATGGCTATATCGTTGTATAGCGATATATATCGTCTCTCGGACGATATATTCGTGAAACTATCTCTTCCCATCCTCAAATCGAAATATATCCGATATATATCTCTGGGGTAGGATGTATATCGAATATATCGTGTATATTGTGTATATCGTCATCCATAAATACTGTATAAGAACTTTTTAACAAACTTCTGTATTGAAGATATATATCTGATATATATCTTGAAGACAGGATATATATCGATTATAGCGTATATATCGTGTGTGTATCGCTCTTTATCTTGGAAAGAGGATATATATCGAATATATCGTGTATATCGTGCTTGAAAAATAGGGTATTCGATATATATCCTGTCTTCAAGATATATATCGGATATATATTCCCAGTTTACAATTTTGTTAAATCAGTTCTTATATTTTTCAAACATGATATACATGATATATTCGATATATATCCTCTTTTCAAGATATTCAGGATTAGAGGGATGATATCAGGGATGATATTGATATCATCCCACGTATATTAAAAAAATTTATATGTTTTCCAAAAAAATTCATTTTCACAAATTTTCATATTTTCAAAATTTTTCATTTTTTCCCAAAAAATCGTGTATATCTTCGTTAAGTATCTTGATATCAAGACAAATATCAAGTAGGTATCTTTTTTCACAAATTAAATTTATTTCCAAAAATTTATTTTTTCCCAAAAATGAGTTTTTTTTTTAATTTCATTTTTTTTGATTAAAATTATCTTCACATTTTAATTTCTTTAAGTATTATGTTTTTCTTGCCCTTATACTTAATTTCTTAATGTACTTGGGAGTAGGATATACACTCTCCTCCATAAGTTTTGCAACCCTAACCCCCTCAAATACAATTTTGGCCACCTAACTTGTATTTTTTGCAAGAACTCAGATGGATAAATATTCTGTCATATGACTTGCGGCAAACCTACCATTTCCCATTGGTTTACATGGAAATGTCGATTTTCCAAAATTCATCAGATTTATCATCAATTTTCAACCTATTGCAATTGAGGAAAAGAATTGGGAACATTTGGAGGCATTGGAAATGAATTAAATTATATTCCCATCAATATTATAAGTATTTTCCTCACAGGTAATGAAAATAGAAATTCAAACATAAGGAGGCTTTAACACGTAGTTCAATGAGGGAGCTAAGATTGCCAAACTTATGGAGGGGAGTGTATGTAACGTAAATATTTCTAAGATTCAATCCTTTTTTTCTCATTCAACAGAAGATTTTGGGTAGATGTTGCTCTTGACCATGGTATAAGGTTGTTATTCACCTGTCGGGATGATATGGGTAATATCCCTCGGATGATATCGATATTTCCCTCGGATGATATCGATATCATCCTTGTGATATTCCCCATATCAAATCCCTCCTGGTAAATAACTACTTTATATCTTGGAAAGAGGATAGATATTGAATATATCGTGTATATCGTCATAGATCATATGTCAGAACTAATTCAACAAACTCTATATTGGGGATATATATCCGATATATATCTCGAGTGCATGATATATATCGAATATAGCGTATATATTGTGTGTATATCGCTCTATATATTGGAAAGAGGATATATATCAAGTATATCGTGTATATCGTCATGGATAAATGTCAGAACTGATTTAACAAACTCTGTATTGGGGATATATAACTGATATGTATCACAAGCACATGATATATATTATCAAATATAGCGTATGTATCGTTAGTATATCGCTCTATAGGATATATATCGAATATATCGTATATATCGTGTGTATATCGGTCAATATCTTGAAAAGAGGATATGTATCGAATATATCGAGTATATCATCAGTTTATCGCTCTACGAGTATATTCTGAAAAGAAGATATATATCGAATATAGCGTATATATCGTGTGTATAATGCTCTAAATCTTGAAAAGAGGATATATATCGAATATATCGTGTGTATCTTCATGGATAATTTTAAGAACTGATTCAACAAACCCTGTATTGGGGATATATATCCGATATATATCTTGAAGACAGGATATATATATCGAATATAGCGTATATATCGTGTGTATATCATTCTATATCTTGAAAATAGGATATATATCAAATATATCGTGTATATCGTGTATATCGTCATGAATAATTTTAAGAATTGATTCAACAAACCCTGTATTGGGGATATATATCCGATATATATCTTGAAGACAGGATATATATCAAATATAGCTTATATATCTTGTGTATATCGCTCTTTATCTTGAAAAGAGGATATATATCGAATATATCGTGTATATCATCGTGTATAATTTTAAGAACTGACTCAACAAACCCTGTATTGGGGATATATATCCGATATATATCTTAAAGACAGGATATATATATATATTGAATATAGCGTATATATCGTGTGTATATCGTTCTTTATCCCATACTTGGACGTGTTACAGGTACATAAAGCCAGTTTGTAAAAACTTATATTTTCATCAGCGGGCAGATATAGAGATTATCCTATATGAGGTTCAGAATATTGGGATTATCCCGAGGCCAATATAATATATTTGCCCGAGGGCCGCAGGTCCCGAGGGGAAATATATTATATTGGCCAAGGGATAATCCCAATATCCTGAAACGACTATAGGATAATATGTTTATCCTCGAATTATTTAAGTGGATGCTCCTTCCATTTTTTAAACCATCAAACAGATCCCGATTGTCTGTGTTTTCTCCATTGTCGTTTACAGTCATTACGCGAACGTTACAAATTATGAACAAATATGCGAGCGGCGATTATGACGTAGCGGGCAGATATACTATATCTGCCCGCTCGGAGCGGGACGTAAAGCTATATCTGCCCGCTGATGAAAATACAAGTTTTTACAAACCGGCTTTATGTACCTGTAACACGTCCAAGTATGGGATAAATAGCTTTACGTCCCGCTCCGAGCGGGCAGATATAGTATATCTGCCCGCTACGTCATAATCGTCGCTCACATATTTGTTCATAATTTGTAACGTTCGCGTAATGACTGTAAACGACAATGGAGAAAACACAGACAATCGGGATCTGGTTGATAGCAAGAAGCATCCACTTAATCAATCAAAAATTCGAGAAAATAAATATGGGAATATTTGAGAGAACAGGAAAATCCACCCACGGCCAAGAAAACAAAACTGGACATGAATATTCTAAAATATTTCCACGATTGAACAATGTGAACCAGATGACCAAGATTGGTATGGGATAAACATATTATCCTATAGTCGGTTCAGGATATTGGGATTATCCCTTGGCCAATATAACATATTTTCCCTCGGGACCTGCGTCCCTCGGGCAAATATATTATATTTGCCTCGGGATAATCCCAATATCCTGAACCTCATATAGGATAATCTCTATATATCTTGAAAATAGGATATATCGAATATATCGTGTATATCGTCATGGATAATTTTAAGAACTGATTCAAGAAACCCTGTATTGGGGATATATATTCGATATATATCTTGAAGACAGGATATATATATCGAATATAGCGAACATATCGTGTGTATATCGCTCTTTATCTTGGAAAGGGGATGTATATCGAATATATCGTGTATATCGACATGGATAATTGTAAGAACTGATTCAACAAACTCTATATTGAGGATATATATCCGATATATATATCTTGAGCACATGATATATATAGAATATAGAGTATATATCATGTGTGTATCACTCTATATCTTGAAAAGAGGATATATATCCAATATATCGTGTATATCGTCATGGACAATTGTAAGAACAGACTCAACAATCTCTATATTGGGGATATATATCCGATATATATCTTAAACACAGGATATACATATCGAATATAGCGTATATATCGTGTGTATATCGCTCTAAATCTTGGAAAGAGGATATATAACGAATATATTGTCTATATCGTGTATATCATCATGGATAATTGTAAGAACTGATTCAACAAACCCCTGTATTGGGGATATATATCCAATATTTATCTTAAAGACAGGATATATATAGCAAATATAGCGTATACATCGTGTGTATATCGCTCTATATCTTGGCAAGAGGATACATATCGAATATAGCGTGTATATCGTCATGGGCAAATGCTAGGAACATGATAAAATCTGGAGAAGTATATCTGGCCAGATTTTATATAGCCTTATATATCGACGATATATATCTAATATATCACATGTAAGTCAATGAGAGGCAGTATAGCGATATATATCGCTATACAACGATATAGCCATTCCTGCACCATTCTCCTAGAATTACAGTCCAGGGATTAGATTATAGTCCTGAGATTTTAAGCACAAGTTCAGATACTAGAATAGTGTTCTTGGAAAACAGTCTAGGGATTGTTTGGGAGTTTTAAGCCCATAAGTAAGACCCAGACATTCAATTTTAAGGGCCGATGAAACACAAGCTCAAATGTTAATAATCAGAGAATACCAGGATCTATATTTAAACATTAATATCTAAATACTTTCTGTATCATTTACCTTTCATGATAGATGGTGTTTTAAGATCATCTGATGTGCTTGTTTTGGAACCTTGATCACTCTCACTTTCTGCTTCACTATCCTGGGGAAACTTCTTTTCAATCTCACTCAAGTGTTTCTCGTAATCCTTGAATATTGGTGTCAGTATACAGTAAGGGTTCCCATCTACATGATCTTTGATCCATTTTGATACACTTTTATTCAAATTTTTCAGTTCACGTAAATATTCTGAACTTTTCACTTTTGAGCCTCCATTTGAAGTATTGGGAGCAGATGTACTGCTTACCGCAGCAGACAGACCTGAGGTTGCTGGTGTAGCAGACATGTTTGAGCTTGGTTTTAGATCAAAACTTGGCACTGTTGTTGATCCATTTGATTTTGATGAAGCTAGACCACCAAATGATGTAGATGTAGGTTGGCTTCCAAAGCTAAATGATGGTGCTTTTGAATCCGATTTTGTGGCTCCAAATCCAGCAAATCCTTTGAAAGCACCACCCTCACTCCCTCCCTGAAATATTAAAAATCTAGGATGTTCACAGTTTACACTTCTAATGTTACAGATGTTCACAAGGCTTTTAGTCAGCCTCAGCATCTCACTCTAATATGCTTTCACTATTTTGCATCATCATTAAAAGCTAAGTTACAAAAATCTTTGCTTTTCTAACCTCTAAAATCTTTATCAAAATGCACTAAATACAGCACCATAGCTAGGGCCAAATGGAATGAATTAACCTAATATTATACTTTCTTTGGAATTCTGTAGCTTCCTTTGAATGAGACATTCCAATGCCAAAAGTCAAAGAAACATGACTGTTCAGTTCTATTGCGTTTATTTATTCATATATTTACCAACAAGTAAAATCACCCTGCTGCCTCTTTCAGCTTATATATAATGAGTTAAAACACAATGATCCTTGATTTTTTATGTTTTTACAATTTTAGCCAATTTTTGGCTCTGAGAAGATTGACATGCATAAGAAAGAATGAGTTGATGAGATTTTATTTTCATACTTACTGTCGCTCCTGGCACCCGCCTCTTTGTTGTTTTTATTGTGCGCTTCTTTAAGTCCTCAACACTCGCCTGTTTGAAGATCCCAGCCTGAAAAATGGAGAAAACTTGTAGTAAGGAGCTACAGTGTGCAAGTATATAATTCAATTAGTTAGGAAAATAAATGCTGTCATATTATTATATATAAGCGCTGTCACAGTAATGTGATGTCACCCTAGTGATGTCAAAGTATAAATAAGTGATGTCAAAGTATAAATGAGGAATGCCACATTATAGACGGTTGATATCGAAATATACAGAATTGATCTGAGGTCACAGTAAGTAGTGATATATGTGAGATGAAAATATGTATTAGTGATGTCATAGTATAGATGAGTGATGTCATAGTATAGATGAGTGATATCATAGTATAAATGAATGATGTCACAGTATAAATGATTTCAAATACCTCTTCCGTGTCCTCCTCATCATCCCAATTATCATGTGTCAGCTGGTTTCCTGCGTTACATTTTGCCATCCTCTCTATTATTCAATCAACTACTTCCTGAAATGTGACGTCATATGAGTTGTAAATATGTGGAAAATGTTTCATCATCAACAGGGTCCAAGATTAAATGAATGGCAAAGTGATAGCATTGCACATTTTGTGGAGATTTCCATTTCTCATAAGCTGGCCACTATCTTCAGAAATCAAATTCTACGTAGCACTACATCTGTCCAAATATTTGGTGTTTATATTATACATAGACTAGCAATCTACCAATTGACTTTTGCGATCAGAATTCAGGAATTTTGTTTATGGATACTGTTGTCACGTATTTCGTCTTATTGGTATGACGTCATATAGAAATGATATTAGACATGATGGAATCACGAAATGGCGGACACGTGGCAGTTTTGAGCTAAAAATATTGTCGTTTCTTATATAAAAACCATGGGTCGGATATTTACCAGGTATGCCGATTTGACTAGATCATGAGTATGTCTATATATATGCGAAGTTTGGGTGAAATTCATACTAAACATCGATGCCTATAAGCGCCCCCCGTTTTTGTCAAAATCGGGGGGCGCTAAACCGCTATGTAAATCATGTCAGTAAGACCTTAGACTTGGTATGTGCTTAGCATGAATGTTGATCTAGTCAAATAGAACGCTTTCGTGAAAAATAAATCAATAAAGCACGAAATATAGAAGATAATCTCTCAAAATCAAGCATCTAAAGCTGGGTGACCTAATTGTGACGTCACTAAAAGACAGAATCCATTCGGTGATCGCAAATCATCAATTCAAGTGTTTCACAAAGGGTCAAAGCAGCCCCCACCTGACAGCAGCCCCCATAAAAAGCTGCTAAATACCTGTATATTCACTGGTCAGTATCAAGCGAAAGTAACGACCGTAACCTTTGCATCAAAGATGGTGGATGGTAAAAATTGATGTTATACCCTGCTATTTGAACTAAATCAGACTTTTATGAGATAGAAACTATGGAGTAGGATCATTTGTTCAAATATCATGCGTAGGCACCGCAGTTTAACGATATCTTCCACCGCTTAAGAAAAGGTAACTGGGATTTTGGTTTTACGGATGATAAGATAACTGATATGAGGTGATGCGGTAACACTATGAGAGTTTATAAAGATGTCCAGTAACCGCCTCATAGTGACATAACATGACCGTTAACATGCATGATATATGAACAAACAATCAGTTCCCATGTCATGTCCCATGTCCCATGCCTGACTTCACATTAAACCTGCACATCGCTCCAAAACGCAATATGTTGACATATATTGTTTTTACATTTTCAAGCTCTAATATAAAGTTTATGTAAATAAAAATTGTTTTTTTCTGCGTAATATCAAAGAACAATCATTTAGTTAAAAAAAATAAAAAGGATGCGGGAATCGAACCCGGACCTCCCGCGTCCTAAGCGAAAATTCTACCGCTAGACCACCGTGTTATCATGAATGGTGGAAGTAATTAAACGCTAATTATTTTGAATGCTATGATTCGGAAGTGACGTCACGTTCTTCATTTAGAAACCTTTCCAAAATCATATCGCTGGTGCCGATCGAAGCAATTCAATGAAAAATCTTTGAAATGACACATTTATCGTAAGTATTTCTACACAAGATTTGCCCCATTTGTTCATCATTCTATAATCTTTCATTAAGCTCAAAATGATAAAGTTCACCCCCGAAACAGCCCAAGATTGCGTTTCGGGGCAAGGTCCAGCTTTAAGTGATTAAGTGATAGTCCCTGATCTGGTCCCTCTGAAAACAAGTTTTGTTGTCCGGTACTTTCCCACATGAAATGATTGTACCGTTTGAAAGAACAGGCTTTATATGAACAAACAATCAGTTCCCATGTCATATAAGCCTGATTTCACATTAAGTGATTAAGTGACTCTGGCAATACATTTACATGTATTCTAACCCTTCCAACACCCACAAAGCCATCTATTTTTCCATTTATATAGAAAATGGTCAATTGAGGTGAACTTGTCTAAAGGCCTTAAAACGCTTAATACCAAGGTATGACCTTGGCCCATAAACATTGACTTTGACCCCAGGTCAGTGGTTTCCAAGGGTCACAGCAGCCACAAGGACCTCAAATCACCAAATACCTAGATATTGACCTTGATCTTGGAATGACCTTGACCTCAGGTCACATAATCATGAGTCACCAAGGGTCATAATAGCCCCCAAGATCTTTAACCTTTAGCGTGCTGCCGGCGGACGAGTCCGCCGAGACTAAAATGTCTCTCACAACTGCCGGCGGACCCGTACGCCCGATTTCAAACTTTTAAAAACTTTACTTTTTCGCGCCATTCGTATTGTCCAATTAGATTGCCCGATTTATTCAGTGCCTAACATGACTTCCTGTTGACCTAGAATGGCGATATTTCGAAAAATAATTCTCAATTCAACAATTTAAACAGTGTTTTAGTCGTTTTTAGTGAACGAATCGTACAAAATGGTGGACAAATACGATCACAACGAATATGTGGAGGAAATGAATTGCGATTTCGAGCTCTTTAGGCTCTTGGAAGCCGATAACGGTCATCGAAAATAGAAACTAGAATATTTTCTGAATTGAAAAATTGAACATTCGATCGCTGCAAATTCAGATTTGGATTCTGACCAGACGAAGAGGCGGAGCGGCGGATTCCGGAGGAGTATTCATGGTATATTTATGCCCAGTCGTGTTAATGTACAAATAAATTCATGAGAACATTTTTTTCATGAGCCAGGCCACTGTATCTTCCCTTTGTGAAAATTTTATCCAGATTCATTCAGTAGTTATTGAGATATTAATTATTTAGTCCAGGCATATCATTTTTTGCACTCTTTGAAAAATAAGCCAGTTGCGTTGGATATATTTGCTGAAATAAGGCAGCATGGTAAAGGTTAAAATGCCAAATACTTAGATATTGAACTTAGTGCTTGAAATTACCTTGTTCCAAACATTGTCATTGACCTCAGGTCAGCTAATCATTGGTCACTAAGGGTCACAGCAGCCCCCAAGGAACTTAAATCAACTAATACCTAGGAATGATCTTGACCTCAGATCACCTAATCATGGGTTGCCAAGGACCACAACAGCCCCCAAATGCAACTAGATTTTCAAACTAAGAACCACCCCTGAAAATTTTTAATTGATCCGTCACACAGTTAACTAGAAAACATGTAAACATATTATATATAGACTTTACAGACAAGATTTTAGGATGGAAAATCTAAAATGGCTGACTTGACATTTACCCAGAATGTCAAAAAACTAATCTGTTCCTAGATTTTCATACTAAAAATCATCCCTGAAAATATGACATTGATCTACCAAATGGTTCACCTGAAAACGCGTAGACAAGACTTTACAGACAAGATTTTAGGACAGAAAATCCAAAATGGCTGCCATGACATTTACACAGAATGCCAAAAAACTAATCAGATGTAGATTTTCGCACTAAGAATCATCCCTGAAAATTTGAAATTGATCTACCAAACGGTTCACCTAAAACGCGTAGACAAGACTTTACAGGCAAGATTTTAAGACGGAAAATCCAAAATGGCTGCCTTGACATTTATCCAGAATGCCAAAAAACTAATCAGATCTAGATTTTCATACTAAGAATCATCCCTAGAAATTTGAAATTGATCTACAGAACGGTTCACCTGGAAATGCATAGACAAGACTTTACAGACAAGATTTTAGGACAGAAAATCTAAAATGGCTGCCTTGACATTTGCCAAGAATGCCAAAAAACTAATCAGTTCTACATTTTCATACTAAGAATCATCTCTGAAAATTTGAAATTGATCTACCAAACGGTTCTCCTGAAAACGCGTAGACAAGACTTTACAGACAAGATTTTAGGACAGAAAATCCAAAATGGCTGCCTTGACATTTACCCAGAATGCTAAAAAACTAATCAGTTCTACATTTTTATACTAAGAATCATCTCTGAAAATTTGAAATTGATCTACCAAACGGTTCACCTGAAAACGCGTAGACAAGACTTTACAGACAAGATTTTAGGACGGAAAATCCAAAATGGCTGCCTTGACATTTACCCAGAATGCCAAATAACAAATCAGATCTAGATTTTTATACTAAGAATCATCCCTAGAAATTTGAAATTGATCAACAGAACGGTTCACCTGGAAATGCATAGACAAGACTTTACAGACAAGTTTTTAGGACAGAAAATCCAAAATGGCTGCCTTGACATTTGCCAAGAATGCCAAAAAACTAATCAGTTCTACATTTTCATACTAAGAATCATCTCTGAAAATTTGAAATTGATCTACCAAACGGTTCACCTGAAAACGCGTAGACAAGACTTTACAGACAAGATTTTAGGACGGAAAATCCAAAATGGCTGCCTTGACATTTGCCAAGAATGCCAAAAAACTAATCAGTTCTACATTTTCATACTAAGAATCATCTCTGAAAATTTGAAATTGATCTACCAAACGGTTCACCTGAAAACGCGTAGACAAGACTTTACAGACAAGATTTTAGGACGGAAAATCCAAAATGGCTGCCTTGACATTTACCCAGAATGCTAAAAAACTAATCAGTTCTACATTTTTATACTAAGAATCATCTCTGAAAATTTGAAATTGATCTACCAAACGGTTCACCTGAAAACGCGTAGACAAGACTTTACAGACAAGATTTTAGGACGGAAAATCCAAAATGGCTGCCTTGACATTTACCCAGAATGCCAAAAAACAAATCAGATCTAGATTTTTATACTAAGAATCATCCCTAGAAATTTGAAATTGATCAACAGAACGGTTCACCTGGAAATGCATAGACAAGACTTTACAGACAAGATTTTAGGACAGAAAATCCAAAATGGCTGCCTTGACATTTGCCAAGAATGCCAAAAAACTAATCAGTTCTACATTTTCATACTAAGAATCATCTCTGAAAATTTGAAATTGATCTACCAAACGGTTCACCTGAAAACGCGTAGACAAGACTTTACAGACAAGATTTTAGGACGGAAAATCCAAAATGGCTGCCTTGACATTTACCCAGAATGCTAAAAAACTAATCAGTTCTACATTTTTATACTAAGAATCATCTCTGAAAATTTGAAATTGATCTACCAAACGGTTCACCTGAAAACGGGTAGACAAGACTTTACAGACAAGATTTTAGGACGGAAAATCCAAAATGGCTGCCTTGACATTTACCCAGAATGCCAAAAAACAAATCAGATCTAGATTTTTATACTAAGAATCATCCCTAGAAATTTGAAATTGATCAACAGAACGGTTCACCTGGAAATGCATAGACAAGACTTTACAGACAAGATTTTAGGACAGAAAATCCAAAATGGCTGCCTTGACATTTACCAAGAATGCTAAAAAACTAATCAGTTCTACATTTTTATACTAAGAATCATCTCTGAAAATTTGAAATTGATCTACCAAACGGTTCACCTGAAAACGCGTAGACAAGACTTTACAGACAAGATTTTAGGACGGAAAATCCAAAATGGCTGCCTTGACATTTACCCAGAATGCCAAAAAACAAATCAGATCTAGATTTTTATACTAAGAATCATCCCTGAAAATTTGAAATTGATCCACCAAATGGTTCACCTGAAAACACGTAGACAAGACTTCACAGACAAGATTTTAGGACTGAAAAATCCAAAATGGCCGACAATAAAAAAGTGATTATGTGTTTTTGCTGATTTCTTCTTACAAAATTATCACATATAACTACTGTTAACAATAACATAGGCTTTTACAACAAAGTACATCTGAAATTATTTATAAAGCTACTAAATAGTTAAAGTATGAAAACTCAAAAACACCATTCAATATGATACAAAGTATTATCGTGCGCTCACTTTTCTTAGGACATTCAAAATGGCTGACATGACTGAGCTAACAGGTCCAAAACCTAATCAGATCTAGAATGAAGTGAGCTGAACAAGATTTTAAAGTTTTAAAAGCAACTGTGGAGCCGTTTTTCTTAAAGTTTGCAGTCAAGGATTTTAGCATTTGACTTCAAAATGGCCGACAGGAAGTAGGTATCGAGTTAAAATTTTTTCATCCACATCTGTATGCACTCATAAGTTATCCCTGAAAATTTGAAGGTGATATCTGTAGCGGTTTTGGAGAAAACTCCCGGACGTACGGACAGACGGACGGACAGACGGACGGACGCGCCTAGGCCGACAATATGGCCCCACACTATGTGGTGGGGACATAAAAATGGAAACAAAATGTTATAAGTCCAATTATTGTTGCCATGGAAACATTTCGAAATTGATCCACCAAATGGTTCACCTGAAAACACGTAGACAAGACTTCACAGACAAGATTTTAGGACTGAAAAATCCAAAATGGCCGATAATAAAAAAGTGATTATGTGTTTTTGCTGATTTCTTCTTACAAAATTATCACATATAACTACTGTTAACAATAACATAGGCTTTTACAACAAAGTACATCTGAAATTATTTATAAAGCTACTAAATAGTTAAAGTATGAAAACTCAAAAACACCATTCAATATGATACAAAGTATTATCGTGCGCTCACTTTTCTTAGGACATTCAAAATGGCTGACATGACTGAGCTAACAGGTCCAAAACCTAATCAGATCTAGAATGAAGTGAGCTGAACAAGATGTTAAAGTTTTAAAAGCAACTGTGGAGCCGTTTTTCTTAAAGTTTGCAGACAAGGATTTTAGCATTTGACTTCAAAATGGCCGACAGGAAGTAGGTATCGAGTTAAAATTTTTTCATCCACATCTGTATGCACTCATAAGTTATCCCTGAAAATTTGAAGGTGATATCTGTAGCGGTTTTGGAGAAAACTCCCGGACGTACGGACAGACGGACGGACAGACGGACGGACGCGCCTAGGCCGACAATATGGCCCCACACTATGTGGTGGGGACATAAAAATGGAAACAAAATGTTATAAGTCCAATTATTGTTGCCATGGAAACATTTCGAAATTGATCCACCAAATGGTTCACCTGAAAACACGTAGACAAGACTTCACAGACAAGATTTTAGGACTGAAAAATCCAAAATGGCCGACAATAAAAAAGTGATTATGTGTTTTTGCTGATTTCTTCTTACAAAATTATCACATATAACTACTGTTAACAATAACATAGGCTTTTACAACAAAGTATATCTGAAATTTTTTATAAAGCTACTAAATAGTTAAAGTATGAAAACTCAAAAACACCATTTAATATGATACAAAGTATTATCGTGCGCTCACTTTTCTTAGGACATTCAAAATGGCTGACATGACTGAGCTAACAGGTCCAAAACCTAATCAGATCTAGAATGAAGTGAGCTGAACAAGATGTTAAAGTTTTAAAAGCAACTGTGGAGCCGTTTTTCTTAAAGTTTGCACACAAGGATTTTAGCATTTGACTTCAAAATGGCCGACAGGAAGTAGGTATCGAGTTAAAATTTTTTCATCCACATCTGTATGCACTCATAAGTTATCCCTGAAAATTTGAAGGTGATATCTGTAGCGGTTTTGGAGAAAACTCCCGGACGTACGGACAGACGGACGGACAGACGGACGGACGCGCCTAGGCCGACAATAAAACTGATGCATTTTCAAGTTTAAGGGAATTTTGTGTCATGTTATTTCCCCCGAATCAGCCACCTGGTGGCAAAAGTGGTAACTACCTACTCTCACCTGAGTAATTCCCTTTATGTTGAGATACCCTGAGACGACTGTCAGGCTACCACGTTGACATTGCCCTCCTTTACCAATAGTGCAGGCTTGTTGCTGTGCACTGGGGACCATTTACATTAAAACATGGATGTATGATGAGTTGAGTGCTGTGGGTACAAAATACACCCTTGGTATACGCAGCTAACGAAAATTGACCGGTACGGGTCAAAAGCTGGACCGGTACGGGTTAACGGTTTTATTTGAATTTAAAACAGCCATAACTTGTTCAATATTGACTTCCTCGTGTCTAATTTGAAATATATGATGCCTCCCGAATCTCGATGCTTTTAAGTACCCCAATTTTTTACAGATTTTTAAATGGACCAAAACTCTCTAAATGCGCATTTATGCTCTTTTTTCTCGAGAACGACTGTCTTATTTTCACGATAACTTTTAATTAGTACTTCTAACATATAAGATCTATTTTTCCCCATCAAGGTATGATGTAAATGACATGCTATTTACATCTTGTGAGTTTCAATGACACGCGTTTGATTTAATAAAAAATGCCAAACTTTGTGACAAAGAATTTCCTCCTGCTTGCAGCGAGAAGACGGATTGGTTCGGGGCATTTCTGGAATCACAGGAGCACCATTCAGATTTGGACAGGCAAGAGCCTGATGATAAAATATCACTGTTTTTGGGCTCTTATCAACGCAGTATTGCTTGAATAACATTCATTGGTGATAAAAAGACAAGACGCTTCGAATGAGGTATGATTTGTCTCATATTTTTCGGCTGCACAATCTTCATTTTTAAATTTTCAAAATTTTCTTGGTGTCTCATCTTGAGGAATATTTATTGAGCTACTGATCCTACTACAAAAGAATCTGGCCGAGATCTATGGAAAGTCCAATATAGATTCTAAATCATTTCCTCCGAGCTAAAATCATCATCATATTTGACAAATAAAAGTGAACGAAGTTGAATTACTACATCGTAAATATGTCCATATATACTTACTATATATCAACTGATAGCCAAATATGTTTGTCAGCTGTCTCTCAGCTTCTTAATGAGTATTTATTGATCAGGGAATTGAATATTATCAAAAATGTTGCCAAATTGTGTGGTTTTCAAAAATTCATGGGGGCCGCCATATTGGAACTATAAATATTAGTACGCGTTGAAAAACTTTCATGATAAAGTGTATTTTTGAAAAAAAAGATAAATATGAATTACACGAAATCTTATTAAACTATAAAGACGATTATACATCACTGTTGACCAACTATCATTCCTATTTTTATGAGAATATATGGCGAGATAAAGTAGTTCTAAGATGAAGTTGTTTGGCTCACATACGGGTTCTTCTCCAATTGGTTGCCTTTGTGGATTATTGGAAATAGGTATCATCTTCGAAATTACTTTTCGTCGTAAAATGTGTTGATTATGTGTTAAATTTTACATGAATTTACTTATAAATTATTGTACCATATTTTTGCCAATTTTGGTGAATATTGCTACCGTATTCTTACTGTTTTGAAGAACTTCGTGATGCTCTTCTAAAGTAATTTTGCAAAAACCAGAGCACAGGAAGACAAATGTGAGTCAAATGTTGACTTGGACTTTTGGTGATAGATAGAAATCATAGAAAAAAATCTTTCGACCCAGGCACTTATATAGAAAGTCTGAAGCAGAAAATATGTCGCGAGAAGATCTAAACAATATTCAAGCGAAGTTGAAAGCTGCGATTCAAAATCATCAGGTGAGAAAACTTTGTCGTCAAACTTGGTTCATGGTCATTGAACTTATAAAATGATAGCTATTGAATCTATTGTGATATATGAGAGCAAAATTGTTAAACGATTTATTCATTTATTTGCCTTTTTATGGATTATATTTGTCGATAGTTGCTTATTTGCCACAGGGAGAATGTTGTCGCAGATATTGTGATTGAAGCCTAATGTATGAGCTCATTATGCAGTTGTGTACAAATAGCCTGCTTCAGCCTGAAAAACTCACTTTGTAAACAGTTTGTAAAACATCCCATTATTTTACAGATGTTGGTGACTAAAATAAAGGCAGATCCCCAGGTAAAAATAGTTTTACTAACTTTTCTATTACTAGGCTATATAGCATCATTTAGAGAAGCCAATAATTAGTAATTACACTATAAAGCAAAGATCTATTAAATATTCCACGTTATTTTTATGGGCACTATATAAATTATGTTTTTACAGAATCAAGTTCTGAAGAAACAGTTGCATGATCTACAGATAGAAATAACTGGGCTCAGTGAAAGACAAGTAAGTTCCAACTCTGAGATATAACACTTATATCACATTGACCTGGAACTAGCACTAGACGAGCATCACACAAGTTGCAATATTGATTTTCTCTGTGCAAACTACTTTGTCAGATACACGGCTATATTAAGAGCAGAAAGGCTGGTTGTATTTCTTGATATAAATGCTAGTAGTGTACAATTTTATCTAGATCAAGTAAATTCCAGGAGGTGGTTCAATTTCATTTTTAAATTGTGAATTTTGGTTGAACAAGATATATGAATCTCCATAAACTAATATATTGGCCTACATCAATTCTAGTCATCAATATTAGAAAGATCCACTTAATAATTCTAAGTAATTCTAACTGATTATCTTATGCAGCCTATTACATAATACTGCACATGTACTTTTCAACTTAGTTTCATTTTGACCACCAAGTGGCCAGGTTTGGTAGATGAAAAGGAGTGGTATCGATATGGAGAACTGAATTCAACAATGTTTTTCTATTAAACCAATCATTGAAAACATTCTGTAAAAAAACACGGTATTTTATGTAATGTTGACTGATTGACAACAATTTAATGCGAAAATTATTTAGAAATATTTTATATAACTGTTTTTGTTAACATTTTTTGTTTTTTTAGTGCAATTGTTTTTGCTCCTTTGTACCAATTCTTGAGAATGAAATAAAATGTCTTTCCGAACCTTGTTGGAACAAAATAGCATATACAATATGTTTTTAGACCTCTCAATATTATATACAAAGGAATTTTTGGTTGATTTTATACCCCCAAAATAGATAAAAATCAAGATAAACCTTTTATTTCATTAACAAGATACTTTTTTAGAATCAACCAAAATTTCCTTTGTACAATTAAAATATTGAGAGACCTAAACATGTTGTGTTTATGTCGTTTTGTTCCAATGAGGTTCGGAAAGATGTTTCATTTCACTCTGGAAACATGATACCAAGAACAAAACAAGTGTTTGATGTGTTTTCTAAAACAATATAGATGAAAGTATATATATATTTTTCAAATTATATTGTTACCATTCAAAAGATGACCATTAAATTGATTATCTGATTGATTATTATGTGGTAAATTTTTAGATTTTTTTTATGACTGGTTTAAGAGAAACGTGTGTTCAAAAAGTTCTCCATATCGATACCACTCCTTTATAGACCATTTTTATAAGAGGGATAAATAGGAATACCTTTTCTGATACTAAGATACTCTGGAAAGATGAAACCAGATCAATGTGTAACTGGCACAGTCACTTGATTCAGATACAAACCATCTTATTTCATCAAAGCATGAAATAGAATTATATGAGACACACCCCCTCAAATGCTATATTTGGTACTCCTTATGTTTGTTTCTAAGAAAACATTTTTTATTTTACAAAAAATTTTTCAACCTGCGACCAGTATAGTCTATTAATAGTTTATTATCCCACTGAACAAAGTTTGAGGGGGATATAGGAAAGCTGTCCGTTTGTCCGGGCGATAACTCAAATACCAATTGACGAATTTGATTCAAATTTTATAGGCTTATGGCAATAGAAGCTCTGCTTGAGATGGAATTTTCGATATGGCCGCTGATAATTAAAAATGGTCGCCATTTTTTGTAAAGAAATGTTATCTTTGATTATTCAAATACTAGTAGACGGATTTTGTTCAAAAAAGAATTTTCAATATGGCGGCTGAATTTCAAAATGGCGGCCATTTTTCGTAAAAAATGTAATCTTTTATAACTCAAATACCAGTGAACGGATTTGATTCAAATTTTATATGCTGATGCATAGGGACAAAGGAGCTACCCTGCTGAAGAAGAGATTTTCAAAATGCTGGCTAATATCAAAATAGCCATTTTTCGTAAAAAACGTTATCTTTGATAACTCAAATACCAGTGAAGAAGTGTTCAAGAAATAATTTTCAGGATAGCAGCTAAATTTCAAAATGGCCACCATTTTTCATTTAAAAAAACAGATTTTTTTATGATTTTATATGCTTATGGTTAGGGACACAGTAGCTCTGTTCGAGAAAGATTTTCATAATGGTGCCTGAATTTAAAAATGGCTGCCATTTTTCGTAAAAAAGGAATGTAATCTTTGATAACTCAAATGCTAATTGGTGGATATGGTTTACATTTTATATATTGATGACTAGGGACAAACGAGCTCTGCTCAAAAAGGAATTTTCAAGATGGCCACTAATAAGCAAAATATGTTTTGTTCGGTGGGATTTGCTACTCCTTGGAGTTGCTGTTTTTCTAGTTTTTATTTTTATTTATCTAAAATTATTAATTTTTATTTCACAACAGATTTAATTAAAATACATTTTAAAATTACATTTTTAGTAACTAACTTGGCCTATAATGTTGTATATTTTTCATGGAGCTACTCATTAAAAAATTTTCATGGAGCTACTCAGTAAAATAAACTGAAATTTGGAAGTCCCACCTTAAAGCTCTTGAAATTTCACTCCATACATTTGACAAAAAGAAGGACTAGGCCATTTTCAGTAAGCTTTTTCATGTACAAAGTCAATGGAAGGCTTTGTAATTATTATCCCACCGAACGAAGTTCGAGAGGGATATAGGAAAGCCGTCCGTGTCCATCCGTCCGTCCGTCTGTTTGTCCGGGCGATAACTCAAATATCGTTTCACGGATTTGATTCAAATTTTATAGGCTTATGCCTTATGGGTGTAGGACCTCTGCTCGAGAAGGAATTTTCAATTTGGCCACTGAATTCAAAATGGCCGCCATTTTTCGTAAAAAATGTAATCTTTAATAACTCAAATACTAGTTTGCGGATTTGGTTCAAATTTTATATGCTGATGCCTATGGACAAAGGAGTTTTGCACAAAAAGAGATTTTTAAGATGGACACTTAATTTCAAAATGGCGGCCATTTTTTGTAAAAATATGTAATCTTTGATAACTCAAATACCAGTGAACGGATTTCGTTCAAATTTTATATGATGATGCTTAGGGAAACAGTAGCTATGTTTGACAAAAATTTTTCAAGATGGTCCCTTAATTTAAAAATGGTGGCAATTTTTAGTAAAAAACGTAATCTTTGATAACTCAAATACCAGTGAACAGATTTGGTTGAAATTTTATATGATTATGCCTAGGGACACAGTAGCTCTGTTCAAGAAATAATTTTCAAGATGGCGGCTGAATTTCAAGATGGCGGCCAATTTTCATAAAAAAACGTAATCTTTGATAACTCATATACCAGTGAACGGATTTGGTTCAAATTTTATATGATGATGCCTAGGGACACAGTTGCTATGTTCGACAAAGAATTTTCAAGATGGCCACTTTATTTCAAAATGACGGCAATTTTTCGTTAAAAAAAACATAATCTTTGATAACTCAAATACCAGTGAACGGATTTGGTTCAAATTTTATATGATGATGGCTAGGGACACAGTTGCTTTGTTCAAAAATGAATTTTCAAGATGGCCACTGAATTTCAAAATGGTGGCCATTTTTCGTAAAAAAACCCATAAAATTTTGATAACTCTAATACCAGCGAACACAGTAGGGACACAGTAGCTCTGTTTGAGGAAGAATTTTCAAAATGGCAGCTGAATTTCAAAATGGTTGCCATTTTTTTATTCAAATTTCATATGCTGATACCTAGGGACACTATAGCTCTGTTCGAGAAAGATTTTCAAAATGACTGCAGAATTGGCAGCCATTTTTAGTAAAAAAGAATGTAATCTTTGATAACTCAAATTTTAATTTATGGATATGGTTTACATTTTATATGTTGATGCTTAGGGACAAACAAGCTCTGCTCAAGAAGGAATTTTCAAGATGGCCACTAATAATCTAAATATGTTTTGTTCGGTGGGATTTGCTACTCCGTGGAGTTGCTGATTTTCTAGTTATAAATTGTTTTAAAA